AACTGACTAAACGCGGGTGCGTTTAGCCAATGTGCGTTTAGTCACATTGGCTGGGCCACAGAAATCGGCAAACCTTGTCTTGCACGTCATCAGGTTGTCAGTTGCCGTGATAGATAGATAGGCAATTGAGCAAGCCAGAGCGATTTCAAAAATTATAAGGCAGAAAATACCAAAACGTTGTAATATTCTGTTCGGACGTGATCACCTTTCACGTCTTCACGTCATGACGTTCTGGTAATCGAAACCGGGAACGACTCAGGAGCGTTAGTATATCAAAGAGAGAGAGAACGATTATAAGAAAAGTAATTGATTGATATGCGGGATTTAACATCCCCAAACCACCATATGATTAAGAGGGACGCCGTATTAAAGAGCTCCGGAAAATTCGACCACCTAGAGTTAGTTTTTTAACGTGCACCCAAATCAGAGCACGCGGGCCTACAACATTTCCTCCTCCATCGGAATATAAGAAAGGTAGGGAGGTTAACTACACTAAGTGCAATTCGCTACCCTACACGATGAGAGATGGGAATGAGGTAGTAAAAGAGAGAGAGAAAGAGAAGGAGGAGATACACATTGCACATAACACATACTCCACACATACTGTGCAGGTTTCACAGGTGGTCGCACAGTGATGTTGCCCTCAAGAATTGTAGAATGGCTTCTGTAGCTTTCTGGGCTGATGTGCTTGAAGGCCACGCACCCAAGATCTTCTCCACAGTAAAGGGTCAATCATCCAGTTTTCTTAAGGCACACTGGAGGGTCCGGCAATCTTCTTTTAAAGTCTGAAGAATGGCACAGGACATGGTCGAGAGTTTTTACCCAATGGCAGTATCAAAGTTGGGGGAGCCAGCCATACCAATGCGATAACTGAATGAATTGTTAAAGACAATGCCGACCCACAACAGACACAGCATTGTAGCGTCACATCAGAAAGTCTTTGATGGCAGCTGTAATTCGAATAATAAAGAGAGGTTCTGTGGGCGTCGAGTAGAGTTCGGTTGAAGATTGCAATGCATAAGTGCCGTATTATGCTCGATGTGGTGAAGTTCTTTTGGGGCATTGACCCTTGACAGGGGTATGAGCAGTGTGGGTGCTCCGTTGTGGGCACATGGGGCGGCGTTGTCGACGAGGTGGTTACCATTGATTCCACAGTGACCCGGAAGCCAGTGAAAGACTATGTCATGCCATTGGCTAGTGGAGCGATGACTGATTTCATTGATCTGAGACACCAATCGACGGTGGTTGCTGCGTCGTAGACTTCGCTCACATTGAGGGGCCTTGCAGTCGCAAGACTGCAACCGCTTAACAAGAGATATTCGCATAACAAATTTTTCGCGGCTAGAAGGGCGGTGAGCTCGGAGCCCGTAGATGTCATGACGTGTGAGGTCTTGAAGATGACAGTGCTTTACCGAGATAAAACTTGAACCTCAAAGAAGCCCATCCAACTTCCGGAGACTGAACCATCCGTTTAGATATGAGTTCGGCTAGCATACGATACATTCAAAAGGTCCAATGAGATTTGCTTGAGGGCTGATTGATTGATTGATATGTGGGGTTTAACGTCCCAAAACCACCATATGATTTTGAGAGACGCCGTAGTGGAGGGCTCCGGAAATTTCGACCACCTGGGGTTCTTTAACGTGCACCCAAATCTGAGCACACCAGCCTAGAACATTTCCGCCTCCATCGGAAATGCAGCCGCCGCAGCCGGGATTCGAACCCGCGATCTGCGGGTCAGCAGCCGAGTACCTTAGCCACTAGACCACCGCGGCGATGGCTGCAGATGACAGGCCAGCCTTTTTGGATACACCCGGCACTTCTAGATGCAAATGAGGTCTTTGCAGGCACTATTCAGGCTTCTTCCAAGAATAGACAGTATTATTTACATGGTCCTGATGTCGTGAACCTTCGATTAGCGATATGAAATTAAGAGCTCAAAATAAATGTGTACCATTTTCAGTATTTCATTCAACGTTCATTCCGCGTCTTTTAATTTTGATTTCACGTTTCGTTCAGAAGGATGGCAAAGATACGCAGTTCGTTAAAAATGACGCTGAACAAACCAAGCTCACATGTCATGGCGCCCTATATCTGCGTCATGTGTATATATTTTCTAAAAACGCATGTTTCCTCCATTTTAATGCAGCGCGTGGGGGGGGGGGGGTAATACGTTTTTATTCTTACATTGCACATAGTAGCAATACTTTATTTAGATCAACACGCATCGCAGTGCAGTTTCCAAAGAGCAAACAACTTCTTGAAGCTTTAATGTTACAGCGAGCTTTACAGCTGTATTTGAAGCAAGTCAATTTCGCAGACGCAATGTTTTCCACGCCTTGTTGCCAAGGGCTTCGCGCAAATACCGTTCATTTGGGCTGATGCGAGCACATTGTTGCCGAAGGTGTCTTTAAGAAACGAACCAAATAAAAACGAAAACCCTTACTGATCTCCAAACATCAGCTGCAGAAGAATTTTGAGCCCGCACGAAGCATCGGTCCCCAGTTGGCAGAGAGGCTTAGGCTTATCTTTCCGAGCAACGTGCAGCGTTCAGTAAATCCTACCATAGCCGCATTCCTAGCGAGCTCCAGGTAATTGACATCAGCCGCGACACGAGGAATTCACTATAGGAAGGCCGCATCTACGCGGAGCAAATGTTGAACTTCCAAACAGCTGTGTTGTCACCCACCATTCAGTCAGTTTTTTTTTTCTTTGTTGAATTTAATTTATCCTGCATAAGTAAGATGACACTGGTAACGCGAGTATGTTTACCTCGACGGTATCTCAGACTGCCGTTTCATATTGGTGCATGCGGAAGAGAAAGATTTCCACCTTTTTTATCATTCTCTCCACAGTCCATTTCTTCTCCTCTGCTCACAGTCCATTTCTTCTTGCTTTTTGAACAAAAAAAAAATCTCTCGACCTTTTTGTTCTCAAAGCAAGTATTTTGTGGTTCTCTTGCGAAAATAAATAAAATGGAAGAAATAAGCAACGCACATAACGTGCAATTGCCTGAGATAAGTTCAGTCAGGCTGCAGTTTAATGAAACCAGAAAAGGTCGCGCTCAAACAACAAAATATTGCTCAAGTGTTTCGCGACTGCAGCGCTTAAGTATCGGCAAGTCGACACTATGGCGTTCACTGGCTGCTTTGACCATTGCTTTGACTCACTATAATTTTGTCATATTTCCCTTTTGTTTCGCGATTTCGATTTGTCGAAGCCATAGCCTCCTAAATTTCCCTCGCCTGCCGGATTATCGGCGGTACCACGGAGGAAGGAAAGGTAAGGAGAGGGCATCCCCAGCCGGCGCAGGGCGTAAAAAGTGTGGCAGAAATGACATCATGGCGGCCATATTCACTAGGCACAATGGCGGCGTTGCTATGGTTACGTGTTGCGCAGTGGAGCTGGTCTGGCAGTGAGCGGCCGCGGCTGGCGGCGGAATGTGTGCCTCCCCAGGTCTCGTGCTGAGCCGTGGTGGACAATATCTGTGCTCTGCGCCGCGTTATTGGTTACGCAGTGTTCTACTGGCTGTTACATTACTCTTAGCGACGTTTACAAATCCCTTTGTCCATCACGGGGTTTCAACAGTGCGTAGAACAAGTGCATATTCATGTGTCGTGCGGCGTATGACGCGGATGAAGCAGTTAGTGTTCAGCGAAATTGCGTTGGGCACCATGACGAAGCTGAATGACGACGAACGCCTTGCAGGTCAGTGACGGTTGAGCAGTGCTTCTGCTTGTGACAACGGAGGACGCTGTTGAGCCCAGCAAGACACCGTGAGGACCATGTGCACATACGTAGTTTCGTGTTTTGTGTGTACAGTAACAAGTTGCATGTGCGTATTAAAAAACCTTTTCTGTTCCGCTTGGTACACTCTCCACCAGCATTGCATGTAATCTCAACGTAACAGCTACCACGTTCAACTGTCACTAGCACCGTGCTCAAAGTCACCACGGTCGCAGAATGCTGACGCCGGTGAGTTTCACGCGGAGCACGGGACACAGTGGCAGGACGCTGCGTCGGCCGCGTGGCGGAATGCAACCGTAGAAGGCGCACGACTGATCGTGTTGTCTGTACAGTTGCTGAATTAATGACGTGAAAGCACTCGCCGTTGTCAGTGCATCTAGCGCGCGTTCTCTCGTAGTTGCTTCGTTGTCGGCGAGTTGTTACTCCCTGTTATTACTCGGACGAAGCGATTTCGCTGACGGTGTCCCGCTGGCTCAGAGTGATGAGCCCAGTTCCATTAGTTTCGGATCGTCACGACACACGCGCTGCGCAGCCCACGTGCTTTCCGAGCCGGAGAGGGAGTCGCGCCTTCTGCTTCGCATTCATATGTGAACAAGAGAGGAGAATTTGCCTAGTCAATATGGCCGACTTCCGGCTTCATCGCGGCTTCACAACGAGTGACGTCAGGGCCTCTCCTTACCTTTCCTTCGCCGTACCTTGAAAACAGCTGTCATCTGAACTAAAGTGGTAGCGCCACCTAAGTAGAAATGGTTTCAAATAAATTTTTACGTTTTTAAAAACTATGTGCAACAAAAACAACGTAAAAAACTTTTAAAAAACGTAATTATAATTAACTCTACGTAAGTGACGTCGTCATTCAACAAGCAACTTCTTCAACACAAGGCATTGCCTTTAAAATTAGTAGCAAACGCCAAAACTTACAGATCTCAAAGGCCAAGTACAAAGGCACTTACTCCTACGTAGCAGCGCCGCCATAGATTACCGGCGTTTCGCGCTCATCCGGCAGCGGCCGGCAGGTGAAGATTTCGTCCTTCGTTCCATCTCACGCACTCGCGTTTCGGCGTGACGGGCTTGCCGGGGCATTCAGCTGCAGCTGTTTCGTTTGCATCCCGTTTCAAGTTGCTGCCGTCGCATCGAGCGGCCGGACTTTCGTGGTAGGCATATTCGATTTTCTATTCGCCTCTTGGAAACTATAACTGTTGTCTCTGCTGCAGGTTTCTTCCGGAGAGGTTGCAGTTGCTGATCGGCTGAGGATGGCTGGTACGACGCCTGTGACGGTGGCCGTTGAGTACTGGTAAGTTCTGCGACCTCCTGAGCCGCAAACTTGAAGAACTGTGTAGCCGAGGGAAGGTAGAAACGTTGTTTGCTCATTTAAAGTATTTAAAATACTGGAATGGGCGAAGCGGTTGCATTTGCGTGTTAGTTTTCCGACTTTGGTTTTATAGGGTATGCGAGAGAGAGAGAGAGGTTAAGGAAATGGAAAGACGCAACTTCTGCAGCCCTAGTTAGGAGCACGGCTCAGGCCGATACTTAGCGTCGCATTTCCTCGTACCCCCTCTCACCTATCATTAGATACCTTGTTTTTATCCTTCAGCGTCGTGGCTGCTCGACAGGCACATCTAGCTGGCCACTGGTATTACATTAATCCTTGTACCACGAAGCCGTAAATTTTGTTTAAGATGCATGCATATTGCACATAATTACAAAAATAATGTAAACTATCATCAGTGCAGAGGCTAGTAATGAAAATATTTTGCCTAATCTGTGCGCAATTCGTGGACGAAAATTATATGCGCAGTTAGGTCTTGGAACATAAGTATAGGAATGTTATTTTTGCCGTGGTATCATCTGGTCTGCGTAGGAATGTTATGGTTGCTTGTTATTTGCCGTCTGATGTGCTAGTGCTGACTGCTTGGCACATATGCTGCCAAATGAAATTTGGGTTATTGAAGAGTAGAAGCATTGCTTACCAATGCTCTGATTTGCATATGACAACACTGTTGTTCTGCAGAGTAATGGCTTAAAATAGACGAACTGCTTGCTGCCAATTATACATTCGTGATTTCCTGTGTATGACTGCATGGACGTCATCATTAATAAAGGATTTATTCACCAGTTCCCGCAGCCGTCATTCTCATTCCTTTAGTAGCGGTCTCTTTTCATGTACTACATCTTCTTTGCAGTATGCAGTTTTTTTTTCAACAGCAGTCGCCTTTTTAGTATTTATGGTTGATAATGTGGTTGACAGAACTTTCTCGTAGCTGCTGAGAGTAGTATTCGAGTTTAGGTTATGTTATACCTCTTGTATTTTAGTTCATGTTCACCCAAATCTACACAGCATAGTTGAACATACTTCATTGTGAAGTGGCCACTGCGGCAAGCGCTTACTTCCGCAGGTAAACACCGTACATTGAGCCTACTTGGTTGAATTCGATCACACCCTTGTATCGTGCTACAGAAGTTCAGTACCCATACTTTCTCGCAGAGTTTCCAGACTGGCTTATGGCACGAAGGGGTCATTAAACTTGACCATGCAGTAAAACCAAAGACATAATATTGAGCCAAAATAATGCAACATGTTCTGCATGTTACAAATAAGTAACTGGCATATGCAATAATCCTTGGTATCTTTGAAAGATATCGGATCTAGCTTTGTCTGTCTGGGCGTGATTGCGTCCAATAAGGGAAAAAGAAAACTCGTTTCAATATTCTAATTAAACTTCAGTGCATGCACGAAATACTAATGTACCTTTTCTGAGGGTTTAGCATTATAGTAATACTCTCAAAAGAAATTGGTGGTTACGAATACACCGAACAGTTGCCTTCATAAACATTAAAGTGGTAGGTTTATTCATGTGAGTAAACTCGGGTAGTTCAATGATACCGAAGTCGGCCTTCTTTGCAAACCCAAATGCATGAGCGCATAACAATTGACAAAGTGTTTTTTTTCCTTTGACTCATTTCTTTATACATTTCATTTTTTTTTACTTTTCAGGATTTTTTTTGCTTATTTAGATATGCACACACACTAACAGAAAACAAAAAAGTATGCTTCTAAAGTTGTAGCACACTTCACTCTTGGTTGCATTTCATTTCATGGAGCCCTCACTCCAAAGTTTTCTTGGTGAATAGGAGTTTAGTATTTAGAATGGCTACTGCATTGCTGTACTGTACATATTAGGTCCGCGTAGGAATGTTATGGTTGCTTGTTATTTGCCGTCTGATATGCTAGTGCTGACTGCTCGGCACATGCTGCCAAATGAAATTTGAGTTATTGAAGAGTGGAGGCTTAGCTGCTGAGAGGAGTATTCAAGTTTAGGTTATGTTTTACCTCTTGTATTTTAGTTTACATTCACCCAAAACAATCAGTATGATGGCCTAATTATAACATACAAATATTTTATAAGTGTCATTTTGGAACAATGCTTGAGTTATTATCAACTTGTATTTGTTCAAGTAGAAAAAAATTAGATCAATTATGCTGCTGTTTGACAAAATAAAAAACAGGGCACTGCTTTTATCTCTTTTTTCCCCCCGTAACTAAAGAGCTTGTTTCATAACTGAATTAATGAGTCTTGTCTGCTCTGGTCACACTTTTTTTGTAAATCTTTAAGTAAGTGAACTTCTGCGGAATCTATGAAAGACTTGCAGTGCTGTGCTCTTTATAAAAGGAGGTCATGTTTGTGTTCTGGCTCATTATGAAGGGCTGCAAGATGGAAATTGACTGGCATATGTCGCATGTGACATTGGTCACATTGGACTGTTGCATTATACCAAACAAATGTTTATGTTATCTTGGAAACTAATGTCATTGTGTATATCTGCCCTATATGAATGATTCAGTCTATGTTTGTATGAAGGACCACAACTTTTGCACTTCAAAATCAAGCTACACTACTTGTGATGCACTAGACCACCTTACCAAGAGCCTATCCACTCTGAAAATGTTGTTCAAGTGAGCTACTCTTATTGCTCGATATGCCGAATATTTGTTCAGAACATACCACGTCCTTCACATTCTATTTATTGTGAAATTTATTCAATGTGTGACTGGTTCTGGCACATGGTGTTCTCTTCCTAACACTTTTTCTTTCAGTGGTGGATGAGGTTACGCCCCTCGCTTCGAGGAACTGAAGCGACAGATCCTCTGCCAGATACCAAAAGCCACCGTGACTGGCACAGTAGGACGCAAATGTGAGTGCAATTTGTCCCCATTATGGCAGCGAAGTGGACCTTCCTCACATGCAGCTGTTACATGTAGCTGTTAGTCTGTGTAAATTGAAGGCATCAATCATGACAGGAAGTGGAGTTCGCTTGCCCTATTCGCTTTCGTTTGTACTGTGAACGCTGTTAGAGTGAAGGCTACTACAGCAATTTCGCCTTTGCATGAAAGAACTTGCATGTCCCCAGATGCAATTGTTACTTTACAATAAATACATTTCACTGCACCATCACTGCATTGCTGGTTGCGTAGGAAGCCCTCATTAACACCAAAAGGAATGCTATGCAAAAGGGCAGACAACAGTAAACAATCTTTCCATTAATAGTGTCATCTCATTTCATGGTCTGAGAGGTTAGTCTAGTGGCCATCGTCACCTCCATCGGCTGCCTATTATGGCACGCTCAGGTGCACGTGCAAGCCTATGTGCCTTATTCCTCCTGCAGTGTGCTTCGCGGTTAGCAGAGATTAAAGAAGTTCTGCTCCTGGTTCCAACGGTTCCATGGCTTTTCACTTACTGCTGCACACATTGTTATGAAAACCTAGCCTAAGTCCCTATAGTGAGAGGTTTAATGTCCTTTTCAGGATTGTCGCTCATCTCAAACAAGATATGTAAAGTCTTTGAAAATGTCTTGCATTTCACTGCTTATTATTGCTGTCTGACAGTGTCTCAAGTTCAGCTGCATCTGTATAGACCTCTCGGCCTTCCACTAAATTATCTCTCTCTCTCTTACGAGCATTCCGAACTTTTGAAACAGTCAACGAGCCGTGCAGTTCAAGGCAATAACAAATCCATCTGGAGCCAGTTTTATGCACCGTGACGCTGCTCCCTCCAATGTGTGTGGCAGGTCTCCGCTCCAATTGAATGTGCACACCAGCTGTGCTTTTGTGCCGTGCGCACCATTAAGCCACAACTGTTTTGTGGGAGAACGTTTTAAAGCTGCGGGAATGTTGTGTTGATATTAATGACTGTTTTATGTTAGAGAATATTACAGTGATTTATAATCTAGTTTTTATACAAATATGTAATTTAACATTATTTTGTGTCAGTCTGTCGCCCTGTTTCTTGTCAAAATTAAAAAATAATGGTTGCTCATTTCTCATTGCGGTGTGTAAGAACCACCTCGTTCCTTCAAGGCCAGCGTGTCTTGCCAGTGGAAAGGTGGTCACCATTGTAAGATATGTATATAAATGTTTGCCTTATGCTAAGCGTGCCTAGCCTTCTTTGGTGCTAGCAGCATGGTGCTCAATCTTACTATGAACTGGCCTGTATAATATCAAATTTTGTCGATTACAGCCTTTTTATCTTGGAGCTAGTTAATTGTAAGAATAACTTCTTTCCCAACATGGCTTCACCTTTAATATGCCAGTTCTGCTGTTATCTTTTCTAGCTAGTTCAGCAAGAGGTGTGAAAAAGGCACTCCCCCCCCCCCCCGCCACTGTCCTCCACCCAAGTTAAAACAGCTCTCCACCCTCACTCAGCTGATATGTGACATCAGTTTGCAACCCCCACCCCACCCCCAAAGACAAAATCCTGCAGACACTCATGGCCACGCTGAGCTAATTTGGTCGCCTCTTTTGCAGCGTCCTTTGAGGTTGAAGTAAATGGTGTCAAGGTGTTCTCAAAACTTGAAAAGAATGCATTTCCAGACTTTGCAGAGGTAAGTTCTTTTTTTTTACTCACTTGCACTGTTGTTTGTCTACTGTAATTTAGGATAACAAATTATCTCGTTTAGCACTTCTCTCAGCCGTTGTTTCCCAGGTGAATAATTCTTAATAATTAAACTTTACTTGATTGCTTTTATCTCCAGCTGCTCATCTAATGGTCTCAGATTAAGTCAACTGAGGGTGACAATTTGGACTTGCTGGTACGATAGTATGATAACTGATGGTAGCGCAGACTGGAACTTAGACACAAAAGAAGGCACCTGCAAGAAAGACACCGCAGTGCTGTGGTGTCTTGAATGTGCCTCTTTTGTGTCAAAGTTCTAGTCTGTGCTACCATCAATTATTTTGCTCAGATTAAGGTTACCCTTAAACTGTATACATTCTCAGCAAAAGTAGTAGTGAGACCAAGTCTTCATTACAGTTGTTACATTTGAGAAAAGTACCGTGTATAGGTTTTTATCAGTTTTTGCTTTTCCTCTCAATGTCGCACCCCTATGAATCAATGCAGTTCCCGTTTTGGTACTTAAGAAGGATTCTTGCACATGGCATGTATTTCCATTTGTTAATGGTAGATTTAGGTGCATGTTTAATAATTACAGTGTTGAATTAACTTAGATTTTCACCACTGTGGTGTGCCTTCTGACTATGGTGGTTCATCCATGTTTAAACTCGGTGAACATGGAAGTTCAAGATCAGTTGTTACAAAACTTCACCTTGGCAAACTCTTCAAATGAGTAGATACTGTTATTATCTACTATTCATGCATCCTAGCCAAAGATTACTATAAACTTCAATTTTCTTAGTGGTTTTTAAGTAGCAACTATACCCAGTTTTACCACTTTGGTTCAGCACTACCAAAGCTATGGGGTGTAAGAAAGCCACACGCTTGCGCAGTGAAACATAGTCCCAGACATAAGTGCCTTGAAAATGGCTGGTTTGTCTAAAATTGGCATTTGTTTCATGTGTGTTGTGCCACATCAATACGCAATATGTTTTTCATCGCATTTATTTCCTATGCATTTAATTATTTGTGTCATTACCCACAGTAACTATGGTTACAAATTAACATGGCAGCCCCCAGGCAGAAGCGACTGCCCGCTTCGATCTGAACTTGCTCCTGCTAAACGCCCACAGCGCTGACAGCAACAAATAAATGGGGAGATCAGCCATTGAATTGTTTTATCTTGTTTTGAGGATGAAGCATCAGGTATGTTTGGTCGCTATTAGAGAAATATTGTAACGAACAAATACAACGCCTGAAGCTAAAACAGCTATTTATTTATGGCAAACTTTTGCCGTCAACTAAATACACAAGGGTTGACCTGAGCTCGCTAGAGTAATCCTCGTCAACCTCTTCTTTTGCGTCTCACCGCGTGCCGCTCCTTCGAAAAACCGCCAGCCTTCTTTTTCCAGCGCGTGGTGTGGTGACACGTGCAGCCAGCGTTGCATGGCGCATTTATAGCTTGGCGCGTTAGCCTTGTCAGTTGGTCTGGCAGAATTCATAGGAGCAGGAAGCGGTGCAAGACTTCAGTAGGTGCCTAACAACATGCGGCATTAGTCCGTTTCACGAAACGCATCGTCCTGATGCGTACGCTGACGTCGAACAGTTTTGTACAGCAGTATTGATGTGATTGCTTGAAGCACATTTATACCCCTCGGCTGTCTCGTTTAGTGCCTTTCGTAGTACGGTTTCATTCGTACTACATTGTACGACTTACTGGGTATTCCTGCGATCGGGTTGTAGCAACATCTTGACCGTCAGGAATGCCTTCGTAGTTTAGCGCCGCCCAACCGGCAGCATGAATGTACTTTGTAAGGGCCCGAAATAGCGCCGCATCAGTTTTTCCGATAGGCATGATGCAGTGTTCAGGCATCCACACCCACACTTTGTCTCCGGGGGTTGTACTATACGTCTCTCCGATTGAGATTATAGCGACTTGCGTCAGAGCTTTGTTGTAAAATGATACGATGTCTTGCCATTTGCCGTGCCTCTTTTGCCCTTTCTATGAAGTCGCCGATGTGCGGGTCACTCTCATTCAAATCGTTGACAAGTAACATCGCATCTAAGGTCGTTGTGACCGCCCGACCATAAACAAGTTGAAACGGCGTGAAGTGTGTCGTTTCTTGTACTGCGGTATTGTACGCAAATGTAACATAAGGCAAAATACTGTCCCATGTCTGGTGCTCAACGTCCACATACATCGAGATCATGTCGGCGAGAGTTCTGTTGAGTCTTTCGGTTAATCCGTTTGTTTGGGGATGGTATGCTGTAGTCCTTCTATGGTCCGTGTGGGTGAGCTTCATAACAGACTGCATCAAACGGGCAGTAAATGCTGTTCCTTTGTCTGTAATGACAACCTGCGGTGCGTCATGTCGTATTACAATCTGAGTGACGAAAAACTGGGCTACTTCGTTTGCCGTTCTTTTTGCGAGAGGTGATGTCTCAGCATATCGAGTCATGTAGTCTGTTGCTACAACAATCCAACGCTTTCCCGATGAAGAGAGAGGAAATGGACCAAGCAAATCCATTCCCACTTGCTGAAATGGCCCTTTTGGTGGCTCTATCGTTTGCAACAGACCCGTTGGTTTCGATGGTGGTATTTTGCGTCTTCGGCAATCCCGGCATGACTTGACATAATGGTGCACCAAATCCCTTAATTTTTGCCAATAATACTTCCGGCGAATTCTGGCCAAAGTGCGACTACTATCCATATGGCCAGCCGATGGGTCGTCATGACACGCTTCAAAGATTTCTGCTCGCAGTGATGATGGTGCAAGAAGCAGAAACGTCTCACCACTGTTTCCGGAGTTGCGCTTGTATAGGACGCCGTTCCGGAGGACATAGGATGTTAATCCACGGACGAAAACTCGCGGTACCTTAATTTGGTGACCCTCCAAGTATTGGATGAGCGGGCGCAGTTCCGGGTCCATTCGCTGAAGACGAGCCATCTCCGACACATTCAGAACTCCGAGAAATGGGATGGCTTGTTCTTGGTCAGATGATGGAGACTCAACAGGTGCGCGAAACAGGCAATCTGCGTCATTGTGCTTGAGACCGGACTTGTGAACCACAGTGATGTCATGTTCCTGCAGACGCAGGCTCCATCTAGCAAGTCTTCCGGAAGGGTCCTTAATATTTGCCAGCCAACACAATGAATGGTGATCACTGATTGCCATAAATAAATAGCTGTTTTAGCTTCCGCCGTTGTATTTGTTTGTTACAAACTGGTGGAGGTGCGGGGTATGATTCGAAGCCCATCTGAGGTTAGAGAACATAGCCCTGAACCCCAAAGGTTGGAACCAGCGCAGTTAACTCCCGTACACCAACGCACGAGTCGGCGCCTACGAGGTGAGCAGCCCGAGTTTGATTCCCTCTTCGATTCTTCGAGACGAGTGGAGGACGTAAGTTCCGGAGCCCCTGCAATGGCCGCCCAAACGACTTCATTTCCATCTCACATCGTCATGGACCTGCCCCGAATACCAGAGGTGTTCCACAGTGATATTTTTGAGGATTCCGAGGACTGGCTCGACGGTTTTGAACGCGTTGCCAGACTGAACGGTTGGAATGAAGACAGGAAACTTCGCTACGTCTATGTGGCACTGCAAGATTCTGCGCGTACGTGGTTCGAAAACCACGAAGCGTCCTTATTGACATGGGACGACTTTCGAAGAGAGTTTCTTGCTACGTACCCCAACACGGACCACAAAGAAAAGGCAGAGGTCGCTCTTCAGACGCGAAACCAACGAAGCAACGAGAGCGTCGCCATGTACATTGAAGACATGTCCCAACTGTTCCACCGGGCCGACCCGAACGTGGCTGAGAAAAAGAAGTTGCGGCAATATGCTGCTTGCATAGCCGTCTCATATAAGCCTAACATGCCGAAGTCAGGACTTGGGCTGTGTCTCCAGACCAAGAACGCCGCCATAACGCTGCATCTCCAAATATCGGACATGCAACCTCGCACAGTGTTCTGCGTGCGTTGGATACTCCTTCGGTGAAACAAAAAAAATAGAAAAGGAGCATCGCAGCGAGAGGCGGGAGAAAATGCGCTGACAGAGAAGCAGTCATGCTAGAGCGACGAACAGCGCCGGAGAGCCACAAAGTGAAGTTATCCGCCGGCATGAGCGGCTACCGATCTTCAGTAAAGCCGCAAATCATATTGTTAAGACCCAAAACTTTCAGAAGTTGAAGTGTAATGGCTTGTTTGACAGTTTTACTTATTTTTTAATGTGAAAACCACCCATGATACATACAATGAGCGTGCAAGGACAATCAAGCGAGCAGACGCCGTAAGACGATAAGCAGACAATGGCACGAATGAATACATGCGGAGGAGCTAATCGCCTTTACTATTGGCTGGAGGCCCTCTGGCCTCCACAGTGCTGAAGGGAACTTCTGAAACAGAGTATAGGTAGGCTGTGCTTACACATTGTGACTAGCAGACGTATAGTAAACAGCAGCATATTATTGGAGGTTTTGAGTACTTTATGGTGGCTATCTATGCTTGAGCTCATACCAGAGAGCTGAGCTTGCTTTCTAAATTGAGCTGAAATTATTTCTGGCAAATAATTACAGCAGTGTCTTTTCTTGGTAGTTTCTGTGTAACAGACAGCAGTGTCTGTGGTCTTTTCATTTTGCCATCGCACAAATTTCAGATGTCGGGTTTTGCATGGAAGTTGCTCTGCATGAATCTGAAATCTGGATCTAGGTTTTTTACATGGAATTTCTAAAGTCTCATTGCTGTTGTTTGCTTTTTTCCATTTTAATGGCCTTTCATATCTCACAGTTGTGGCAGTGACCTTCTTTATACCTTCTGTCTGTAGACATAACTGTTCGAATGCTTTGCTTTTCTTTTTCTTAAAAGTTTGACGTAGTTTTTGTACAGGCACACACATTTTTTTTGCTCAAGAGCCGGGGTTTGAAACAGGAGGTGAAGCAGACCCCTCTGACTAGTGATCAGTAATACATTGTAATATACGAAGTGCCTCAGCTATCTCTTGCCAGAGTTTAAAAATATGCCATTGCACTGTATTACGATGTGACAGAATGTAGGCTGTTGACTATTGAATGGAATAGGCTGTGATATTGCTTTTTTTAATCGCCCAATTAGTAATTTTTTATTTGCAAACTTTTGAAGTAACAAAGATGGGTGAAAAATTTCAATGACAAAGTTGTAGATTGGTTTGCAAATTATCTTACTATAAGCTTTTTGGCTTCCTATCTATTAAGTATTGGTATTTTTCTGGTTAATATGCACGACCACGAAGTAAAAGAAAGTCACAGCTTTGCCGCAAAGGGGAAGCAATGAACGAAACAGCAACAAATTAGAAGGTCACGCGCAGAGTGGCTAGCAGATCGAAACGTGTTCTGCGTTTTTCATGCACAAATAATGCAGAAAAAATATTCTCACATTCAGATAAACGCGAATAAGCGTCTCGGCTGTTACTTTGCTGTATCTGAAAAAGTGCGCTCTTTTCGCAAATGTAGACTGTGCAATGATTGCAGTGACCTTTGTGCACCCGGTGACTAAAACAGAATCGTTCCGGTAAAAGCCGAACGCCAGCCAAGACGTACGTCTTCCCTAAAGCGAGATACGGGCGCGCGAGGAGCATCGACCTCTGCTTTTTGCCGGGCGAAGTGCGCGTGGGAGATGACAGCGTGGTTGCCGCGTCGTGACGATGTTGCTACACGCGCTATTTGCGCCACCTTGCTGGTAATGCTGATAACACGATAGTCTCCTGTCGGGATACCCGTCAGTAGCTGCAAGTGGTAGGTATAGATGGCTTGCAGTTTCAACGTTGAAGGACGTGCTCCTTTGTGGCTCAGTGGTTAACGCTTCACACTCACTATTCAGAGGACCTAAGTTCGAGTCCGCATGCCGGAGTCTTTTTCTGGATTTTTTTCCTTTCTTGCATTTTCACATATATAGATACGAATGCATATACGGTGATTGACGGCGACAAAATCCAGCCGAGAGTGTCCATATAATTTCTATTGCAATAAAACATCACATAGATTGGTATGAAAATCGTACGAATATAGACTTCTTAACTCCCTCTCTATTTAGTATTAGTGTTTTCCGGGTTACTATGCACGACCACAAAGTACAAAAAATATCACATGACATGCCCATTTGTATGCCTAAGCTCATGGTTTCATGTGCAAACGACCGTAGCGCATGGCCAAGTGTGCTGCCTCGACAGGACAGTGACAATTGTGGTGGCTGTGGGATGACGCACATTTTGGTGGCGGCAACACAAGGGATGACTGTCGTGAGGGAAGCATATCGTTTGTACATAAGACATTGGGGAGCACTGCAATCGCAATGCGCCCACGCGCACAAGTGTGGCATGTCATCTGTATTCTTTTGTATTTTGCTAGCATCTGTTGTAAGCAGAACAACACTAGTACATAATAGATGTGAAGCTAGGAACTGTCGAATAGGACATTTGCAAACCGAACGACAATATTTGGAAATGGATTTCTCTGACCAGGTTTGTTGCTCCAAAGTTACTTGAACATGCCAAATAAGGCTTAATTGAGAAAACAAAAACTACAGTTTTGCTCCATGCAGTAGTCAGCAACATGCATTTGGTCGCGTCATCATAAGTGTCGGCATGTTTTAAACTCTGACTAAAGATAGCTGGGGCACCTTGTATTTACCCCCTTCACATATTTATGCATACATATGTGCATACATAAAACCTCGAGCAAGCACCCCTCTCTCCCATTATGGTTAAAGATAATTGACAAGTTTTAGAAGGGGCCTTGCTCGGGCACCGATCAAAAGTCAAGATGGCAGTGGGAGAGCCATGGGTGCCTCCAATAAAATGCTTTATTGACTAGGCATGCATTGAGTGTCATTATTAGCCCTCATCGGGTGAATAAAAACAGTGAATGGAGCAGTAAAAGTGGTGGAATGACAGTGGGCAGCACTCGCTCATTCATTAGAGGATATTTCATGTCTCCCGAAAAATGGAGAGGGTGCTTGCTTAGCATTTTACATTATATTCACACATAAATACACACATGCATGCATGCAAGCTGCCTAGTGCAGGTTGGGCCCCCTGTGAGCTAGCAGAGCCTTCTTCGAACTGTAGGGCAAATGAAGCTCTGCTCAGTTGTAATAACTACTCATGAACAGTGGCACAATTTTTGGAATTTATAGGGTGCTACGTGGGTCTGCAACTTGATAGGCAGAACCTAATGAAGTCCTTGAAATGGGCACTAGAGATTGACCAATATTGACTGCTGGCTTTCTGCAGTGTGTCATGTAATGACATATGCCTCTGCGATAGTGTCAACGTATGAAAAACATTGCCAATGTGTTACAGTGCTCCTTTGATTGATATATGGGGGTTTAACATGCCAAAACCACCATATGATTATGAGAGACGCAGTAGTGGGGGGCTCCAGAAATTTCGACCACCTGGGGTTCATTAACGTGCACCCAAATCTGAGCACACGGGTCTACAACATCTCTGCCTCCATCGGAAATGCAGCCGCCGCAGCCGGGATTCGATCCCGTGACCTGCGGGTCAGCAGTTGAGTACCTTAGCCACTGGACCACCGCGGCGGGTGGGGTACCGTGCTCCTTTATCAATCGTAATAATTGTATCGAGGATGCAAATATTGATACAAGGTTTCATGGGACTCAGCACCAGAACAGCACATCTTTGGCTTATAGTATTTCTGACTTTGTACCAGGTTGGACGATTTTGAGCTGTGCCAGAATTGTTTTCGACCATTTACATGTTAGTACTGGGGCTTACAAAAGCCTGCAATGTTGACAGCACTGCCTTAAGGAGGCAGACTGGTCTTAGACATTTTTTGTTTATTTCTTCAGTGATCTTGATCAGACTGCACAGGATTATCAGTTTTTTCTGCTGATTTCAAGTATTTAATTAATTTTCTTGTCACATCTTGTTCCTGAGATGACATAACTTCGTCCCTCTATCTGTTTAGGCTGCCATAAGGTAAAAAAGGCTTAATTAAAAGTGATATTTAAGATATGCAACTTATACTAATTAGTAGGGATTGAAGTTGCAAGAGTTTTGTTTTTATATATAGGTTATATTTTATATATAAGTTTTATAGGTTATGTTACAGCAAAATGAACTATTCATTTTCAAAATCAGTTTGAATTGTGTTACAATTTTGATGAGTAATTAATTTAAAGAACTTGTTCTCTACATTCTGCTCCCTTACTTGCATTCTACACACATACAGGTTTTCATTGAAAAAAGAATTATTGTGGTACCTGCCCTAGCTGCAGAGGTATTGAGGCCTCAAAATTGAACAGTCGCAAATTTGGAAAAAACAAAAAAAGCAGAAAACACACAGCTTCTCCGAAAAGTAACATCATGGTGCGCATGTTTTGCAATCCTCATAAAGGTGCTTATAAATTTGTAGTACAGTTTCTAACACAGGTGCTGGCAAGTTATAAAGAAGGCTTGAAGTCTGTTCCCCATTTTTTGCTTCGTTCCGCATGTTCACAGCACCAAGAATCTGGACAGTTAGAATGACATTACAAAAAAATTGCCCCTTCCTGGTGTGTGAAAATTTGCAGAGAGATGGAAAAAATGCTTGCAGAAACGAAATATGTCAATTTTAAAAAATGAATTTTTTTGTCGCTTATTGGTCCCAAAGACCAGTCTGCCCCCTTAAGTAGTCACTCAAGGATATTGCCCTGCGGTAAAACCAGTCATTGTTGTGTAAGGTACACCACTGAGGTTGATGAGCTATATTTCTTTAAGGACATGTCTCATGAACAAGATCATCACTCTCGATATTTGTGATTTGCTGCTGTGAGTGACCAGCTTAACAAAGCTTTGCTTAAAGAGATGTTCACAGTGTAGCGATTTGGTGGGTTAGGGGTGTAGGTATAAGGCCTAAGGCCCTATGATGCCCATTCTCTAATATCATCCCTTTAATGATAGCTGCAGTTGGCATGAGATTGATCAACTTATCTACGTCAGTGTTCTAGGGTGCAGCATAACTGTTCCTTGAATTCTATAATGCATGTAGGCTGCATTGTGCGCACCCACAATGCCAAAATTATTTTACTGAACTCGTGCGAAATTTAGGATTCAGTGGCATATATTTGAGTTCTCAGCCATCTAAATATAAGACAAAAATTTTTTTGACAACATTTTAAGAACATGCAATATGCAGACAGTTAGCAGGAATTGCTGCACTTTTTGTCGCTATTGGGTACTTTTTTTTATCAGCAGCTTTCAGTTATTTTTTACTACACTCACAGAATCTAGGGAGACTAGCGTAAACATTTCTTCCCTTAATTTTTTTTGTCTTACTTTCTCAGTTGTTGCTTGCTCACTCGGTAATTTCCAGCCAACTTTCAACTTTTCAGGTTGTCCAGAAAGCACTCGAAGCCAGCAATGGCAAAGAGGTGAAGCCTTGCGAGGGGGTTGGCAGCAGGTGCACCATATTGTAGCATGACACCTCGTTGGACATTTGCTCTGCTGGACGACCGTGCAGTTGGCATTCCTGGACAATAGTCGAAGGTTCGGGAAATACGCAAAAATGATGGCTTGGCCCCAAACCTTGAAAAGGGTCTTGCCTGAAGAACCGCCGTCTTCCTACCTGGTGCTACTTGCTCTGTGGAAAGCCATTCATGTATGGACTATGCAGAAGTAAATGAATAGTTGTTGTTGTTTCTTTTTTCATTTCGTGTTTTTCTTCTGGCGGTTTGTAAGTTCATGAAATAAGAGCCAAGTTAGGAGTTGCTTGACGATCCATACTACTGAAGGCTTCTATAATAATATTTTCTGGATTGAAACTCGTTCGCGAAACCAAGGCATGTTAGGTGACATTATGTCATTATATATTGTTGAATCTTGACAGCTGTCACTTAACGTATGGAGCAAATGGGAAGACTCTGCAAGCTATCAAAAGGGTGCAACTGTTTAGTAGTTTGAGATTGACTTGCCGTGGGCAGCATAAACGCTGTTAAAGCGTAGCTTTCGGTGCGTAACAATGAAGCAATTTTCCCAGCTAGGTCGCATTATCACAGCTACTGCACCGATACCTCTGAGCACAACAGCGCATGGCTGTCTCTTCACCAGAAGCTCTGAAGCAGCGCTATTCTTTACTGAAACTTGTGTCTATTTCATAAGTGATGCATTGTGCTGCAGAAACTATGCAAGAGTGTAATGCTTAAAATTTTGTGATTGGTTTTCGTTTCAGATGCTCATGCTAGCCTAGCGCTAACGTGCATGTGAGGTGCCTTGACTGGCTGCTAATAAAAAAAACCCAGAAAGGAAAACAGTAAAATGCAATACGTTCAGAACAACACATTAACAACTGCACATGGTTTGTTTCTTTTCTAAGACAAACATTCTTCTAAGAACAGTTCATCATATTTGCTGGTTAAAATACCGAGCTATTCTTTGCATCTGCCACGAGATGTCTGAACGGTCTCCACTATATTGCTGCACCATGTATCAAGTGGAGTTTAGATGCAATTATCAGGCTCTATTGCAACTCCTTGTTATACAATGGTAGACATGTGGAGCTTTCTAGGGAGCATTCTGTCGATAGAATTTTTCAGATCAGTGTATTATACGAGGTGTGAAAAATTGAAATGTTGCTTTGCCAAGTTCTTGACTATTCCACTGCCAAAAAAGACGCTGTTTTTTTTTCTGCTGAAATAGTCTAAAGTTTAAATGCTGCGCTCCCGCCACCCATTGATCAAGCCCGAAGGACAATAGGCTTCACTATGGATTTAAAAAATGAAAATAAGGCATTGACGTGCTTGTCGCAATGACCTGTCATTGGTCCCTGGCTTTCCTGAAGTAAAGAGGGAAAGTAAAAAATCTTTCGAATGCAACATCATAGTAGAACAGAAGATATAGAACATTACAGCCATTATGAATGGACTGCTATTGTCGAAATCCTGAATGTCCGCACCCAAGTATAATCGCATAGGCAAGACTATGCACCCCTGGCTGCTAGGTGACTGGAAAGATGGTCACCCCCTTTGCCACCCACGTGAGCACGCCTATGATCATCATTACGAACTGGCACTTCTTCCTCTTCTGCTCGACCTCAGAAATACAGTGCTTGGAACATTATGCTGATTTGTCCAGCCGAGGAGGCACTAACTCAATGATCTTAGTGAAAGAAATTGCTGTAGCTTGCATTGGAGGTGCAATACTGAATCGGAGCAAAGCTGATGAGCATCTATGGAATCCCGGCTTTTGTGGTGTTACCGAGTATTGCTGATTTTCTTTCTTCCTCTGTTTCTCCTCTTATTTCTCATTCTCTCTCCCACTAATATTCACTTGCTTCCTCCTTTTTCTACCAATTTCTTTCTTTGCTTGGTCTCTATATATTTCTTGCTTTTTCTTTCTTTCTTGCTTTCTCCATTTCTTTCTATTAATCTTTCCCTTTCATTTTATACTATTCTTTACTCTCTTGCCTCCTCTTTTCCCCCTGCCTGGATGGCTGAGTGGCTCAGACACTTGTTCAAAGAATGCCACCTTTTGAGGAGTTAGTTGGTGTTTGCTGCTTCTCGTGTCTTCAGCTCGCCTCCGCTTCACAGTCATTTGTTAAGCTTAGTGCTGCCTTCTTATTTTTTTTCTGTTTTGTGAACTACTGTGGGGAGTAGTAGGATTTACCCAATTTCTGTGGCGCATACCCATTTAGGCCACACAGTGCCACATAGCTGTTTTTCGAAAGGCTTCATGGGTGTAGCAAGGGGGGGGGGGGGGGATTCACCCTCAACCCCGAATTTTTAAAATTTTGCTTGTGTGTATATATATAAACACATACCAATACTTGCATATCGACACAACCCCCTCCTCCTAGAAAATAATAAATTTCTGACTGCACCCCTGATAGGCTGCACAAATTATGGCTAGCGTGAACAGCGTCCCTGTTAAATTTTGGAATTCGAACCTGCACACCTATATTCTGCAGGTAAGGGTCAAAACCATTTGGCTATCTAGACTCTAGCAGAGAACATAGCTTTGTACAAGAGAGTGGCAAAGGAAAGTAAAGGTGAGGAGGAGAGAGTATAGCGGATAAAGAAAGGAAAAAAAATGACAGATAGAAATAAAGTAGCTCAGCATAAGTAAGAGAATTGAAAAGGTAGGGTAAAAGAGGAAGTGAGAAATGTAGAGGAAGGGATGAAAGAGACTGAAAGAAATAGACTACAAATGCATAGAAAAAAAACATGAGATGAAGCAAAATAATGAAGGCTGCACACCTCCACCCTTCCTTCAGCTTTTGCATCGCTAGTGCAAGTCTGCCTTAATTTTTTCAGTATTAGTTTATAATACATGAGTGATTCTGGGTGAACCTGGCTCTCGCATAGCCTACCTCACGTGTTTTTACATGTCAATAAATGGTCATTTTGAAGGACTGCAAGTGAGGATAGCAATGTTTAAGTAAATTTTAGAAGGGGATGAACTGTTTACATAAGTGCATTGCTTTGTGACACTGCACACAAGACCATCAGCACCAGCAATACAAAGCATTTGCCTGTGTTCGTCTACCCAAACTTAGTGGCAAGGTTACATGAGCAGTTAAATGAAAGCATTTTTATAACACTTTTTTTTTATTAAATCTGGTCTGTGGCACACCAAGAGCAACACTCCAGATACTCCCGATATGCACTAGTTTTGCAGAAAGTACACGCTGTGGACGGTACCCGAGGAAAAGTTCCAGTAGGTAATTTTTTTGCCGTGTGTTAATATAGCTGGTGAAACGAAGAATCTGACATGCTGATAAAACTGATTACACATTCGTCTTCATTTATTCATGAACAATAGGCGACACCACTAGACTGCATTGGCAGGTAGAGATTTTCATTGCAAGAGGCTCCTCGGGGAACGATCTGGTTTCACCGATGAGAATAAATACGTCTATTTTCTGCTGGCACGGGTACACAAAGGCTGATCACTGCCTCGGCATTTTTTTATTTTTATTTTATTGTGGGGAGGGCGGGGGGGGGGGGGGGCTCACGACGTTTATTTAGCGTAGCCCAGAGAGGATAACGGCGGCGTGCTTTGCGATTGAAACATTGAAATAAATTAAGGGGATGTTTGTAGTTAACTGAGTCACTGCAGCACAGCGATTAAGGTTTGCTTCCCTGCAAAGGCGGCAAGGATGAGCTAAGCGTTATGACCGACATGTGTGTTTTCCGTGCGCCAAGGCTAATCTCGGGTATCTGCGGCAGCGCTACAGTGAGCTGCACGTACCTGGGCGTTGCCCATTCTACTTTGTGGGTGAGTGCCATCATGAAGAGGATGCCATATCATCATCAGCCGTTTCTCTTTCGTTCCACCGCACGCATATGCGCGTATCGCATCGCTCGGGTACCACGAGAACGCTTGCGCGTGACTTGCCGGGCTCGCGTTCCGCTGTCCAACTGCGTGCCGCGCTGTCTTGCTGCGGTCGTTCACTCGCTCGGCCGACAGATTCGAGGTAGGCCTGTCTGGTTTATGGATCCCACTTTTGTAATTGCGACTTTATTCTCTGCAGGTTTTGCCCGGAAGTGGTGTACTAGCGTGGATCGGCAAGAATGGCTGGAACGAAGCCAGTTAAGGTCGTTGTTGAGTATTGGTAAGTCGGTCGGTACTGCTAATGCTTCGTTCTAAGGCAGCGGGTATGATTCCGGTCGCATTACGAACCGAAGTGCGGCTGCTGTGTAGGACATTGTTAATTTAGGGGGAAAAAAATCGAGATGAACGTGTTGCTTTCTTAATTTCGCGCTGTAATTCCGTCGTCTTTACGTCAGTGTGACGTACAACATGGGCTTATGTTCTTTTTTCTTTACATGGCGACCGCATTCGCTCAACGCGAGTCAGTCACGTATATATCGGCTTTGTCACGTGTCATTCCTTTTCGGGATTTTTTTACAGTGAAGTGGTATAGTCAAATTATGTATAAAGGCTGTCGTCCGGAAGAAACCACCAGGCCTTGCCGCGCCTCGCTATCGTGACGTCACGTCAAGCCGCGCATGCGCCGTATATTAGTGTACCGAAAACTAACGGAGTCGCCGTCGCGCCTGACAACCGCGACAAATGGGTAGATGTCACGCCTAGTCGTGCAGTAGCTGTGCATATATATATATAGGCCGCACCATATTTGCGTCGCCAACTGTGTAAGTCATAGAGTTAAGTGTACATGTGAGTGAGATGCACGTAGGGTACGTTCCCCTTCCGGGGGGAGCGGGGGGGGGGGTGAAGATTCATCGCAGCGTTTCCGCCTCTATTATATCAATGTATATGGCTAGCTGACTTTGCGCCCCCCCCCCCCCCCGCCCGATTGCAATGCCCCTACACTGAGTAAGCGGCTGGCTTTGCGCCCCCTTCTCTCTCTGATCCCAACCCCCTCGCGCGCACACGCCCATGTTCGGAAATACTATAAACGATCGAGCTGCACCCCGTCGTGCCAAGGCAGTTCTAGTCATCAATGTCCGAGTAATTAAGGTCCGTACACCCAAAGGAGGGGCTTTATCTCGAGACTCAGCATATGTCACCTATCGAGAATGTAGCCGTTGATGACAAACTGATTCACAAAATCTAAATAACCAAGCGTCATGAGGTTAAATGGCTAACCATGTAAAATTTAATAAAACGAACTAATAAATGAACTGGCTGCACAAGACTTGAAACAGCAAAGTTGGTCGATCCAATGTCTTATGCATATTAAGCTGAGAAAAAGCCTAGCATAAACCAAGCTCCGACATAGCGTCAGACAATTTCAGACCTAACCAAATTCAAGCCTGGCAATAGTAATAGCTATAGTTCACTATAGTAATAGCCAAGCTTGTGCCTAGCACTAGCCGAGTTCACGCGTAGCACCAGTTAGGAAATCTCATTCGATCGGTCAGCTTTGCTGTTTCAAGTATTGTGCGATCAGTTCAAGCTTTTTCACTTTGACTTTAATTAAGCCGCTCTCCGTAGAGAGTTGAAGAACTGCACAACGGGGATGGTATTGTGTGTTGCTGTGGCACAGCATCAGTTGAATTCACTTTCGTGGGTTGTGCTGGTGCTGCCAGTGGCATTGGTATCTATATTGCACACTGTAGCTGTAGTAAGTAATTTTTTTTAATGGGGGAAAAAGTGGAAGCAATACTTCTATATTTTTATTAAAATCACTCATTTACTATACGATATCTTGAAGTACCATGTAATAGCCAATATTTCGTTGCACCAGTATTAACTTCATGAAAACCGATGAAAAGCTTTTGTGCCTGGTGCAATCTAAACCTTGACTGTAAAGATAGCTGGAAAAAATCCTCACCGAACATTGCCGTAATGGCACACAGCAGCAATCACGCGCAATGCTGAAAGCAGCATTCTGCCAGCGGCCTTCTCAGTTTTAGATGACCAGTTCAGTGAACTTTGCATGCACTGATTTGCAGAATACATTTCAAACAAATGCAACCTCCTTGTGGTTGCACAGGGCTTCAAAATGACTTGTAAACATCACTCCTACCAAGCAGTGTTATGACAGAGATATGTATACAAATGATGCCAGCACGGACGAGGGTAGCTAGTTCTGCAGAAGTTCACTAAATTTTGCAGTGCATCTGGGACCGTTATCTAAATCATTTTTGCTTTACTTTCTTTTTGCAGTACTGGATGAGGGTACAAGAACCGCTTTGATGATCTGAAGAAGCAGATCCTCGCAAAGATACCAAATGCCACTGTGATTGGCAACGTAGGACGCAAATGTAAGTTCATTCTGGAAGCCATTCTGTGAGCTACACACATATAACTATCGTGTACCTTTTGTGCTTTCCTTGTCTTATCGCTGTGGTACGTCCTGGCACTTCCTGTTTATGGTGTGCACACTAATATCAGCATGCGAGCAAGCCAGATGGTGGTCATTGCTAATTGCCTAATAACATTTCTTGCAGCGTCCTTTGAAGTTGAAATCAATGGCGTCCAGGTATTCTCTAAGCTGGCAAAGAATGCCTTCCCAGACTTGGCGGAGGTAAGTTGATACCACCTTCCCATAAGTTTTGTCTGTTATCATTTATGTAAGAAGCGCACGTTCAACACTTCTTCAGCCGCACTATTTCCCATGTAGACATAGTTATCTGCTGCTCACCTTATGACCTTAATGGCGCTCTGCAACACTTTTTCTTCATCATCATCATCATCAGTATGACTATGCCCACTGCAACACAAAGGCCTCTCCCATGATCTGTCAATAAACCCTGTCTTGTACTCTCTGCAGCCGCTATATACCTGCGAACTTTTTTAATCTCATTGGCCCACTTAAGTTTCTGTCTCCCCTTCGTGTGTTTGCCTTCTCTTGGAATCCAGTCAGTTACCGTTAATAACCAGAAATCACCCTCCTACGTGCTATGTGCCCCGCCCACGTCTATTTCTTCTTGATTTCAACTATGATATTGTAGCGGCAAGAGAAGAGAGACGTGAGACGGCGTCGAAGGCGGCCGATGGGGCCGTGCTGATCTCGCCACTTTATTCCACGCCTGAAGAGCAGCCGCGGTGGCTGTCCACGTCCGACGTGCCAGGTGCGTGAGCTCGTTCTAATCCTCGCGCAGCTCGAGCTAGCACCAGCTGCGCGAGAGGCGCGGCGCGGCGATTGAGAAATGATGATGGTGATGATGGCACTACAGGGCTCCCCCCCTAGCGCTTTACGCGATTTGAAGGCATATGAAAAAAGAAAGAGAGCGACAAATGCTATATACATGAACGGCAATCCATAAAGTGTTCATTTGGCAAGTCCAGGTTGTCAACGTTTATGGGCCATCAGTAGGCAGTGTGTCTCCGGTGGGCGACTCTGGGAGAAGCGCAAGGGACGAAGAAGGAAGTGCCGGGTCGCTGTGTTCATAGACACGTCCATCCCACAATTACGCGGCGGGACCATTCGAATGCGCACCCGCCGTTTCGAGTAGACGCGGCTGACAAACGTGCCCACAGCTGGAACTGTGGACAGGCGCTGAAGAGCTCGCGCCGGCAATGTGGGCGAAATAGTGTGAAGGATCGGAACGCACCCATGATGACCGAGCACTGAAGTTTCACAGCCACAGCGGGGTCTCGGACAGCGCACAGGGTGCCGAGCATGCTGTCGACAAGGAGCAGCGTCGCGGTCGTGCTGGTGCGGACGTCTCTGTCGATGAAACACCGGCCTCCGCGTAGCACTGCGACGGGCATGCCGGGGCGTGTGGCAGAGTCGACGGATGCGGAAACGCCGTGCATTGCGGCTAGTCATGTGCACGGCAAGTGGTTGGCCCTTGCGTCGGGAAAACCTCGTAGGTGTTTGCGCCGTCTTGAAGGCCAAGGCTGCAACACATGACTGTTTAGCAAGAGGCTTGAAAAAGGGCCTCTCTGTACTATGCCGAACGTGACGATTTCGTTGGCATACTATCAAGGGCGGCAGATATGCAGTTGGACCGCACGTCGTCGCTGTTGTTACCAACGAGCCTGTGTGGCGGACTGCATCCGGCGCCAAATGCTCTGGGGAATAGTTGTGAAGCTCAGAAGACATGAGCTTTGATGGAGGATCGGGTGGCACAACTGAAAGACCATCGGTTCTCCGCGCATGAGGGTTGGTGTGCAGGTCTGCATGATCGAGGACAACCTCTACAGCATCTGTGGCATATGTAGTCTGCAGTGCCATAGGCGCGCCAGGTACGTCGTCCTCAGCTGCGTCAGTCATAGTCGCAGCCTCTCGGAAGTTTGGCTGTGGTTGACGGCTTATGACTTTAACTTCGGCTGCGGGAGACTGAGGGGCTGAAGATGGTCGCTGCTGGCAGGACGCAGAGAGCGTCGAGGTGGGTGGGGAGGCGCCTTCAGACATCGTCGACGCTGAAGTCTCCGCGACCAAGGGGCGAATAGTGAGCGTGAGGATATCCGTAGTCTTGGCAGACTCCGGGGCATGCGGCGATGAAGCCGTCGTGGAGTCTGACATGTCTGAGAAATCGTGGTCTGTGTAGGCCGGAGAAGACATGCGGGTGGCGAGAGTGCCCGAGGGACAATCCGCCGAGGACTTCGAAAAAATGCACCTCGTGGCGACCCGGTCGTTAGCTACAGGAACGTATTGAAGAAGCTCGTCGGATTTCGTGGCTGACTGGTCGCGTGCAGCACGAATGTTCTGAACCTCGTCGGTTGGGCATTCGTACGCGGGACTCGCGTTGATAGCGGCCGGACGAGATGTTGTAGGAGACGTAGTCGCGGAAGTTAGGTCCCCGGTCAGTGAAGACTTTCGGGCCGGAGGGTACCGCACGCTGCGACGCAGACGAAACCTGTAAGTCGCGGGTGAACGGCAGCGGGTGGTAGGTGAGGCCATAGCTGGCAAGCACCGCAGAGCAGAGGTCATCGTAAGGCTGCTGGCTGGAGGTTGAAGTGCCAGAGAGATGACGCAACTCTACCAGAAGGGCGTCTTGAAGAATGGCGTGCATCAGCGGCTGGTCCGTGACGCCATTCAACGCCAGAACAGCATCGAGCTACATGAACCATACCTTGGGGTAGGTCGATTGGAACGGCGGCACTGGCGGGCAGAGTTGCGGGGGAAATGGCCAGCGGGCCGCTCGGACAGCAAGGGGTGTTTCTCCGGGTCACCAAGTAGCGGCAAGAGAGAGGAAGGAGATGGCGTCGGGGGAGGACGAGGCCATGCTGATCTCCCACTTATTCCACCGCTGAAGAGCAGCCCGCGGTGGCGTCCACGTAAGACGGACAGGTGCGTGAGCTCGTTCTAATCCTCGCGCAGGATCCGAGCTAAGCACCAGCTGCGCGAGAGGCCGTGGCGCCGGTGATTGAAAATGATGAGGTTGATGATTGCACTACAATATCCTTAACCTTGGTTTGTTTCCTTACCCACTCTGCTCTCTTCTTGTCTCTTAAGGTTACACCTATCATTTTTCTTTCCATCGCTCGCTGCATCATCCTCAATTTAAGCTAAGCCCTCTTTGTAAGCCTCCAGGTTTCTGCTCTGTAGGTAAGTACCGGCAAGGTGCAGCTGATATGCCTTCCCCTTGAGGGTTAGTGGCAGATTACCATTAATTATTTGAGAATGCTTGCTGAATGGGATTCATATTGTCCTAGCTTATTCTTCTAGTTATTTAACTCTCATGGTTTGGCTTTGTAGTTACTACCTGTCCTAGACATATTCCTTTACAACTTTAAGCATCTCTCCACTTATCGCAAAGTGCTGTTTTTCTGCCGAGATTGTTGCAAATAACTTCAGTTTTGTGCATACTAATTTTCAGACCGACTCCTCTGCTTTTTGTGTCCAGTTCAGTGATCATGAGTTATAATTTGTCTGCTGTGTTACTCATCAAGGTAATGTCATCAGGGAACTGTAGGTTACTATGATACTCTTCATTGACTCTTATCCCTAACTCTTCCCAATCTAGGGCCCTGAAAACTTCCTTTAAATATGCTGTGAATAGCATTAAAGAGAATGCGTCTTCCTGCCTTACAACCTTTCTTATTCAGATTCTGTCGCTTTCTTTGAGATTTTGTTGGGATTCTGTCTTTGTTTACCTCCCTTATGAAAGTACACTTTTTCAAGTAATCATCGAATGGATTCATCCTAGGGCATTAACTGCCATAAAAATGTTTGGTATCGGTCTAGTACAAGGCGAGTTGCACGGCTTTTTCGCACACTTCTAGTGCTTTTATCTTTCTTTTAGTACCAGTGAGCGTGCTGAGAGCTATACAGGTACAAGTAGGTACAAGAAGATGCATTCAAAGCGCACTGTCGTTGCTTTTTTTTTCTATGAATGTGTAGTTTTCAGCATGATATACCAAGTGCATGCACATGATGACATCTGGTGGTGGCTGCGGTAACTATGTAGCTTACTATGGTAAGCCACTAGCCATGAATTTTGAGGCTATGGCAGTCATTTGGGTTTACGACATCATTTGTCGAGTCAAGAGAGAACCATTTTTAACCGACTTTAGTTGTTGAGTCCAGGTGGCATCCTCCGCCATGCTTTGCCCACATGCTCTCAGTTACCAATTAATATAGTTCTTTAACAATGCTGAAAAAGTGTTGCATCACCCCTTTGATTGATACTTTTATGATACATCGTCAGTTGAAGCAGTTCCAGGGACTGCAATTCTGGAGACTCTGCTTGCTGTATCGTGCTGTTACATTTTTTATCCTTGTAGTTAGGCCGTCTCTAATCATACTGTATATTATAATTTGGGATTTTGTGTGTTCATTGGGTTCGCGTCGTGTGATACCTTCACCAGTAGTTTTGCATCATGGTTCAAAATTTAGACATCGAGCCACCAACTTTGAAGCAGTTGCTTGGGGTGAGTTTTTATAATATAATACATTTTGTAAAGGCTTCTCTGTGTTTCAGTAGATCTATTTTCAGTAGGCTCTCATTGTGTATGTAGCAGTTTCTATTGTGCAAGAGAGAAATGCTAATTTTCATGAAAGTTGCTTTTTATTCACACTATGTAAGTATGTAGACACCCTACATATTTGAAAACTTGAACACATGCTGCTGAGTTTATTCTGTTGATCAGGTTGTTGCTCGAGCTTTGGATGCCAGCCAAGGGAAAGCGGTGCAGCCTGTAAATGGTGTCGAGAAGTAGCCTGGACATTCGCGCAACTGTGCATGTTACCCGTGAGTGGCTTATGCATCTCACATGTTGCACGCCATCTGCCTATTGCGTTATGTATATACTACGCATATATGCTTCTTCCTAACTTCTGGTTACAGATGATTATAGTGATATGAAGCATCATAGCTGTATAAAGAGGCCTCAATTTTCGTTATATAGAAGCATAGGAGTATAGCATAAAATTATCCCACACGTGATGTGATCTACCAGATCGATGACCAGTGAGCATTTTCACTAGCCATATAGCAGAACCAGAATAACACTAAAGGCCACTGCAACACCCTTTGTCCAAAAAACCGTCAGGCCTGCGCGAAACTCGCAACACAGTCACAGCGAAAGCTCGAAGAGCGGCCTTTCAGAGTGTTTTTAAATGCTGTTTGGGTAACTGCTGCAAGCACACTTGCTTGATACCCACTTTGGCATTAATAATAAACACTTTTGGGTAGTAGGCCGGCATTCGCTATGCTATTTTTCGTCATTCTCCTGAGAAGCATGGTATCCCCTACTAAACACATGCAAGGAGTTTAGTGCCAATTGTTCATGCAGTGGCTGACGATGACAAATTATGTCTGAAGTGGGTATGCACCACAGTTAATATGAAATCAAGAACAAGCTCTTGTAATGGGTTGGAGCATTGGTCATCCAATTGAATGACCCAGTCGTTACGCAATTCGCATTGTGTGACGCCTGGTTGTTCTTTTGCTGTTCTAAAACGCTTTATTACTCATATTAACTCGATTCCTTTCTTGACATCAAGCCTGCCTAGGGTCAATTTGCAACTGGTGTTTTTATTTACCGAGAATTTTTTTTTTTTTTTTTTTTCATTTCATGTGACAGTGGTTATGGACACCGATGGCGGTGGCAGACAACTACAGCGCCGCACGCGACCCGTGTTGTGATTTCAAAACGACTTTTGCTGTAAAATTCGAAACAAAGTTTAATAACAAAGAATGCATAAGTGCAACGCTTGCTCTGTTCCTTAGCAACACCATTTCAGTCATTGCAGTTACCATCAATAGTCAGACCCTGTGTAAATTACCTCAATTTTACATTTTCTCCTATTGTGGTGGACTTACAGCAACCCTTTGAGATGAGCATCTGAAAAAGATGCCTGGGTGCAACAAGAAGGAGTAGTGATAGTATGTCAAAAGATGTAAGTTATAGTATGCAAGATTATAGTTAGTATGGTGTGGGAATCATTGCTATATGATATTGCAAAATGAGAGTTATATACGCTGTATATAACATGTGTGACCTCACCAAGAATGTTTTACTTGCATGAATGTTCTTCCACATTTTTTTAAACATTTATACGAACTGTTATACCACTACTGAAGGTACTCAAAACATATAGTTGTGATATTCGTTGTGTTTGTTTGCAATCTTTTTCCTAATTTCAATCCTATAACCTAACACTATTGCATACTAGTCACTTTTTCTCACCCTATTGTGTTTTCTGTGCAAGTTTGTCTTGTCAGTAATCCTGATCATACCTTTTCATTTCAGATTGTACAACTTCCCTTCACGCACCTTCTCCAGTGGTCTGCCATGCCGTTGGCATTCCTGAACAGTAGCTGATGGTCCTGAAAGGTGCACAGATGATGGCATGATCACAAACCTCAAAAAGGGTCTTGCCTGAATAACCAGCACGTTCCGGCCCATTGTTATTTGTTCTGATGAAAGCCATTCGTGTATGAAGCCTGTAGAAGAAAGCTCATTTGTTTGTTTTCGCTTTGTGTGTGTGTGTGTTTCCTAACAGTTTGTAAATTAAGAAATTTCTTAACTTTAAACACAAACTATGCACAGCAGTGGACCCTGAAGGGGAGCTTGCTAGTGGAAATAAGATCGACTAAGTGGCATGCCTACGCTGAGTTGTTAATGACCGACGCGTACAGTTTTTTCAGATATTATGGACAAGCACAGAGAGTTATTAAATGTATGCAACTATTTGGTGGACTGCATTGCAACATGCTGCGAAATACATTAGCATAGCCAGGCCTGAAGTTCTCATGGTGACGACGGTCTGGATCCTTCATGCTAAAGCTGTCAAAAAAGCATTCTGCTCATATAACAGATGAATTAACACTTTAAAACCACCATACGATTGTGAGAGACATAGTGGATGGCTCCAGAAATTTTTACCAACTGGAGTTCATTAAAGTGCATCTTAATCTAAGCACACAGGCCTCAAGCATTGTCACCAGCACCAAAAAACACGACCGCTGCTGCTGGGATTCGATCTCGCAACCTGTGGGTCAGCAGCCAAATGCCTTAGCCACTAGATCACTGTGGCAGGTCAATGTATCAACTTAGAGCATCTGCAACGCTGTACCTTTTCGTTTACTTAAGGACTTCAAACTCGCAAAAGCTAGTGCTTGATATGAAACCACCATAATCATTCACTGGAAATCACGCAAAGCCTGGTATGTTGAGTCTGTAAAGCACTTGGCCTGTTGTCCGAGGTGCCACGAACATTATAATTTGTTCTCCAAGACTGGGAAGTGCATGCCATGTTCGGAAACTCTTGACAGACCACCTTCTAAGGTACGCTGTTTTTATATACCAGACCAGCAGCTCGACAAGATTGGTTTACTAATTTGGAGGTCTGCAGCTATTTTAAAAAAGCATTTTTGTTCTAATGAATTTTTAAAATTGAACCACTTGGAAACGAACACGGTGTTACTTTCTGATGCTTTATTGCTAGTTGATGTCTTTTTCCAGTCACTGACTACATCATGTATTTTTTGTATTTTTCTTTTCTGTTGCTGATTAAAAATAGCACTCTGCACAATTGTACTGCCTGTACGGTTTACTTCATCAGTACATTGAAGTGAACATTGCAGAACCCTGTTGTCAAATAGTTTTTTTCTTTTCTGCAAGAAACTTCCTTCACGTCTGGATTTATGTGAAAAGCATTTCAAAGCCACACTGTTCTCTCATAGTACCTAGATCTAGTCTAAGCTGTAGGGTTCTATACTACTGTACACCGCTGTTCTTTATGAAAGAGAACACGCGATCGTGTGGCCTGCTCTCTACAATGATAGTATCTTGCGGCGCTTGTCCAGCGGCCACAACTCGTTGTTTAGTTTGCGAATAGACTACGCCAAAAGCCAACGTCTTTTCTTTCGCTGACGATTGATGATGGTCTACTAGACAGCTGCTACAGAGTGCTGACCATGCGCTCACGTGTTCCCCTTCATAAAGGATGACAGTGTACGTGTATGCACCACCTCTTCCTGTCCCCATCATCATATCCTTCATCCCTCCTTCTTTCACCCTTCTTTTATCCCCTCTGTAGAGTAGCAGGCTAGAATGCACTAGCTCAAGATGACCTCTCTGCCTCCTAATAAATTTTCTCTTTGTAATAGGTGCATGCACTCAGTACAATGTTGGCTCACACATGTCAGTTGTTTGGACTACAACATGACAACGCGTTTAATTCCAAGGTACAATAAGGCTGCATTGTACTGCACATGTGAGCAATTTAGACTGGGTTGAATTTATAGGTTCACGGTCATCTATATAAAGAGAAGTGGAAATTTCACAACATTTTCTTCAATATATTATTGTATGAGATTCTTCATCAAGATTTGCAGGGAAAGCATCAATGTTAGGTGAATTGACACTAATTTGTAAAACTGGAATGAAAATCATTTTTAATTTGAGCAAAAATCTAATTTTAGGCCGAGATTGCCATGTCGACTTTAGAGTTTTCAGATAAAGAAGAAAAAACATGGGGTAGGGGGGGGGGTTACGCTACGCGGGGGCCGCATAATACTAAAGTTCGCATGGTGACAATGTTAGTCGAGATCCTTCATGCTAAAGCTGTCAAAAAGCATTCTGCTCATATAACAGATGAATTATTAACAATGAACCCCTGTATATACACCCAAAGCACCTCAATCGACCTTCATGTCTAGTTTTTAGATGCGTGTCACACATGTCCCGTTAATTAGGGAGGCGATCGCCGGGCTAATTCCAAGGGCCGAAGTATTGGCCCTCCGAACCGCACCACGAAAGCGTGGACAATTTAGAAGTGGTCCTTTTTGGCGCGCCAGTGGACGCCGGCTGTGGCCCAAAGAACAAGTCAGAGCCGAGAGTTGATAAACAAAACAAATACTATATTCTCAAAAAATGGCAGATCGAAAACAATACACAAGAATGCACACTCCACAATAGTTACATACAATACATCACCAATCAAACAACGTACTACACAGTACAATCAGCCACACTCAAAACAACGGACACAGACAACGATACGCACTACAATGCAGTCGCATGCATTGAACCACCGAGACACTTAAAGACTAAAGAGATAGAAAACCTATCCAGTCCAAAGTTCTTGGAACAAAAGTTTGAATGATACTCTTCCGAGAATCACTCACTCAAAGTCCAGTGTTGTTGTCGTGCCGCAGTTCTCGAAGTTTCTCTTCCAGGAAACCTCGCCGGAGTTTCTCTTCCAGGAAACCTCCCGTCTTCAATAGGCCACTCTCCAAGCTTCAAACTTCTTCGCCCGAACGCGTCGGCTTCACACACGCAGCTGTTGCCACGCGTCCTCGCTCGATAGCGGTAGACACACGCTCTTGCCTGTAGCTCGAGCCTTCACCCCTCAGGTGGAAATCCTCTTCATTTCCTGCTTCGTCCCTACGGACGAAACCTTCGCCGACTACACGGCGGGATCCCTACGCACTCTGGCGCTACTTCCGTCTTCTCCTGCTTTCTCGTCTCGGCGGCTCGATTAAATACCTTCCGCGCCACCTTCCAGAAAGTTCTCCTCATTTCGTCGGCGCGATGCGCAACGAAGGCTGGGGAGAGGCGTGAGACGGTTCGACTGCCCTCCGCGTCGGATGACTCATCTCGGCGTGGCCACGCCTCCTTCGTTCTAGAAAAATCGCGGGCTTGCTCGGCCGCCGTTGTGGGGTGAGGAGGTTCGTCGATGAAGCCACGCTTCTGCGGGGAGAGCGCGCGCCCGGGGAGCCCTGGGCCGTTTGTTTTCTTTTTCTTTCCCCTTTTTTTTTCTTTTGACTTCGCGGCGTTTCTTCCGCGCGTTACCGCAAGAATTTGCGGCGCGCCTATTTTTAGCGCTCGTTCTGTGACACTGCCCCCCACTTTAAGAATATTATCTCATAATATTCAAAACCACACAAACGAGCGCGAACAGTCACCACACACTCTCACGGACTGTAACATAGTCCGTCGCTCATGACACTTCACATTCACAATATATCACTCAATACGATTGGACATTGTAATTCAATTACACAACACGTGAAAACACAACCACAAGCGCATGAGTACAACACTCCACCACACATTCCCAACAATACAAATGTACAAAGTTCTCTCATTACAACAATGGTACAATACTATATATCACATCACAGCACAACACTTCGACACTTGTGACACAGGATAACACAACATTAACACAACGTATGGCACTCAGCACTGCCCAACACATTCTGATTCGACTTCAGCACTTATCCCGAGTACTTCGAGCAGCGCTTGCGCCCTTTCTTGCGGTGCTCGCTCGATCTCTTCTTGTGTTTCCACGTTCGGCGAGCCCTTTCCAACGACGGTATCTGAGGCGGCGTCTCAGCCATCGTTGTCACTTCCGACACCGTTAACGGGTCATAACGTTCAAGGGGTCCTATATGTTTATTTACCAGCTCGTTCATGTCATGGCCTTGGGCTTGGCTCTCCAACTCCGTCACCATTACACTGTCGGTCGGTTGGGGTCGTGCCGACGTACGTCCAGTTGCTCGGCCCGTGAACATAATTATTCGACACGATTGTCTTCTCCTTCGCTGTCTCTTGCGCCGCAGCTTCACCTCGGGCTCTAGTGAGATCCGCCACGGGATGCTCCTCCCTTGTATCTCGCGGCCGCTGTGTAGGCGAGGGCTCTATCTTCGGGTCTTCTCCCAAACATTCTGGATCATTCGGCCCTCGCGCCCCGACGATGTTTCCGATGACAAGGTCATACAGGGGGGTCGTCATGCATAAAGCCGTAACCTTCCCGCTGAAGTACGGGGTTTCAACCTCAATTTCTGCTTCGGGAAGCAGCCGAACTGTACGGTCAATTAGGCAAACCGGTTTCGTTCTGCCTGTCAACTCACTTTCCCGTACCAAATTTCTCCGCACGATAACAGTGGAACTGCTGGTATCTCTTAACACCGTAATCTTTTTGCCCGCGACTTTTCCAGGCAGTGTTAGCATTCCTTTCGTAACACCGGTTGGCTGTTTTGACATTACAGCACCCACAATAGGAATTTTTTCCCCATTTTTCAACTCTACGAATCCATCAGGGACGGCATTATTATTATCAGATTTCGGTGCCGTTTGCACACAAGATACCTGGTGAGTTTGACTCATTCCGTTCCGACAAGCGTCTGCTTTGTGCCCAGTCTGACCACACTAGAAACATTTTACTGCCGTAGGGCTCGTAAAGATCGTTCGACAGTTTTTCGCGCGATGACCCACTCGGTTGCACAGAAAACATCGCGGAATGCTCTCTGGTGCACGATTCTTTTCTTCGGGAGCCAATTTCTTCGAATCATCGGGACAATCCTTCTTGACCTTGGCCAAATTAGTTCCACCTTGCGCTTCCAAGAATTGATCAGCCAATTCAAGCATTCCTTCGAGTGACTCAGCCTTCCTCTCTTTCAAGTACAGCGACAGGCTTGGGTGGCAACTAGTAAGAAATTGTTCTCTAATTAGGAGCTCTCTAAGCTCATCGTACTCCTGTGCTGTCCCTGAAAGTTCAATCCATCTGTCGAAATAATGGCAAAGTCGGGCGGCATACTGCGTAGCCGTCTCCCCATCAGCTGGCTTTCCTGTCCTAAATCTGTCCCGGAATCCTTCCACGGTAAATCTAAATCGCTTCAGCAAAGCAGCTTTCACCTTTGCATAGTTGGCTGCATCGGTCGGCGTCAGCCTACCGTACACACTGAGCGCTTCAACACTCAAGCAAGTACTCAAAGCAGTTGCCCATTGATGTTCCGGCCAATTCTGGCTCTTCGCAATCGTCTCAAATCGGTGAAGGTACGCGTCAAGGTCGTCCTTCCTTTCATCAAACGCTACGAGCAGCTTGCTTGGGTTCAAGCGGAAGCCATGGTCTTCCCGTTCGCTGCTTTCAACTCTAGCTTGGACGGGAGTTTCGTTTCGCTGTTGCAAACGTAGCCGCTCGAGTTCAATTTCGTGCTGCCGCTGCCGTTCCCTTTCAGCCATCTCCGCTTCTCTTTCTTCTTTCAGCTGGCGCTCCCTCGCTTCTCTTTCTTCTCTCGCCCTTTCGGCTGCCAACTTCTCTCTCTCCAGCTCCAATTTCAATTGCTGCTCTCTTTCTTCTTTTAGCTGTCACTCCCTTGCCTCTCTTTCTTCTTTCAGCTGTCGCTCCTTTGCCTCTCTTTCTTCTTTCGGCTGTCGCTCCTTTGCCTCTCTTTCTTCTCTCGCTCTCTCAGCTGCCAACCTCTCTCGCTCCAACTCAGCCGCTTTTTCTTCCTTGGCTCTCTCTTTTTCTTCTTTTTCCTTCTGGGTGACCCACTTCCGTAGTTCGGCGCCAGAAAGCCCCATCTTCTCACCAAGAGCGACTAACTTTTCGAGATCCATTGTATCTCGCAAATAAAACCTTGCCTTGTGCAAAAAATATCTGCCTAAATCGGTCTATCGGAACACTCCCCTGCACTCGTTAACGAGAACACTGAACAACACACCAAATCGTTCCGATAGCACTATCAACAACTCGAGGTTCTTTCTCACTACTTTGGACACACTGTGCGCCAAAAGGTCCTGTCGCGGACGCCAGATTAATTGTCACACCTGTCCCGTTCATTAGGGAGGCGATCGCCGGGCTAATTCCAAGGGCCGAAGTATTGGCCCTCCGAACCGCACCACGAAAGCGTGGACAATTTAGAAGTGGTCCTTTTTGGCGCGCCAGTGGACGCCGGCTGTGGCCCAAAGAACAAGTCAGAGCCGAGAGTTGATAAACAAAACAAATACTATATTCTCAAAAAATGGCAGATCGAAAACAATACACAAGAATGCACACTCCACAATAGTTACATACAATACATCACCAATCAAACAACGTACTACACAGTACAATCAGCCACACTCAAAACAACGGACACAGACAACGATACGCACTACAATGCAGTCGCATGCATTGAACCACCGAGACACTTAAAGACTAAAGAGATAGAAAACCTATCCAGTCCAAAGTTCTTGGAACAAAAGTTTGAATGATACTCTTCCGAGAATCACTCACTCAAAGTCCAGTGTTGTTGTCGTGCCGCAGTTCTCGAAGTTTCTCTTCCAGGAAACCTCGCCGGAGTTTCTCTTCCAGGAAACCTCCCGTCTTCAATAGGCCACTCTCCAAGCTTCAAACTTCTTCGCCCGAACGCGTCGGCTTCACACACGCAGCTGTTGCCACGCGTCCTCGCTCGATAGCGGTAGACACACGCTCTTGCCTGTAGCTCGAGCCTTCACTCCTCAGGTGGAAATCCTCTTCATTTCCTGCTTCGTCCCTACGGACGAAACCTTCGCCGACTACATGGCGGGATCCCTACGCACTCTGGCGCTACTTCCGTCTTCTCCTGCTTTCTCGTCTCGGCGGCTCGATTAAATACCTTCCGCGCCACCTTCCAGAAAGTTCTCCTCATTTCGTCGGCGCGATGCGCAACGAAGGCTGGGGAGAGGCGTGAGACGGTTCGACTGCCCTCCGCGTCGGATGACTCATCTCGGCGTGGCCACGCCTCCTTCGTTCTAGAAAAATCGCGGGCTTGCTCGGCCGCCGTTGTGGGGTGAGGAGGTTCGTCGATGAAGCCACGCTTCTGCGGGGAGAGCGCGCGCCCGGGGAGCCCTGGGCCGTTTGTTTTCTTTTTCTTTCCCCTTTTTTTTTCTTTTGACTTCGCGGCGTTTCTTCCGCGCGTTACCGCAAGAATTTGCGGCGCGCCTATTTTTAGCGCTCGTTCTGTGACAATGCGGAAGCATCTTATACTCGCGCCTTGTAGTGCGCCGTCCGCACCGCTTCTCGAACATTCGACAGCTGACGCGCGCGCATGCGCCGTCGCGCCGTCGCCCACTCTTCCACCATCTGTGCATCCCTTCCTCCTCTACACACCGCGCGCGCTTCACTCCTCCACCATCTGTGCACCCTTCCTCCTCTACACACCACGTTCGACATCTACAATTCTCCTGATTCTCCAGTGGACGCGCATGTGGCGTCGCGCTTCGAGAACATTCAACAGCTGACAGTGCATGCGCCGTCGTGCTGTATATATACTCAAGGTCGGCGCTCACTCGCTCAGTTGCCGCTCGTCGGTTGGTTTGTACGGCGCGTCGACGTCCAAGGTCGCGGTGAAATGAATTCCAACGAATCACAAACACAATGATCGACGTCCCTTCGACCAGCGCCGCCCTTTCGCATACGTGTGTACGTGTTCACTCATTTAACACCCCCTCCTACAACCACGTTAACCAATTTAGCCATCGACCCAAGTAAGTCGCAATTTAACACCCCATTTCACAACCACGTTAACCAATTTAGCCATCGACCCAAGTAAGTCGCACTTTAACACCCCGTTAACCAATTATATGGTCCGCATCCTCCTCAGTGTTCCCCCGAGGGAAGCTGCGGGCAATTTTTTTTTTCATTCATATTTTCAACAGACCGTGACAAAGTCTACTTTCCTACTAGTCATGCGGGCCGCATGTTGCTGACCTTTGTCCTTTGCCGACCTCTGATGAGGTGGTTTAGCGTGAAGGATCCAGACTGCCACTGTCGCCATGAAAAATTAAGACAGGTGAAAGGAACGTCAAAATTTTCAGAGAAAAGGAAATGCGACCCTCCCCGATCCGAGTCGACTCGGATCGGGGAGGGTTGTGTTCTGTGACTGGTAGGTGTTCTGTGACTCGGCCAGGAGGCCTGCCAGGCGGCGGTCGGAGAGCTTCGGGCTTATTCGGGCTTAGGGAGCCTACATGAACGGCCGTTTTTAGGGTGGAGACATCTTAATAAGTGCCTTCAAGAAACTCAGCCAAAACCAGCGGGCAACGGGGCACGCTGTTGCCAGCTTCCACCAAATTCAGCATAGTTTTCTGTGCGCCGCCATTTTAGAGCCAGCCGCCGCTCCCTCCAGCTACGCGAAGTACGGCGCAACAAAAAGGAGCCGACCGTGTGACGTCATCTGACTGCAGATGCATTTGCGACAAACAGCTAGAATTTAATTCAGCTGGAATATTCAGCATTATTGTAGGGAGGCGACCGAGCATGTATACCTACGTACGGCGTCGGTGCCCAGCCCTTGTAACAACACACAACACCTGGGCTTTTGACAGCGGCGGTTCTCAGGGTCGTGTAAGCGACCCAGTTCTCAAAGTGAGCGCACGAAGAAATTCGCAGCCCACACACAAACGCTTGCGACATAATACTGAGGTTACGCTGACACGAACGCAAGCGTGGCAACAGCTCAGACTAGCGAGCGCGTCTCCGTACGAACGCGCGGACGCGTCCCGTTTGTGGGCTTCCTACTCGCAATGCGTGGACGCAGCAACGACAACTTCGGTTATCTACTCATTCGCGAACACCGCGAAACACATATACGTGTGCCGCAGGAAAAAACAGTGAACGAAATACGCAGTACTCACAGAGCAAATACGAGACGCACTGGTGGGCTCCCAGCCGTCCCGCTTCACTTGAGCCAGCCATATATAGTTGTCGTCGGCCAGGGCTCGCTGGGAAGCGGAACATTCGCACCCCCTTTCTGTTGTGGTTAGTACAGAGCGGTACGCAGCATCGAGGCATTCTAAGGCTTCACCGGCAGCGTTTAAGACGCTACCGCAACGTTCGATGCTGTATTATTGAGAACTAAACGCAACCGGGCGTAGACGCAGTGCGGGCACCAAGAGTGGGCGACAGCGTGGCGTTGCTGTCTGGCAACATTTTTTTTTGGTGGGCGGCGGTGCGTTGGCGGCATGTAGTGGGTCAAAGGCTGACATCACCCTAAAAACGGCCGTTCATGTAGGCTCCCTATTCGGGCTCTCTGTCTGTCCCGACGATGGAGATGCCCTCTATACTTGTACGTACTTTATTGAATTTCGACAAGCAAGAAAATGCAGTGGCGACATGCGCAAAATGCGCCTTATTACTGCAGCGCCCATCGGCAGTATCGTGGGCTGGATACTGGTGTGTCGCTCCTGTCGATGGAACGTTACCCGTCGTTCCATCGCACGTGCTCCATTTCTCTATGCGTGCTCGCAGGGGCTCGCCACAGAACGGCTCGGGGAAGTGACGGCTGAGTCTCACGTTTTGTGGCCGCGGTCTCTGTCTCTCTCGGCCGGAGGTACTTAGGTAGGCCCTATTATATTAATGAATTTTAGCCTCGTTGCTGGTGCCGACGCTGCATAATGGCGTCTTCGATTAATCCTGCAGGTGTTTGCAAGCCGCGAAGAGGTTGATACAGCGCAGACCGGCACGGATGGCTGGGGCGAAGTCGGTTAAGGTCTTTGTTGAGTATTGGTAAGTGGCACCGGCATCCTGAGCAACAACAACTGCTAATTGACCGTTTGCATAAATCTGCAAGGCGACTTTTCTGCAACGTTATTAAAAAAAAAAACTATTGTGCCCTGATTGCTTCTCTTGCTCACGGTGCTTTTACCACTATTCCAGTGAAGGCACACGAGTGTGACAAAACGACTTTTTCGAGGTGCCCACCTCGAACGAACCTTCAGATTGCATGGCGGCCCAGGCGAGACACCTGTATACGTCGTTCGTAAAGAAGGGAGTGGGGGAAGGCAAATAGACAATGAGTGGGAAAAGCAATGTGGGAACGAGACCTTTTGGTTTGAAAACATTGTTGCAGGAAAGCCAGCTTGCAGATTTGCGCAAATGGTCAAAATTTGTCAAGATCGCCGGTTTGATATCCCGCGGCCACAGCGGCCGTATTTTAGATTGGTTCAAAATTTAAGTCAAGGTGATAGGCTAACACAAGCGAAACACCAAGTCAGTTTAGCCGACAAATTATGTGATAACTGTATTCTGAATTTCGCGATAACGAGTTGCCAGAAAACGAAACTATGACCTAGCTACGCTGTTTTTTTTTCTACTTTTGCGTCGTAAGCGCGTCGTTGTTTCGTCAATGCAACGTCACGAAATTCAAAAGCGCTTTTCGTACTTGAGTTTGGTTATAGGTACCTGAAACGTGCTATGTTCAGTGAAGCCGTAGGATACGCCTTTAAATATTAGTGATGTATGGTGACTTGGTGTGAAAACTTGAAGGTGGTGTCTCCATCCATCTTCCATTTTGCGCTTATCCCTAGTTAAATATTAGCTTTTGTCCCTAGAATGCCTCCCTCCCCTCTTCTTTTTATCTAAAGCAACAGCTTGCTGCTGTCACTACACCATTTTTAGTTGAAGACTTGCGACACTAGGTGTGATGCTGTATATGGTTCTATACTGGTTGTTGGTAATCAAGTGGCTTATTGAGTGCTAATTGGCTCCATTGTATAGGCGAAAATGATGTAGGAGCGTGTGAAAATGAACGAAAGATGTACCAGATACCCAAAAGAGAAATGACATGAACACATAACATGTACGTACACCATCCTCTGTGGTGCTCTAACTCGCCTAAAAATAACAATTAATGAACATGAACGAGCTAGTACATTCGGACTTCTGAGTTAAGTGGAAAGGCGAGCGCTACTGATAGTTGTGCAACATAGTGCTGCAAATGGGCACCTCCATATGGCGTCAGCAGTGGTGTTTGAATGGGTCACTTGCCCCCTCAAGTCACGTCAGGACAGCCCCCCCCCCCCCCCAACCCAAGCTACACCAGTGATACCACACCTCCCCCACTGCGATGCAGCATGGGTTTGCACCAAGACAAAATTCTGCAAATGCCCATGGCCACCTCTTGAGGCATGCTTAATGAATTCCAGAAACCTGGATTAGGCCATCATAATTTTTTTTAATTCTTCGTAGTATAACTTTTTGTGTACCTGTACTAATTTTTTTATTATTTGAACACTAACTCAGGATATCGGTCAAGTTAGAATGCTTCCCTTTATCAGAGTGAACGTAATGTTCTTTTTTTTTATCTCCTTGCCTTGAAAAGCTTTTGCATTGTACTCCGGACAGGATACCAGAAGTAAGATATCTTCACACACAAAAAAAAATAGTCAATGGAAGAATACTACAAATAACGTTGTTTCAAAATGTTTAAAGGATCACGTGACAGGCTTCTAATTAGTGCTTAACCGTTCCCATTCAATGCAATGAAAAATGGCAGGAAATAATGCAAAACCTGCCAAATCATATGACCTGCAAAATGGTGCATTTAATGTGGTGTAAACATTATTATTTAGACAAATTTCTATAATTCTCTGGTGCTCTTGATGGTCATTCACGCCTTGCTTTTCTTTAAAGTAATTGCGGTGATTCACTTGTAACTGTTTTTTTACAGAAGTCGTTGTTCAACTTTGGTACCTCTAGGTGTCTTGTCTTACTGTTATTTACAATTAATAATTACATTTAATATTAGAATATACACTACTTTATCATTTGTAATGTGATATGTATGCTTAATCAAGGAAGTAAGCATAAATTTCAGGACCTGTTTTCTTTGTTAGGTACAATATTAAAGAGAACTAACCATTTTTATTATTATGCACTTGATCATGTCACATGTATCAACATACATCGAACATGGTAAAGAATTAGGGTATTATTGGGGATAATGTTTGCTCTATAAGTGAACTATAAAGATCCACTGTGACCGCAAACAAGCATATCGTTCTTAGTGTATCATATATCCGTAGCAGGTTTTTGTATTCTTCTTTCTTTCATTTTGTTTCGTGTCTCAGTGGTGGATGAGGGTACATCACTCGCTTCGAGGAACTGAAGAAGCAGATCCTCGCCAAGGTACCCACCGCCAGCGTGACTGGCAGTATAGGACGCAAAAGTGAGTGAATTTTGCCATCCAGTGTGACTCGTATGTGACCTTACCTGACATGCAGTAACTCGTTTGCGAGAAAATGCGTTGAGTTCCTTACAATGATTGCCAAAAGGAACTCTAGGGGTATGTTGCTTTGGGCATGACGACTCTAAACCTCAAGTGGCAAACAAATAAACACGAATAGCGGACAAGTTTAAATTGCGAGAAAAAGACACGTAAAAACATAGAAATATGCACACACGTGAGGCACAGATTTCCAACTCTGTTTATTTCTTGAAGGTAGAACATTTTCGAGGTATCACAAGCAGCAGTTGAACTACAACCTTACACGAGGCTGCGGAAATATTGCGAGACCACGTGGCACATTAGAAGCCCAGAAGGGCCCTGATGTGCCCGTTCAAGAAATCAATTGCTCTGGTTAATAATAATGAGTGTGAAATAATGTCACCTCTTTTTTTTGTGATGTAGAAACTTTATCACACAGAATAATATTGTTTGTTCAATCTGTGAACTAGCACAACAATGACAAAACAAGATCTACATGTCGTTACGAAAGTAATAGTACCAGCTACTTTCAATTTATAAACATGTCCCATTCATGAGTTCTAAGCAGTAGTCAAGCAACAATAAAGAGTATAGTTAAGTTTCATTTCAGCATGAAAGTTTGGCTATCACAATATTTTATAAGATTACCTGCCTATTCTAGCTTTGTGCACATTAAAAATGCGAATATATATAGGAACACTTTTTTGGTGGTTTCATGTACCCACCAGAAGCTGTTAAGACAAAATTCCTCGTCAATATATCATATTCTGAAATATTGCTCAAATTCGGATGTTATGATTGAGAATGTACTACTTTTTCATGGCACTTCTGTTAACAGTTCGTGTTGACACTACATAAAAGTATGTTTCATCGACCTTGCTTTCAGAAGTGGTTCACCTATCGAGAAATAGTACTCGTACACTTGCTTTATCTTCATGGAGCTTTTTAGCACATATTTATTCGTGGAATCAGCCTTTTGTGAAATAGAAATTTGTATCTTTTGCTCATAGCTTTTTATTTCATCTTAATACTTTATACTTACTGACGTGATTTCTATCACACATTGCATGCGCTATTCCGCTTGCCAAGACGAGATTTCTAAAGCAAGAAGGTTCATTAAAATATTGATATTTAAAACATATTGCATACTTCATTAACATCTATTCAAACATGTGCTAAAATATTTGGCTAAACAAGTTGGTATGTAGATGCTGGTCGTTTGTGCCAAATATTCATATGTGTCATGGAAAATGATTGAAACTCCACCCAAATGTTTTAAAGAAACCCGACGTTTCAGAAACGACTTGATTCCTTCCTCAGGGGAACTGGGACTAGATCATTTCCCAGTTTAAATGATTTCCCAGTTTTTATACTCAACCAGACAGACATCGGTCGAATGTTTACATTTAAGTCATATATGTGTCATTTATTGTGGGCTTGCACTAATGGTTCTTCATTATTTGCTAGATCAGGCATACTTTCTAGATGACTGAATGTGTGCTTTTTAAGCAGATTTATAGATGTGAAATAAGCGATTTCCTGATGTTTCACCTTTATGCTCACTGAATGTTGACATGTAAAGTTGGAAAATCAACTGAATCACTGGTAACCTTTCATCAATCTTGCAGCCATTTTTCTTTGTTGTTTTAATGGCAGAAGAAATGCAGCAAAATTAAATTCGCTAAGGGTGTAATTGAATTGCACTCGAAGAGGTAGCCATAACATTTGTCCTCATCTAACATCGCTTCTGAGATGGTACTTATGATGTTAGTTTTCTGGTGTTTATGATCTATCCTAGTTTTACTACCTCATTGGATTACATAGGCTAACTGGTTTACCTCTCCCACAGCGGCCTTTGAAGTTGAAATCAATGGTGTCCAGGTGTTCTCCAAGCTGGAAAAAAATGCCTTTCCAGATTTTGCGGAGGTAAGTTGATGCCACTTTCACTATGAAGAAAAGCAGCGATCTATGAGCGAGAAATTTCAACAGATGCAAAGCATGAAAACCAGGGATCGAGCTCGATTGGAACCCAGGTATTCTGTGCGATTTTCAAGTATTCTATCCCTAAAGTCATGCCATTGCTCAAAACCGCCTTGGAAAAAGACCCCTCAGAAATTATGTAAGGCAAGGAGTCACGTTAAAAGGCATAACGTAGTCTGGAGGGAGTGTAGAATCGTACTAGGCATCAAATATACTGCGAGTGCGTAACATACCTGACAGCTGCCGACCCATTACAAAAGGGCTGCTCTACAATGAATCCTTTTCATAACTTGCAAGTGCGCTTCTGTGCACTGCATACTTGCCCATGTAATGGCGGCACCTTAATTTCGTGCTTCAAGCGGAGACGTGGTCTAAGTTGGATATGCTTGTATGCTTGAGCTTCTGTGTTTATATCAAGGAGAGCCAACTCTACATTTTCCATGTTATTGCGTAAGCGAACCGGACTTGAACTGGATATTTGCAGTAAATGACTGACCGCCATTAGTTGTTCGAACTGCATAGCAGCAAAGCTAACATTACAATTTGAAAAGGGTCTATTCGTCGTCATGATTGTCCACCGCAGCATCGGCTAGCCTAGCGTGCAGCTATGTGTACCGAGTCCTTCACAACTGTTATTACAGCAGGTTTCGGAGGAGGGGCTACGACCACAATGTCATTCGCATAGACGCGCCTTCCCTCGCAGCGTGGTCGAGATGTCAGCCAAGAAGTGAAGCATTGCAAGTGAATGAGAACGCAATGCGAACGGGGCGTAAAAATGATATTGCATTGCACTGTTGCGGCAAAGAAGCTTAAGGGTTTTTCATGCTTTTTCTATATTTCTTAAAAGAGCTTTTATAGTGCAGAATAGTATGGCAAGATACACGTGTATATCATGACATGTTGCCTTCAGTGCTTCCACTGTGACAAGTGCAATGCCAAACTTCGGATGTCATTCACGTGGACTCGCATGTACTGGTACTCAGTGCTTGTCAGTTTTATGTCACAATCTGCAAAAAGTTATGGTTCTTTATTTTTTGAGTATGTATGTATTGCAAATATGTATTTTTGCTGGTTTCTCAATTGTGACCAGTGCTATACCTGTATTTTGAGCGTGAAAAAATTGCACACTTTGTATCTGTATTATCTGAGTGTAAGGCTGTTTCTACACAACGAAAATTCATTGTATCTATACTTAATAATGCAATCTACATATCTTGCAACAGTGGCAGTTTACAAGTACAGTTGTGCTCACTGTATGCCTGTAGTGGTTTATGGATGCTCTATTGATCAGGTTGCCACTCGAGTTTTGGAGGCCAGCCAAGGCAAATCGATCAAGGCTGTAACTGGTGTCCAAAAATAGCCCTGAGGGTCGCACTCTCATGCATGTGGTCGGTGAGTGCCCGATTGCATGCTGTATGCTTTCTGCTTACTGAATTCTGCCCTATATACTTCAGTGCACTCCTTCCTGAACTCGGTTTATTCCTCATCACTTCATTAGTCGCACATTAGAATCTTCTTGACATAGCTGTTGCCAAATCTTTTCTTGAAAACTTGAAAACTTGAAAGACCCAATAGCATTGTAAATGTGGTGTGTAGACTTGTCAGTGGCCACAGGTGCCACCACAGCACATCCACACATACTCTTTCAGTTTTTTTCTCCTGAACATGTTTTTGGCCAGCTGATTGTCACAGATCTAGAACTTGATCTGGTGAAAAGCCCAGAGCCTCAGTAAAATGCAGACATAGGCAACAACATGCTGTTGTCTGCATCCATCTCTTACTGGACTTCTTGTTTTTTGTGCTGTTTTAATTTCTAGTATGCAGTAGCAACTTGTCCAAGCATTCACTTCAGTTGTAACTATTCGCATTGCAGCCCCGCCGCGGTGGTCTAGTGGCTAAGGTACTAGACTGCTGAGCTCACGGGATCGAATCGCGGCTTTGGCGGCTGCATTTCCGATGGAGGCGAAAATGCTGTAGGCTCGTGCGCTCAAATTTGGGTGCACATTAAAGAACATTAGGTGGTTGCAATTTCCGGAGCCCTCCACTACTGCGTCTCTTATAATCATATGATGGATTTGGGACGTTAAACGCCACATATCAATCAATCAACAATTCGCATTGCCCTCTCTCTATTACTTACTGGCATTAGTGCTTCCTAGTTTTTTTCCTATGGTGCACTTACAGTAGTCAATCGAGGTACCATAGGTGTTTAAAAAAGGTGGCAGGATGGATTGCATAAATTAAAGCTGCTGCTTCTCTGTTAGCTGAAATACTTGAAAGGGTGTGTATGCCTCAGCTTTCAGTCCAACTTATAGTCATGAACATTGAAGACAACTCATTCCCAATGGCTGGGATCGCATGGCTGTCACATAGGTTTATGATGACTGGAATTGTAGTATACAGAGCCTTAATAGCCTCTGTAAAACAAAAAAAGCCATCCTTTATGTCATTCTGTTGACACCCTGCCAGATGCGGTGAAATAATACTTGGCTTGCGTGTCCGAAGCAGCATTTCAGTTGGAAAAAGAATGACCTGATAAGGTTTTGAAGACATTCTGTGGTAACCTTAGTGTTCCTGTGGCCGATGAGACAAGCTCATTCAGATGCCATGTTTATTCTTCATAATAACAGTTGGCAACATAACATTCACTTTCACATAGACACAGACACTGCAAGCTAATCTTGCCGATCATGCAATTTGACAAAGTACTTCAATATCGTGTGCTGCCCATTTGCGAATAGTTTAAAAAAGTAAAATTTTTTATCAGTTGGCCTTACATAGCAGTTTGATTTAGACTGAATTATGCAGCTACTGGTGCTTCATACGAACTGACGTGAACGTTTTTTTAAGCCACTAACATTGTTCTGTTGGAGAACATGGCAAGCAACCTATCTTTCGTTTTTTCTATTCTATCACCCCGTTCATTTTAGAATCAGGAGTGATATACTGTTTCCAAACTTCACTTCTCGAGGAGATTGGGATTAGTGTCATTATGAAAATCTGCTGTGGTCATGCAGCAGACAATTTTTTTTCTTGACGAAAACTTGTTCTGTTTCATGGATTTACAGGGAAAAAATGCATTTCATTGAGCCACTATACCCTATGCTTTGCCTAACATCAGTTGTGCTCAATAAAAATGGTTGTATAATGAAGGAACGTACTAGTCACCGATTTGGCTTAATTGCATGCCAGTGGTGAATGATACAACCTTGGTCAATAATTGTGTAGTAAACCTGCATGGTACTTGGTGCATGTTTTGAATGGGCTGCGCTAAAATATGGTGGTGTCATTTTAAGAAAATTGGCCCGTCCTACTATACGTGATTCTAATGCCTGTATAAAAAGTAATGGTAAAAAGAGATTTTTCCCAGCTACTGCATGCATGACAGAGGATGAGAATCATTTTGCTTTCTTTTGTGACTGCGTACATTACTTTTCTTCATTTTTTTACTATTTCAGCCACTGCCTTTATACACTTAAGCATTGTAACCAGCATCACGACTAAACGTTCGTTCATATTTTTTTCTCTATCTTGTTTTTTTCTTAGTGCTTTGCCCCTGTCATTAATCCTGACCACACCTTTCTTTTTCAGGCTTACAACTTTTCCGCTAATCTACCATGCAGTTGGCAACCTTGGAACAATAGCTGAAGGTCCTGGAAGGTGCACCGATGATGGCTCGATCACAAATCTCAAAACGGGTCTTGCCTGAAGAATTAGCACCTCCCTGCCCAATGCTTCTTGCTCTAATAATTCACGTATAGACTATGCAGTAGAAAATGCATCTATTTTTTACACCCTGTGTGTGGTTTTCTGAGGTTATATAACTTTTTGAAATTTGGAACTGGCTTACTACGTAAAAAAGACACACAGTTATAGTCCGACTCATATCAAAACCTTACCTTCATTTTGCAGCCAGTGATGGCTAAATAACATTACATCTATGATGTATTGTTAAAGGCTGATGTGTACCTGTTATATTTTAAGTATGTATCGGTAGAATGGAATGACTCGGTTGCAAAAACATGCGACTACACAGCATGCTTACATTTGGCATGCTTGGCCTTGCACAGGCTTCACGGATATGTTGCTTCTGTTATACAACAACAAACACAGTAACTTTCTTGCTAGCTTGTACAATGTGCATTTCAGCACGTAATACAAGCCAAGTGGCATGATTAGTTAGAAGCGGGTCAGTGAAGACAGCAAGGATAATAAGCACTTCACATTATCTGTACCTAATCGTCAATGGTTGTTTTTAAATAGCCTCAATCTTACCCAGTTTATCAGGCTCAATTGTACACAAAACTAGCTGTCAACACCTTCTACACCCTGACGCACCTCAGGCATCAGGTTCACTGATGCCTGACGGAATCTAGTGGGAAACGAGACACCGTTTGTCCTTAAGAATATCAGCTGCTTGAGACCATGAAGTCTGCTTTGCAAGCAGATGTGCAGCAAAAATTATTGCTGCAGTCCCACAAGTGCCAATCTGCCATCAGATATTCTAGCTGGTAGTGCTCGAAAAGACAAGCTGCAATTGTAAATCTAGTGCTACATTCCTTCATGGTGAAACAAACGCAATATGCATGAGAACTTGGAAAGAACACAGGACAGAGTGCTTACTAGCTAACGAAAATTTTATTTCGGAAAGAACATTCTTATTATGCATCACACGAATGCACATCACCGTAAACCACCCTTACTATCATAAAAAGTGTGAATCAACGAAAGATCGTTATGATAAACGATTGCATACGGCGGGGAAACATTTGTCAAACCCCGAAAATAACAAGAAGAGAAATTCACCGAGTCACATTACGTCCAAAAAAGCCAGCTCATAATCTGTTTGGGGATGAGACGCCTGGCTGATGCACTTATCACCTGCTTTTGTCATTAAAAAAGCTTAAATTATTTCTCTCATTCGCTTCTTGTGCTTGTCGATTATTTCTTTGTCGCAATGTTTTGGCTGGCAAGTGCGCTCCTTGCAGTGCATTGCTAAGTGCGCACGGGTCCCCTTTAACAAGCTATGTTTGCGAATGTGCACATTCAGGCAACTACCTGTTTGCCTGATATATTCCTTTCCACATGGAAAGGATGTGACACGCTGTTTCATCATGAGCTTTTACTAACACGTCCAACTGGCAGTCATCTATATCCCTTGCTGTAGAACAAACTTCCCCACTTTGGTTAGGCAGACTATCAACTTCTCCATGTATAGTATCCTCACGAGCAACACTAGCTTGCATCCAACACTAAAGTAGAGAGAAAGAAGCCCTATTTTGATAGGACACAAGTGTTGATACCCATGTTGAATGAAGATTTCGGTTTGGGTGGGCCTTGAAAGCAGTGGTTGTATTCAGCCGTAATAGTCTGCCTTGACAGGTCATTCAATGCCGAGATTGTCGGCAGTCTCCCATGGCTTGCGTGTTGTAATTTAGATAAGAGGTATTTTGACAGGCCCATGTGATGTTCTTAAAACTAGGTTTAGTGATTATGTAGTATAATCTATCAATGTATTTTGCTTGGTGGCAATAGTAGAAGCCTTCAGGTGATGATCAGAGGGCTTGCATGGTAGTTTAAATATTTCAAAAGTACATAATTGTTGCTGAGATATTTAAAATATTTGAGCAACACGTACTTTAAAAGTATCAGAGCACATATAACCCTCTCAGTAACTGGCATTTGAATGCAAAAGTGCATTGGCTGTTTGAGAAGGGAGCTCAAACTTGCCGAGATACTTTTCGTCTGAGCTGGCCCACAGATCTGGAAAAACACATTGAAGGTGTTTCCTTTGCGGTTACCCTAGGATTGAGTATTGTGCCTAGGGCAGCTTGTAGAGAATTTGGTTCATAACGAGGACCTTCATCAACTTGACCAAGCAAAGTTGAGGTGACAGGCCGAGATATGCAAGTCCCTGATCTCTCAGGATGCAATTGTAGTACTACCCCTCTTGTCCACCTTTGACGCTGAGTATGATTTTGAAATTTTTACTCCTTAATTTAATAATTGGAAAATATATGCATGGGCACCACTTACATACAGGCATGGGAAGGGGTGCTCTCTTCTCCCTTTGATGTTGCAAACCTAGGCAGCTCCAATTACCTTTAATTTGTTCTGTATGCGTGTAGAATGTACTTTGCATATGAACAGTGGCACAGTGGTGTGTGAAGGAAGATTTCAGTCATGACGTGCGTTTAGTTCATTTTCCACCACCTAGCCTGTTGGCCACTTATTTTCACCCCTCACCATCGGAACATGGTAGAGGAGGAGGTAAAACTTTATTGAAACAAGGGATTTAGGCACATACGTCCCAGTGTCCTTGCACGACCCCACTGCACTAAGCTTTCATGAGTTCATGTAGTTCCATGACGTGGGCTGCCCGACCAGTGGCGATCTTAAGGTAGAATCTTCACAGACTGTGTGGCAGGACAAAGACCAGCGCTATGTTCTTATTTTTGCCTCTTTTTTCCTTCTCTTATCTTTTACACCCCTTCCCCCCCCTTTTTTGGAGATCAGTACAGGGCAGAAAAGTAGGAGGATTGAGATTAGAAATGCACTTTCCTTGTCTCGTCAATACCTGTCCTTGTTTTGTGTACCTTATCCTCTGAGAGCTTATCTGTGCACATACGCCCTCGGCTGACATATTTCTATGATGCTACAGAATCACATAAAAAACTATGTACATAGAAAAAAAATATAGGTCATGCTTATGTGAACATTTTATATTTGAACTGCTGCTGTAGAAAATGGGACACGGGAGTACGAGTGTAGTCGGTTGATATGTAAACCACCTGGTGCTTTTCTGCACAGCTGCAGCTATGGGTGCATGGTTTCCTGTTTGAAGGAAAGCTGACTAAATGCTTGTGACATGTCACATTGCCTTTGAAATTAAATGTACTATATTTATATTTTTTGAGTCAAAATCCATACACACTCATTGCTTTATCAAAGAGATGTATGCTCAATTGCTTTGAGGCGCAGCAGCTTTAAACTAGGGGCTGAAACCCGACTTCTCACATTTCAATGAAATAAACTATAACCCATTAGTATCTGTAATTGAATAAATTGTCTCGATCAAACAGGATTTTATTCGTTGACACACATTGGTGGTCAACAGAACAAAAAAAAAAGAAGGGGGAGCGGTCAGCAGTAACCATGAAAGACAATTATGCACACACATATATAAACCTTTATTGTACTAGAACGCAAAATGCATGATTATTCACTTCAGTAAATTAATTATACCCTATATATGAAACGTCTTACTATCGAGATGAAACATGCACCAAGCAAGAAACTTCTCCGTTGAAGCGCGACACGATCAATTAACTCGATAAACATTCGTAACTTTTGGTAGTTAAGAAAACCAGCTTATATATATATATATATATATATATATATATATATATATATATATATATATATATATATATATATATATATATATATATATATACAATGCTCTTAGAAGAAAATATTTTCTTCTAAGAGCATTGTGCTGTGGGAAGTTCTGCGTAATGAGGTGTGCCGTGCATGTAGTTCTTGTTACATATATGTATTATACAGTGTCAGACCTTACTGTGTGGTATGCACACTGCACGAACCAATCTCTCGCAATGCCAGGCCAAGTCGCAAGCCCAGTGTAGGTAAATGTGCGCAAGTACGTAAAAAATTTACATTGTTTACCTGTGATACGTAAAATGCCTGTAGCCAGAATAAAATTCAGAATGATGGAGAAGCACACACACACACACACACACGCACACACACACACACACATATATATATATATATATATATATATATATATATAAAGCCATGGTTTTATGGTGCTATATGTGTATGCGATATATGCGCGCGTGTGTGCGGACGCACGTGTAGGAACTTGGAGCCTACCTATCATCCTATCATGACTCACTATTGTTATCCTGTTTACAATGTAGCTGCGCACGTTTAGATCGTCCTTGAGAAGCTTCGAGCAGCGCCAGCTAGGCCAACGCTGCCAATACCGCGCCAGAAAAAGGGAGAGGAGGATGGTTGCGCTCTTCGCGCTATCTCTGCGCCCTCTCCGCTTCATCCGCAGCGGCATAGGTGTTCTCCGGCGGCATTCCGTCGCGTTGCGCTGCTGACTCGCTCGTTTGCTTGCGGACAGACCTGCGGTAAGACGGTAGTATTTTAAGTGTTCTGTGGTAGTACTTTTACTGCGTCCACTTTCTGCAACTCGTGCGCGATTTTCTCGACAGGTTACCGTCTACGATGGCAGGACAAGCGCCAGTCAAAGTGCACGTTGAGTACTGGTGAGTCGCGGGTTTTGCCTGCCTCATTCGCGCTTTTTCACGGGTCTTTGTCGCCATGTGGTCGGCATTGAATGTCTATATTAAATGTCCCACTTCCGCCTGAGATATGTGACTAGGAGGTGTTGTCATTTTAAAAACTACTGAAAGTTTCGGACAGCCTGCGGGCGTATGCATGCAGTGTTGCAGCGACCCAATTAAGGGTCGCCGCGAGAATAATCGCATACGTTTGCTGTGTTGTAGCGTTGACCTTATAAGCGCAAGCACTGCCGAGCAGAAACATATGTGTGAATGATGTGCTGGCCTGGCGTTGGCTGGCCTAGTTGGTTTAATGCGGGGTTGGTGTAGGTCGGGTGTCATTTACAGCTTCACCTAGGTCCGTGCGAAACATCGAGCATCTCGAACGCAGAAGATGCGGGCGCTCTTCGTTTAAGTTAGAATAGAAAAAAGAAGGGTCACCTTGTGCATCGGCATTTCGCATGACAGCACGTGCGAATCGCATTAGTGCGTAGAGGTGAGCGCTGCGTATACTATAGATCTCGCTGCAATATATTCGTGCTGCACTGCGTCGTATTTATGGACTCCCATTTCTCTCGATCTTCGTATCTTTCACCCTTCCCAGCTCAATGTAGTGTAGCGGCCACGTAGCAAACCGGATTTATTTTTTTCATCCGGCTAATTAACCTCTCCACCTACTTCGTCTCTGCAAAGGTGTGGTTGCATCGCGGCATAATCGTGGTGTCGGGTGTTCGCACTCTAGCTACGGGACAAATTAACTATCTAATTTTGTTTCTTTCGTGGATGAAAACTGTGCCTGCGTGATCACCGTTCGCCCTGAAATTTTTTGTGAATGAGCTCTGCTTGCAATTCTGAATAAAATTTGTGCCCCTGCTGGTTTTGTCCTTGCATGACATTTGTTACAATAAATAGGGAAATATATTAAGTGCACATATTTAAAACTGCGTGTGTCCAACTCGTCTGTTTTGAACACATCAGACTCGGCTTAACAGAATTTTAGTATCTCTCTCTCTCACACTTAATTCGTAACAGTCTATATGTGCAACAATCTTTTATTGTTACTCTGAGCATCAAGTCACGATGTTCCCACTACAGTACAGTACAGTTTTAAATGGATTCATTCACTTGGGATGAATGGCTCGTACATTGTAGCTGCACACAATAGGTATTGTGTGAACCCTGCATGAATGATACAGAATTGTGCTCGTGCACTGTGTCTGTGGCATAAAAAAACGATTGTGGCTAGTAAATACACTCAATACCTTTGTTAGCTGTGGAAAGCAACCAGCTTAGCATATAGGGCATCTTTGCATCCTGAGATAAAGTGTTGTAGCATTAATTGTAGCAGGCCTCTTGTGTAACATATATTATGTGCATTGTGACAGAAAAGCAATACTTTTATTTGGAGCAGTGAACACTGCTTTTGCAATTTTTGGGCTTTCTGGGTGATCAGATTTTAGGTCTGAGAAAAAAATCTCGGCATATCTACTGGTGTGCATGATGATGAATGGGAACTTCTGTGCATGCGTCTGTGCGTCTGTCTGTTTGTCCATCCATCCAGTGAACACTTCAAGTACTGCCATCTCGCATCTTTTCAGCATATAGAAGTACCGAGATCCAGCGGAAATTCCAAGTACTACACAAGAAGTGGCACTCGCGCACTTTCTTACAGACTGTGCTTCGTGTCTACTTCCCACCTTTCACCGCTTCTAGTTCATGGCACTGTGGCCCAACCATCTCTAAACCTTGCTAAAACCAAGAAGGTTACGCCCAGCGAGTTTAACGTGCAACCCTTTCTGGTCAGATAGTGCGTCCTTCTGGTACTAGTTTTTTTTTTTTTTCAGTAAACATGCAAATTCAAAGCAAATTTTATAGGAGATTCACCAATACTTCATCTGTGCAAGTTCTTTCATCAGAAACCACTATCATTTTATTTATGACTAACGGGCACATGTTTCCTCCTCAATTGAAAAGGTTGCGCGCGTGCTTCTCCTATGGTCCGGCTGTTGAGGTGGCTATTTACTCCTACTACTACTACTACTACTACTACTACTACTACTACTACTACTACTACTACTACTACTACTACTACTACTACTATACTACTTCTACATACATCACGGACGCATGACCCACGGCATAGGGAGCTTTGCCCCCAAAAGTCAACATTAATCGAAACCTCATGTACTTAGAATTTTCTTGTAATAAAACAGAGGTGTTTAAAATGTAGCATTATTAACAAAAGTTTACATCGCTCTAGCAAACACTGTTTCAAATAGAGCTCTTCTGCAAGACCCCAGCTGTAATCTAAATATTGAGAACTTCTGCACATACTTGCACATTTGAGTATAAGACCTGCTTGACAAATAACTTTTATTGCACTAATAGTCTCAGTGTTCTAGCTACCTGTAATATTAAACTCTAGGACATATATTGAGTTGAAGTTTTTCTTGGTGCAGTGGTTGCAGCACTTGACTGCTGACCCCAAAGTCATGTGTTTTATCCTGGTTTCCGGTATTGCATTGCGATGGAGGCAAAAAGTTGGAGGCTTGTGTACTGAGTGATGTCAGTGCAGGTTAAAGAACACCAATTGGTCGAAATTTTTGTGGCCCACTACAACGGCTTGCCTCATTATCTAATCATGGTTTTGGCATGTAACATCTTGGATATATTATTATCATTGAGTTGAAGTACTTCTGTAATCATAACGGGTTCAGTGTAATCTAGGGAACTGTGGCTAGAGCACAGAATCAACATAAGGTTTTAAACAAAATCGATGTGTTAGGCTGAAATGCTTATTGTGTTACTCATTTGTATAGTATTTACAAAGTTGAAATTCTTTTTCTTGCATGTGTAGTGGTGGATGAGGCTACGCTCCTCGTTATGAGGACCTCAAGAGGAGGATCCTCGCACAAGTACCAAGTGCCGATGTGACAGGCAATAAAGGACGTACTAGTGAGTGCACTGCTGTCCTTGATCTGTTGTGGTCGTATTGTTTCCAAAGGTTGCAAGCGGAACAAGTCTAGTTGGTTTGGGATGTAAAACACCACATTTTATTATTAGAACAAGTTTGGTTGCAATCATGCCGAAGTGAACAGCAAGCACGCCTAGTGAAAAAGATTCACGGTAACTCACGAACGTGGCAGACCAACTTGACTGTATACCTCTTTGTATCAATCTACATATCGCCAGCATCTTTTCACTAAGCTGGTACTGTTATGCAGTTCTTATTTCATGTAAGCTGTGCCAGGCATATCAGATACTTCGAAAACCTGTCATTGTCATTAGCTCTACAGTGATGCAGACATGTCTAATAAGGTAATTTGTGCATAACTGAGGCCTGTACATTTTCAAATTTAGAAAAACATACAGGACTTGAGTGGCCCAAGCTGGAGCTTAGGAGAAAGTCTTAAAGGAGAGCATATGGTCATTGCTGCAGCTGTTCTTCAAAAAATCTCGGCGACTGTTATTTTTGTGATGTCCTTTCCGCAATGCTGTCACCATATGTCACTCTGCAGCAATAGTGTAAAACTAAATGTAGCTAAAATTTTTATTGTTCTCAGGTGCATGCTGCAGCTGTGCAGTGGAATGCTGGCATTAAGAAAAACCTTGTCAACTTGTCGTAGATCACTAGTCTTAGTGTTGCAGCATTTGAACAATCCTTCTTACATTCAGGTTGCATAGAGCTAAGTCATGTTAAATGAAACTCTGTGTCGTTAAAATTAGAATGAACTTATAGTTTCCCGACATGGCATGCCTCATAATCGAATTGCAACTTAGCCAAATGAAAGTGAAGAATTTAATCAAGTACATACTAATTTTAAATCTCTTTATGAAGTACAAGAAATGTGGTTAAAATTAAAGTGAAGACTCAAGCCATTAAGGTAGCATGTGTTAATTTGAATATATACTATAAATTGTACTGGATACACTTTTTTTGCTTTTTAAGCAATTTATTTTCTTAGGCAGCATTTTCATTTGGCAAAATGTATATGTGAAAATGATGCAGTACTTGAAGTATGTACGCTTTGTGACTTTACATAGCGTCTTGTACATCTCCGTGAAGTTGCCAAAGGAGACCCTGCATCAAAACTGCAGAGATTTCCTATGAAAGTGATGGCTAAGAAGATACTAGCATGCTCAGTGCTTACACTTTTGCTTAGTCCTTTTTGTGCTTATTTTTGTACAAGATGCATTAAATCTGGTTTGCCATCTCTCTTTCCTCACACGTGAGGATGAACAGTTGCCAGGTGTTCATAAAGTGTAAAGGCACTTATGTTGCACTGTCCACACAGGTGTGCCTTCAGGTGTCTTTCAATAAAGTGCAACTTTGTTAGTGTAGTACCTGTGCCTTCTAAGATGGACCCTGCTATGTCTAAATATTCGGTAGCAGCATTTCGAGAACGCTATAATCTTGTCCACTCTGCTTGTGGTGACGAAACCTTCGGTCAAGGCAGTAAGTACATTACACAAGTATAGTGTGAAGCAAACAAAATCGGAACTCTTGAAAGCGAGTGGATGTGATTCCAACACATTGAGAACCTTAAGTGAATGGCTAAGTTCGTAAATGTTACAATCTTAATGTCCTAAATAAACAAAGAAGACAACCAGTATTGCTAACATTTAGACAGAGCTATGTTTTTACATTAGCTGTACATCTTAATAATCACCTTGCAGGGTCCTTTGAAGTCAAGATCAATGACGAGTTGGTCTTTTCCAAGCTCGACAAGGGCTCCTTCCCTGACTTTGGGGAGGTAAGTGAGCATACTGTTATTATTTGTTTGAACATGCAGTTGTTGTTAGAGGGTTAATTCCTTTGTTTATTTATTATAAGGTCGTCTAGTGGCCTTTACATGAGTAGAGGAAACAGCGCATATCAATTGCACTCAACTCTATGCAACATTTTAAGGTAACAATAAGTATGATGTTCAAGGCCAATAAACTTAGCACTATCAGACAAGGTACAAATGTAATTGTACAATGAAGGCTTGTTAATTCGCTCCTCATTAATTCGAAACTTCAGGTTAATTCGAACTGATGGTCATGGTACGGCATATATAGGCATCTATGGGCTAACCAACTCGTTAGTTCACGCGCACATTGGCTCCTCTATCGATAATTCGAACTGCACACTGCTGCGTGGTGGTATTTTATCCTTCCGCCGCAAGCTTTTGTAGCTCAACGATAGGTGGCACAAGCGCTGAGCGCTTGCGCTATCTGTCAGGTGGGGCCACAAACCAATCCTATCTGGATACGTAGCGTCAATTTTGTTAGTTCGAATTCAGTTTAATTCGAACTCATTCGGTGTCCCCATGAAATTTGAATTGACAAGCTTTTACTGTAGTAGTATATGTATAGCTTTAAAATCAGTGAATCAGATTATCATGTTGTCAATATCAAGGCATGTAGCTCTTTCGTGTTTGAATATTTTGCACTCATTTACTTCATTACCTGTCATTAAAGGGGCCCAGAACCACATTTCTAAATAAGAATTGATTGATGTCGCTACTGGAGTTCATTGCATCACGAATCGATTGTCCCAATCATTTTTCACATTCAAATATGCGTGGAATTATGAGGATTTCTTCCGTGCTTTAAGTGCTTTCCCTCTCCTTTTATTCCAACAAGCAAGCTGGAAGCTAAATATAATTGGTGGGAGGAACAATATGCATGAATCATGAAGTGTGATCACTCTTTCTCGCTACCTTGCATCTTGCTCCGATTTCGAAGCAAGTTAGTGTCGATGCAGTGCAACCTTAGCACACTACAGAGCGTGATGCCCTGCATGTGGCAACACCCTGTGGATAGAACAAGTGAACCTGCTCCAGACGCACCTCTTTGTTTACGTCAGCTTTCGACCAATAGCAGCAATCTGTCGAGTGTTGAAAAATGTGCTGTACGATGGCCCTTTGAAGATGTACTTTCTCAAACAAAGCCATTTTCTCCAATGCCTTTTAGAGAGGGCTGGGAGTTTGAGAAAGTAGCTTGTCAACTCTTGTCGCCTTGCACTACTTCGAAATTCGGTTGAGATTTTCTCAGAGGTGTCTGCTTTTCCGTGTATGCCTGCTTTTCAGTGTATGCCTTCAGTCAGGCATGACATGTGGTTCAGGAGTGTTTTAACCAGGTATTCTGGTCAGCTGAGAATGCTTGCCCATGTGATAACTTTCTTCTGATCGCTTCACCGCATTCGGCTAGGTTGTCACACGAGTTCTGGAAGTCAGCCAAGGGAAGCCTGTGCAGCCAATCACCGGCTTGCAGAAGTCATAATCAGGTATGGTTCTTTCTATTCACATGGAGTTTTGGCATAACTGCAGGATTTGATTAATGCTTTTTAACAATGATAAACACATGAGAAATAAGTGTGTCACAAAGATCTTAATGTGTACTGCATCCTCTATTGTGTCCTTGTTAGTCACACCAAGAAATACAGTGCTTAATTAGTTAATCCATAGATATTTTTACATTAACATATAATATCACTTGAAATTTTCACCTAAAGTATGCTTTTACTGTAGCCCTGTATATAAAAGCTAGGCGCTGCTGGTAAATGTTCAGAAAGCTGAATTTTAATGAGATGTCATTAAGTAAACTGCAGAGTCTGCCAGGTGCAGCTGGTATATACTGAAAAAATGTCTCCTACTGAGATCATTAAGTACACTCTTTTCTAGCCGAGGCTATGTGAATGCTGCATATGTATTATTACCGCTGTTAACTTTGGGTGCATCACAATGTCCTCAGATATAATTTCTGTCACAACCTTATGCCATCTTCTTTTCATTTATTGTACTCTGAATGCACAGGAGAGCTGAAAGTTCCCAGGCCACTATCCCATGTATTTCTATGGAAGCATGGCCTGGAAACATTTGACCAGGACTGGAAATATTGTTAGATGGGATGAGCGAAAGTAGATACATAGACTATATATAACATGTATCTGTGTATAGATATGAAACATAAATAATTTGTAAAAGGAACTTTTGAGACAAAGTCGGCAGTAAGCACAGTGGAGTTAACAATTAATGAAAAGAGAAGCAATGAACTGTCCTGAATGTGTGGCAAATAGCTAACAAGATACATGATAAGAAATAAGGCAAACATTGTGTACAATATGGTAAAAACTAAAAGATGAATATATGACAATCATAACATAAATAGGTATATGGTGTAACATAAGCCCTATTACTGCCATTTGGTTGTCATGTTTCAGACATTATGAAGGTACTGACTGCTTGCTTTTTAAAGGCATTTGCATAGTCCAATGGCAAAGTGCACACACTCGCACCAGACAAGTGTAACTCTCAAGAACACATCGTCTTGGTTTTTTAATAATTGATATTACTGAAACGATTGCATCTTTTATTTCAGGCTACTGAATGAGCACTGACAGCAGTCTCTGCTAAGTGAACTCTCATACACTATGCGATTCAGATGTGAAATGGAGCACAGTTCTGTGGCAAGGTCTGGTTAAAATGCGGTCATGCGAGACTGGTATGTTTTGTACATGCAATAAGAACATTGCTCCTCCAAGTTTACAATGACCTTCAATTGCAGAAGTGTGTCCCATTTCACAATTGGCTCGCCTAGTGTGTGGGTGTGCACGAGACAGAAGAAGCGGTTGTCAAGTGGCCCTTGCTGAACATTTGCTCTGCTGGTTGATCGTGCGACTGGCGTCTTGGACGGCAGGTGCGGGTTTCGGAAGGCGCACCGTATGATGGCTAGGCCTCAAATCCCACAAAAAGGGCCATGCTTGAAGATTTAGCGCGTCCCTACCTGCGGCTGTTTGCTCTCACGATGTCATGCCTGTATGGTCCTGGCAGTAGTAAATTGATTTTATTTTCAGTCATGTTGTGTGTGTGTGTGTGTTTGTATGTATGTACATTGTCTGGCCTAATACATCAGTAACTGTTGCATTACATTCAGTGCAGTAGCACTGAGAAGGCTTAGTTATGCACAAATAACACTGTAACAGGTTTATAAATCTGCAGGATACATGTGTGCATTTATAAAAGATTCAGGGAACTTGAAACGCAGAGACCTAAAATGCACATTTACCAAAGGTCAACGGCCATGGTAGTCAAATTGCTATGGAACGGGATGCAGAAAGATCCCCATGTACTTGTGTCTCGCTGCATATTAAAGATGCTTGGTTGGTAAACTATAATCCAGAGTCCTTCACCACAACGTGCCTTGTAATTATAGGACGGTTCTGGTGTAGGATTTTACGAGCGGTCTGAAAGAGATTGTCCTTGTGCATAGTTTTGGCATACTAGCAGGCAGTCTGCGAGGATATTTATTACCATATTGCAGTCTTATACACGTTCCTCTTAAACTGTAATGATAGCTTGTTCCTCGTTCCTTTCCAATTTTAGAACAAGTTCCCGTTACAAGTTCTATAAATGCTAAAGGAACTTGTTAGTCACATTTAGAAAACTGCAATGTCTCTACATTACTGTTCCATTTGACTTTTAATAAATATATAGTGATGGATAGTCCCGAGGCAAAAGAAAGTAATCAGTTTGAAGCTCACATCGAGCTTCATATGTTTATATAAATGTAATATCGATGCCAGCAGGCTATACCTATGTTAAAAAAAAAATGGCCCGGTATCTGCATGTTTCACTGCAAATGTCGTCGAAAGACGATAGTCTTGCGTGTGGAGAGAGCGAACAAAACGTTTGTTTGATGTTCTGAGCAAGAAAATCGGTGAATTATATTCTGGAAGCGGCGCGTCAGAGAGTCTCAATCTGTGGAGTGAAGGCGAACGAGTGCATCGAGGCATGTTAGACACGAGCGCCATCTGACAGTAATTTTCGAAAACGAAGGAAAGCGTGAGCGCCCGCAAAGAAAGATGCGCGCCTGTCTCGAAGGCGATAAGGAATAGAACGCAAAGCGTTGGGCAAGGGCCATCACTGCGTCGTCTTGGCAAAGCATTGGAAACGCTTGCCTTTTCGAGCATCGCGTTGCATAGTCAGCGCAGCGTGATAAACGCTACGGTCCTTGGAATTAATTGTGTGTGCGTTCTCTAGCATAAAGGCACACATACAAAACATCGACGTGTTGTTATGGTGCCTCAGATATGCGCAATAATTGTTTTTCAATTGACAATCGCACAAGTATGAATGCTGAAACTTGAGCAATAATATTGGTGGGCGCTGCGGATGGGGTTGGCCGTTTGAGGTATCGTTTGGTGCCTTTAGTGGGATCATTACCATGGACAAACAGACAAATGTACAGACAGACAGGAAGACAGATCGAAATTTTGGCGTCAAAGGTCCCGAAAAAAGGCTATCGTCTTTAAAACTGGGGAATGTCTTCTTCAGAACTTCAATCAATTTTAGTACCTACCAAGAATTTTTTCTTAGTCTACTGCGTATTTTCTTTCACTCTCTGTGCCTGTTCTATCAGAGTTTTTGCATGCTACGCCGCACAAACCAGGGCACGTGTCCTGGGAGCGAAGCAGAAGAGTAAGCGGACAAAGAGAGCGCGTCTCAGTTCATGATGATGATAATTTTCTACGACACTCAGCAAACCTCGAGCATAACAGCTCTGTAAAAAAATAAACTGTTGCCATAGCCCCGGCCATGACCGACCTCTCCTGCACCAATGTTTTTACCGACTAACGAGCGGCCATCCCAGCTTCTGAATTGGGTCACCTAGCACGAGAGGCTAGCTCCATTCTGGAAAAAAGAACAAACCCTGGTGCTCACTTACCTCTTGATTTCCCGCCCATATGGGTGTAGACAGACGTTTATCAGACCGTACCTAAACTCAATATGCCGTGCGCGAGATCTCATGCGCCATGGTGGCATGGAAGCCCTATGGGGACACAATGAAATCCAGCTGAATGATCTGCCACTTACTTTCGATGAAATCACCTCCCACTATCTGCTTAGTAGAAGGGTCTATACTCTTCCTCATTTAAAGTTAGATAGGTCTGAGTTAGTCACACTTGGAATGCTCCAGGCATGCTCATTCCCCTCGCGGGGATTTCTCAGCCGTGTCTCAACAAAGATTCATTAAGTTATCCGGACTGCAATGAACCATATTGTTCCTTAGCGCACATGCTTTGGCAATGCCTCATGTTACATAACTGCCTTCTATCCAATGAAGCCCACTGCAAAGAGGCGCTCCAGAGCTCATTGCTCCATGCACAACTCCAGGCAATCCAGAGGGCCCAAGAAAGGGTGAAACATCACGATGTCTCAGCCCTGACTTGGACATGGACAGCAGTTTCCCCGGGTCGACGATAAGGGTTCACGCGAAAGCCACTCAGGATCAAAAAATATTTCTTTTCTGTCGGTTCGTTGCTCCTGCACGTGGACAATCTCGGTGTCTTCCGCTACTCTGCGTTGCATTCAAAGTGAAAACCAGGATGCATCAGTGGGTGACTGGCGAGAGGTAAATTTTAGCGCCTTATGCACTCGCCCATCCGCCCTGTTCTGCATGATGGGCTGCGTGCATGCGCCAGTTGAATGTTGTGGGACGTTTCCAAAAGTAACGCCGTTACAGTTCCACCAATTCTCAATGGAACGGTGGTGTTCCTCCAAAAAGAAACTATGTACTAGTTCCTGGAACATCGTTCCGTACAGCACTGCCTTATTGGAGGGTTGAGTGCTGACGAGTGCTATTGCTATGCTCCTTCAGTTGGCCACTGCTACCGTAATTGCTTTGCCGTTGGGTGGTCAACGCAGTCTGTATGAAAGGTGCCACATTCGTTGCCACATGCTTGATGCAATGCTTTTGAATGTGCTTTCGCACCTGCCCTTATAGCGTTCTGGGTGTGTATTCTGAGCTATGGATGCTATGGTGATATTGTCTTTGGTAACTGGTGCTATTGACTGGTGTTCACATGTGGCAAACATTGATGTGCATATCCTAATTGGCTGAAGTAATGCCTTCCAGTCGGTTTACAGTGTGGTTGTCGTATCCACTTGACTTTCTATGTAGTAGGAGCATGCGAATATCAAATAGAATTATCCTTAATCAAATAAGTTTGATTCTACGGTCATATAGCTAGTACTCGAAGTTTCAAATATTTTGACTGGATGAACATGTGAAACGTGAAAAATGTCAATGGTGTAACTTGGTTAGGGTGGGGTAGCTAAAACTAATGCGCTAACATTGTTACAGTAGGCCTTTCATTAGAACTTTTACCAAACTGATTGAAAAGCAAGCTCTTGTTGATTTTAAAAGAGATTGTCATTTCCACATGTCATGGATCCAGCAAAGAAAGCAAAGGCACAGTCTAGGAGACTGTCAAACTGCTAGCGTCGTAAAATAACTAGCACACTGAGCTCTGACCTTGTAGTCAAGTGGTTCAATTGTACTTAACGAGCCCTTGATCCCAAGGAGAGATGGTCCTTTGAAAATACTGGCAAGAGCATAAAGCTGCATTTTATACATGTATCACGAAAATTGCTTTGCAATACCTTCCCATCTTTGCTACTTAGGTGCCCAGGAAGTGCGTGTTTTCAACTTTGGGAAACGCTGCAACATCACGGCAATACAGCCCGATCCCAGGTCATCTGGAACAGCTAGTGTTTTTGCACGACAATTGGTGGTTTTCAGTAGCAGCCACTCACCACATTGTGCGCTCATGGATATGAGATTTTATTTGTGTCCTTTCTTTCCATATTCAATAAAGTATTTTGTGTGCGATTCTATATTCAATATTTTGGCCACTATTCAGAACTATTTGGTTCAGAATGAAATTTCAATGTTCTCATACCAGTACTTCGCAGGGGCTTATTAATTTGGTCATGGTATTATGCCGACGAAGCTGCAACATATTTGCAGCTGTTTTGTATTCGCAACATATTTGCAAATATGTTGATTCCCAAACACCAACTAGCCCAAGCATGTGTTTTATCAAGTCTTACCAAGCTGCAATAGCCTGACTGTTCGCCTATGTCAGGCAATACTATTGACTATTGCCTATGTCAGGCAATAGCCTGACATAGGCAGGCTTATCGCCAGTTTCACTGAGTGTATGAGGATGTCCAGCTGGTTTGTTCTAGATGCAAAGCAGCTTTCTGTCTGGGCTTGTCTCTTGTCCGTCGTTGTAGCCACGCTAGTACGTGCTTTCTTGGCACGAGTGGAGACCGCTAGTGGTGCTACACTGCTCTGAAGTACATTAAAAGTGCTCACTCCTCTCTCTCACACACACGGTGTAGTAGTATGAATGAAAACGCGAGCATGAGTGCGGCGGAGGTGAGGGCTCGCGAAGCGGCTGTGTGCACAACCATGAATGTCTGCGCTGATGTATGAAGAGCACCTCTTTACAAAACTGTCAAGTCGACCCATGGCTGCTTCGTGTACTACTTGGGTTCCCTTTCTGGGAGATGTGTGCAATTATTGGGCGAGTATTGGGGGAGATTATCGATAATGCGGCGTATGATTAAGGCCAGCATGATGTGAATGGTGCTCGATTCTTTTAGACCATGGCGGTGGTTGGTTATCGTTTTGAGTCGCATGGATTACCTTATTCATTTGCTTTTACAGTAATCTTATTGGGTTAACTTGCGCCTTTGTTGGTTCTTTGTGTTGAGCCAAAAACAAACTTTACTTCGTTAACTGACTCGCCTTTCAGAGTGACCGTGATGCGAGGTGGTAGGCAATGCCTCTGAATCTATGAAAGGTAATCATTAATCTTAATCTCGTGAATTAAACAATTTAATTTGCATAGGCTTACTTGACAACTGATATCACATGACAGCAGTAACAACTAAATAGGCAGAACAAACTTTTGTGCTGTGCATATAAGTACCCCTGCTCACGTGCATCAATGGGTGGCGCTCGTCGCAGCTTGTGGTATAATCCTGTATTCCACTATCCAAGCCTTTGGTGGCCCACATTGTAATATCGGCATCATATAGCGCATGCTTGATTCCCAGTATGGCATCTATCAATTAGTAGAGGTAGTCTGCTCAATACTATATTGAATAGCAATGAAGACAGTACTTGACACCTTTAGCACGCCTTTTTTCTGATTTTAAGTTTTCAGTTACTATTGTTGCTGTGCGATCTCCAAGAAAAAAACTATGAACGTAATTTTGTGTTCGTTGGCCACATCTTGTTGCCACTAGAATGTTGAGTACGTATTACATAGTGAACTAAGTCATCAAACGTGCCATCGAGGTCTAATGCAAAGATGGAATTTGTTTCTTGGGCACCGATTAGGTCATTTACAAGATTTTTAATTTGGATCAGTACGCCTAGAGTGCTATTCAAAAAACAGGTCGTGCTTTATTAAAATGGTAGCATGAAAAGTACTGTGAGGCATATGGCAGAACTGAATTAAGGAAACAGACCAGAGCTGAAGATCGTTTGTTTATTTGGTTGACTCAATGAAAGACGGTATAATAAATGCGCAATTATAAGTCTAATTGCACAAAAACAGCAGCAGGGGCATAGAAATGTACACAGCCGATTCCATTTAAGCAGACTGACAGCAGTATTCACGAGCAGTTTCCAGTAGAGTGGATGGATATACATCAAGAGCTATTTATTACAAAAAATTTTCTGAAACTTATGTGTATGAGTGCTTAACACTTTTTCTGGGTGCAATACACCTGCACCACTTGTGGATTTAAAAGGGCAAAAGTCCAGCAGTTCAAGCTTCACATAAAGATTACTGGAGGGCAGTGTAACATTCCAACAATTAAACTATGAAAGGTAATGATTAATCTTAATCTGGTAAATTAAACAATTTAATTTGCATAGGCTTACTTGAAAACTGATATCACTGTTTACATGACAGCAGTAACAACTAGTTTGTAACTGCTAATTTGGTGTAGAGTGTAATTATGGATGTTCAAACAAAACTAATTTAGTGCACATTGTTAGACTTAGCATGCAGTTTGCAACTAATGTTGGTAGTTTACATTAGGAAAAAGTCAAGTTGAGCAAGACAGTGGAAAGTTTCAGTACTGCAAATGCAGCAGAGAATGCCGTAGCATATTAAATAATGTAGCGCAGTTCGCGTAGCAAATGCGCAAAACTTTTGATCAAGCATCCTAGCGAAATGCAGCTGTCTTGCAGATGCTTTGTACAAAGCACTAAAGCCTGGTAGTTCTGATGTCTGGTAGCTCCAATCGTGGTCAAATTACCATATTCGTTCCTTGTCAGCAGGGGTGTCTGGAATTCCCTCCAATAATTTTGGTATGAAGCTCTGCACCAGCAAGTAACAATATGTTTATGTGTGTGCACTCTTGTAAGCCATACAGTGCAAATATGCCCAATTTCTGCTGTCTCAAAAGCATCGAAAATACACTTAAAAGGCAGCTCGCCTACCTGAAAGTTTGAATGTTCTTTTTGTGAGCAGGGTACTGCAGTAGAAGTACAGCAACAAAAGTGTCCTTGATTTGCTTTGCTAGATATTCAATCTGCTTTGCTAGATATTCAATCTAGCAAAGCAGTAGGCTCGGAGCAGAAAATTTAACTCTTTCAATCACATTGAATGTCAAATATGGCACAATTTTGGGAGGTTTTGATTTGTACAAGTTCTAAAACAATGAATAGCAAAACAGATAAACAGCAGATAGAAACCCAAGAAGACGCACTTAATGCAACCTAAACTGCTGCCCACTGCCAAGCATGTTTTCTGAGCTACACAACAGCCCTAGACTGAACAGCTGTGGCAAAAAATTTGCATCAAAGTTCCAGTATCGAACAGGTAAAGACTTCTTCGGTTTACTGTACAAAATGTTGACGTTTGCAGCTGCCTGAAATAAATGCAGGCAGTTCTCGCCACACTTGACCCGAATGTGCGGGCCACCACTTTAGCTTTGTGCACGTAGCAGACGTGGGTTAGAGAGAGAAAATTTTTTTTTATAAAGCAAGGAAGCTCGGCTGCAAGTTATGCAGCACTTCCACATGGAAACTGCAGTTTAAATTAATGCGAGTAGAAAAGCGCTGAAGGCGTGTTGTTTTCATACAGGACGTTGTGCATATTGTCTGTCTGACAGAATGCACAGCTCCTTTAGCACTTGGGCTGCATATGCAGAAACCGTTCTTACACAATCAATCATTGTCCTCTGCTCTTGTCATTTTCTTTTCATCACAGCTTTCTCGACGCATACATTAGTGTGGATCTCATTCATTTCTTTGCTCAAGTGCCCTTTTTGGCAGAAAACTTTCCTGCGTGCGCGCCAACAGTCGCCTAATTTGCAGTCCTTAGTAGAACGTTCGCGGAAGCACTTCCCCTATAACCAAAACTCGTCGAACAAGCGACATTAGGGAGCAAACTCCATTTGGGCCAAGTAGCGTCGTAGAGACTGCCACACATGGTGGCACTGTCCAACAGCAAGCGAATACAACATACCCGCTGTCATCCATCACTGCATTTGCCACAGAAACTACACAAAGTCGCACAGCATTCCACAAGATGGTGGTTTTATTCATTCTTTGCCGAATTTACTCGTATACAGTGACACTACCTCTGTCCTTAAAGAGGCCCTGCAATCGCTGAATAGCTTTATTAAAGAAGCTTATTGCCTCACAAATCGACCGCTGCAGAAAATTTTGCATAAAATCCCCCAAGTTTAAGTAGAATTGCAGGAATTTCTTGTACAGTTCAAGCACTTTCTCTCTCCTTTAGTACCACAGAGCACGCTGACAGCTAAGGAAGGAGGGGGCAGAAAGTTGCATCCCTTCGTCAGCGCAAGTCATGACCTCGACCATCTCTTTTTTTTTTTCATTCCATCTGAATTTTTTTCAGAGTGACCACGAGCGGTTTATGGTGGCATCCCACGACAGCGGCGGTAACTATGCACTTCACAGTGTTCAAATCAGCCAGTGGCCGTGAACTTTGGGTTTATGGCATCATTTGTCAATGCAGAAGGAATGCTTTCTATCTGACTACGAGAATCGATTGTAAACTCCAGACCATATCCTGCGCTATACATTTTTGCTAGCCCTCTTCTCGGGACTCTCGACTACTGATCAGCAGAATTTTTTGATGATACGCAAAGAGTGTTGCAGGGCCCCTTTAAGCGATTTACTCTGTCACTTGATATGAAGACAAGCTATGGGGTAGTTTCTCCTTTGAAGTGGCCTCTGCACCACAACTCGGTACAAGTATGTACTTGCCAAATCACAAAGGAAGGCGTGCATTGGAATCGCTGCTACAGCTGTCCAATTTTGCCAGTACAACGAAACTGGGGCACTAGTGCAAAAAAATTCCATAACGAGAAGCACTCGAAATATCCTGGTGTGGTCTCTGGTACCCCTGCGCTGTTTTTCACACTCAAAATGGCAGGTAGTGTACACGTATAGACCAATGGCCCCCTTCTTCCTTTTTTTTTTTTTTCTCGTTTCGCCTTGAACTCCCGAGTATAAAATGCGTAGTAGTTGTAGTGACATCTAGATGATAGTAGTAAAACTAGGCTAGGATGATAGATTATTCATCTGGCTGTGGCACTTTTATGCGAGTGAAGTGCCCTCACAAATGCCAAGGAGATGGGGGAACATCTAGAGTAAATGTGGGAAAGCGGGTTAGATGGGGGCTGATGCAGAAGTGTTCAGTGCAGAAGCTTTACAGGTGAAGATGCCTTGAGAAAAAGCAAACACCGGGCATAGCTAGAAGGCGGAAAGCAAGCCTCGCGGAGATATCCTTTGAAAAGTTTACTAATGAAGCCAGCAAAGTAAAAATCGCACACAGTCCAACGGAGATTCCAATTTGAAGAATCCCCTTCAGATGCCTGCTTTCAGGGTACTGCTGATTGTAGCAGCCTTCATAGAGAAACAGAGGAAGATTACAGATGACAAAAAAAGACATAATCTGGCAGACATAACAAACAGTCATAACTTCAGCTTCTTAGCTCTGCAGTGCAATTGACCAAATTGTACATTTTTTTTTCACCTACAACTGTTAAACACAAACAGTACAAAAGTAAAGGGCACGCATGCACGCAAACCAATGTCCTTCGGGTCTTTTGGCTGTCTAGCAGTGTATGGACCTGATGCCACAACAATCAGCTCAACAAACGCCTTCTTTTACGCGTGCATGTGTCGGCATGCTTTCGACACAACACATCTTCGAGCTGTGCCTCTCTCTTTATAGAAAACAACAACAAAATGCAATGCAGCAAGTTTCACAACATTCAGAAGCGACATGCTCAACCCTGCCTGAGACTTTCATCGTATACGCCACGCACTGGCCAGCACACATGTGTACATAAATGATAGTGAGATCCTCTGGTAAGCACACGCATTAACACATATTATTTGATGGCACTCAAGCATTCATCTCTTTTCCCCACATTTTTTTGTGTTTTTCTTTTCCGTTCCCTGGCATCCAGTTTTTAGCAAGAGCTTTTTTTCTTTTTTTAATTAAACTCTCCCACGAACCAACAGCAGCACACAGACAACAGCTATGCTCGTTAACAATGTGCCATAACTAACAAACAACAATCTAAGAGAGGCGAGCCTTCTCATCAGAACGACTAAAAAGCATACGCAGTTTCTACAGCTGGCACGTTATGACAACATGTAGTGATATAGCACAAGATGAAATGCCGTGGCCGACGTTCCACTTCGGTCCACAGCTGTAATGCAAGGCAGCAGTCCCCTGCCTCGACCGCAATACACGCAAAGCCAGTCAACCCTGTTTCAGTACATACCCGACAATGGCTGGAAAGTTTTGAATGAGTTATGGTAGCCCACATTGCGACTTTCCAAGCTGACTGCAGTCAGCCATGACTTGCATGAGAAGCTATTTTTTGAACATTGGAATCGTATTAAACTCAGTTAAATTGGTTTATTGCTAATGTGAATTGAACTAATGGAACTGCAAAAACAAGGTGGACAGGGGAGATAATTAAGGATGTTGCAGTACTAACAACTGACTCATTTTTGTGCATGATACGCTCAAACCTCATAATAAAAAAGTTGCATGTTACACAAAAATGAGTTAGTTATATCCAAAAATTCATTATAAAGGTTTATTATTAACACTATATTTGTGTCAAGGCTTTTTTCACATACTTTACAACCGATATTTCGTTATATCCCAGTTTATTACATCGAGGTCTGAGTGTAGTACATACATAGCGCACAGAAATAAAAGTTGGTCGTTAGTAGAGTGACATACTTGTCTATCTCGGTGAATTCCCGTTAGTTATGTTACGGAGCCTGGAAACTGCATCTGGCTCTTTCAGAAATTAGAATGCAAAAGAAAACAAAAAGTTACTGGCCAGGAAAGTTTCCATGCATGGAGGCAAAAAATTTTAGCAAGAGAAACAATTGCATGACAATTTCTGTACGCAGTAAAATAACCTTGTTTTCCATACATTTGCTATTTTACTCTTACACATTACAACAGTGATTTGATGCAAGATTTCCTTAGGAATAGAGACAAGTTCTCTAATAGCTAGCTGTGAACCATCTACAAAACTACCTTTGTTCTTGCAAAATTTGGGGCTTCTGTACAAGTCTACCGAACAGGAAATACCTGCAGGTCTCTGTTCTCACAACAGCCACGCATGTGTAAATGAGTATCTGCTGACACAGGCAAAACTACACTCGTTAAGCACTGATGCAGGCTCCCATAACTCGTTCAACACTTACCAGCCGAATAGTAATACGCACCATTCCACATGCCACAGCCCATTGGTACTCTACGGTACTTTCACAACATTCCCTTTCCCCTCTGAGGGCAAAGCACAATGTAGAAGCGTTTACTCCACATTCTACAACTCATCACAGCAGTAGAATGTGTAAAGGCATTTATAGATACATAAACATGTGAGTGAATCGCACCGTACTTGATGCTGTGGTATATCGCCAAGCATACCTACATCAATGCAGGGGCGGATCCAGCCGCTTCTTTTAGGGGGTAGGGGGAAGTAAAACGGAGTGAGGGGTGTGTCATGACTTCTTGTCTTTACTAGAAGAAAAATCCCATTATAGCATAAATATTATTAATGTATGCTCATAGTGGTTTCGCTAATTTATACTGATTGGCGATAGGAGGTGGACTACAAGCATCGAAGTGAGAGGGGGGGAGGTTCTGACAGAGACATTGAGAAGGCTATTCCCCCCCCCCCCCCTTCTGGATCCGCCACTACATTGACGCAGAGCTAGAGCACAGTGCTACTGCTTCGGCCTATGCACATAAACCTCACGGCAGTATAGCAACAAGCAAGACTTAGGCTAAACAGTACCTGCACTGAAAAGCATGTGTGAATTTGAAAAGAATCCATAACAAATCAGTTCTGTCCCTCCAAAGAAGGAGGTTACACTCAAACCATGCAGGAAAGCCAGCTTGCAGATCTTGCCTATGATCAACAGTAGGTTGGCTATTTCTATCAATGAACATAGGATTATCACCTTACAAGGTTCCTCTGCCCCCTTTATTTGCAACTGACATTCTAGTAATCTTGCCACCTGAATTAGAGATTGCACTTCAAACAACAGTCTGCTCAGCAGGTCCAAATATGTTCCCTGCATTCTGCAAATAAAACAGAAAAGTAAGCTCTCGTACAAGTAAATTGTTATGTCCACTCGTTAATGTTGGAATTCGTCCCTCAAGGGTGTGTACCGAGAAATACAATTCCTTATATCGATTCGATTTCCGAGACAAAAAAAATGTACAACGAAGGATAATCCATGAACTAAGCAATGAGAACTAAACAACAACAAAAACATCCTCCTGGTCTTCTCAAAGTGTGAAAACAAAAAGGTGTAACACATTTGCACTTCTTTTTCTTTTTACAAATACTAATATATTTTTGCAGCAGGTACAGCAGGTCAGGTTTTACAGGCTCACTGAGAGAAATTTGTCAACAATAGCATTGTTTTTTTGGCACATAAGTTTGTCGATGTTATAATTTCTTGTACATAGGCGTCGATGTCACGATGCACTCGCAAGCTCCCTTCGCATGGCTAGAAAATATTTTATGCGTCCCTAGTAAAAACTAATTGTACAAATTATACTTAACGTGAAGAAAAAAAAAAAGAATGACCAAAGTATTAACCATAATTAGGGGATCCCCAAACCTACGCTTTTAGGAGTTGAATGCGATAGCGACATCCTGTTCCTAGTGTGTACTTCAAACACTTGGTGCACGAAACCCTTTTGTATTTGCTATTCACCAACTATACATGGCCTTATGGGAATAGGCACAGTAGCATGTGTGCCTTTTGTAGTGTGGTACTGGCTTTCAAGCACGAAGCCATTATAATAAACGCATATTCTAATGCTCAGTTGGCAATGCATGCTTGTACCACGCATTATTACTGCAATATTTCATGTTACATTGTGAAGCATGTATATAGGACTCGTGTGTTTGTGAAGCATGAAAGCTACTTTCACTGCATTTCCAAACAGAGGAAGTCCTTTTCACTGGTTTCACAAGCAGGGCGTGTGGTAGAACATCCACTTGCCATGCAAACGACCTGGGTTCGATCCCCACTCAGACCCAAACAATCCTGGTCCCCGCTCTGCTTCGGGATTTTTATCATTTATTCGTTTTACTTGCACCATTCTCGATTTTTTGGTCACGCGTAAGATGACGATTTTTCGCTCACAACCAACGCCACTGACACCGGCATTTCTGCGAAACGAGCTCTATAGCACTATCGCGTTAACAGGAAGCTCTGTGTTGACACAGTCGGAGCAACCAATGACCTCTCAAAGTTGAAAACAAACTAAAAACTGTATGTGCGTCGCTGACAAGAGCCTCTTTCTGCCAGGACAACAGTCGTGAAGTTAAACTAATATCGAATGAGGCAGTGCAGACATAAAAAAATGGAGGAACAAAAATGTTTTGTTCATCAGTGAGCAATATACTAAGTTCTGTTGGTGTTTTCCAACAAAGTGCAGTGCTTTGGTGACGGCAGAGCTCTAAACCAGCTACCCTGACGTATCATCTTGAGTTTTCCCCTTTGCATCTTGCATTTCAGTATCGGTATGCCGATTTTGAAAAGGTTTTGAAATAAGCGAAAACTTGTCATTAATAGGTGCCCAATGGAGCTTTAACTGAAATGCCATGTGTCTGGTCACCTTGCGGTGCGTCGTTCTTGCATGTCACAGATCAATGTGGTTCATTTACACCGATCAGATGAGTTTCGATTGATTCATATATTTAGATCTTCCTGTGAGGATAGATCTGTATTAAAACGATACACTTAGCATTGGCAGTTGCCTAGCTCGTATGGTTAAAGAACAAAAACAGAACCAACCTCTACAAATGCGCACTTCTTTGTCCTGCCTATCAAACCTACAACTCTTATTCACATAGTTTTGGTTTGACGGACAAGACGACGGCATATCACCCTCACGGGGTTAGTTGTGCCACCAAGTGATTCATTACCTCCGCTTGGAGGCCAGGTCTGATGCAATCAAGTACGTGCCAATGACGGACCTATTAATGCAGATTGTATGCGAAACTCTAGCATTATGAAGACAGAATCAAACACGAAAAGCTAATTTAAAGTCAACTACTCGCATATTTGGGCCACCATATAACAGATGGTCGATTCTGTCAAAAGGTTTTCTTTTGCTACTTCCACCTGCATCAGGTAATTCTGGCCTGAATGTACACAACAGGATTGCATGTTGACTTTTTTTTTTTTGCTCACTATCTCTCTATTGCAAAGCTCAATATACTACTGAGCAACTCGTAAACTAAAGTAATGTAAAACAAAATAGACATGTTGCATGAATCCTGACACGAGCAAGCTGTGGAAATAAAAAAAAAGTGGGGAGGGGGAGGAGCTTATATGTAATGCATTATGAAAGCCATCTAGTGCCTTTGACATTTCCAACACAGCACTGCATGGAACAGAAGCAAACAAGAACAATTCAAGAGACTGTTTTCTCTTTCACAACAAAGTCGTTGGGCATTGCACACTCGTGTACAGCTTTTTGTGGCGACGAAAGTGGTAGCGCTTCTAGAAAGAGGTGTAGTCCTGATGTGTATATGATTAAATTCTCACTTGTAGCAATAATAGTATAAGATATTCTGTAGCACTGGGTGTTACATTTGATTTCACTTCTTTTCTCTGCCATTATTGGGCGAAAGGGAAGCAGTCATATGTAGACGTTATGCTGATTACACTATCTGTTCCCCTAAATTAAAAACATTATAATGTGCAGTGAGAATTTGCATACTTTCCTCTCTCATTACCATAGAAAGCTGTCCACGAGTATAACAGTAAGTTTTGTTCTGCCCAAAACTTCCAAGAATTGCGGGGGCATACTTGAACCATGCAAAAAAAACAAAAGTATAATTTAAAGATTCAGCATATCCTAAAACTCCCATATCCTCAGTTTTGCGATGCAATCAGATTAAAAAGCTCTATTGAATCTGTATATCGCATCAATAAAAGAATATTAAAGAGTCTAATTGAGCGTAAAATTCATCCGCATTTTCCCTCCCCCACTTTTCCAGCACATATTTTTTACATCAAACGTCTTCCTGCAGATGCTATTGCACAGAAACCAACAAAAATACTTGCAGCTGAAAACAACAATGGCCTAGTACTATATATATATGGAGCAGTTATGAAGCTTCCGCTCACAAGATATACTAACACAAAGCATAAAATAGCATAAAATATGTCGACTAAATATGTTCTGGCACACAAAAGACTTAACAGCAGAGACTGACCACAAGGTAATGGATGGAACACGTGTGTGCAGCAGCTCTGTGGGCATCATGCGAGATTATGTATTTTCAAACGGGCAACACGCTCTCCTGCAGCAGCTCTGTGGGCATCATGCGAGATTATGTATTTTCAAACGGGCAACACGCTCTCCTTGACCTTGGCTATGTTAGTAGACTAAAACATGATCACATAGAAAAATGATGAAAAGCTAACTTAGACTTCACCAATGTTAACCTTTTGAGGCTGTGTATGAGTATGGCAGCAACCATCTGCTGCACACGCGTTTATGCACAAAGCCTGAGAGCATGAATATCTCGTCTAGAAATTTAACAGTATAACCTGAATGCTCACGTTTTGTTTTGACTAACAATCAGCCCTCTAAGCCAGTATTCTTCCATAATGCACTTGTTTCCGAATGTTTTGACCCTTCGCCACTGGCTTGTACATGACTTGGTGAATCCGTGCACCTAATCTGGCATCATATGCGAGCTGCCAATCGATTTTGCTTTGTACAGCACAACAGATCAAGAATCACTGAACAAGAGCTACCAGACTTGCAGATGTCCGTCACAAACTTTCAGAAGATAACTAATACATTTATTTGCCAGCATAGAGGTGTCAGAAACATTGCGAATGCGCTTGTACAATATATTTTTGGAATTGTGTAGTAAGCAAGCATCATGCGAAACAAAAATGTTTCTAGCGACGAATAATTTGTTGCACGTGTGACAAGGTGTCGCCACAGATGCAGCAAGCATTCTCGGATATACCTTCCAATTCATGCAGTCTGCCCCTGTGCTGTTATGTCTCCACTATGCCAGAGGCCCTCCGCGAGGTAATATCTAAAAACAACGTAATTCATAAGAAAGCGACTGTGTGTTTCCAGTCATGCAAAAAAACAAAAAAACAAACAAACAAAAAAAAAAAACCTGGCTCGGCTTTTTTACAGGCACGAATCACAAGCACGCATCACAAGCACACTCAGCTCCTCAGACAGGACTATGAATGAACATCCAATGGTGAAGTTTTTCGCGAAAGCGGTATGTGTATGCCGAGATGCAGTGATGCAATCGATCGGTTAGGTGCCGAAAAAGAAAATATTCAAAAAGGAGATGGGCTCAGACCACATATATACAGGCTTCCTTTCTAATGATGCTTTCCTGTCCGGTTGTCCTTCTGGTGGTATGGGCTGTTATCTGTGTTGACGTCTCGTGGCCCTGCTTTCTCTTTAGTCAGGCGGAAGGAAGCTTGCAAGATGGTACTTGTTGCAGATGTGGGGTCTCACGTCATCTCTCTGTGAGTAGAAAATGCATTGGCAGAGGTGGCGATGGTGAGAGACACTTTTGAGAAAGTGCCGGAGTAATCGGTCTACAACATATGCTATTGTTGATTGGTATATTAAGAGGAATAAGTGGATGAGATTCGTTCATTTATTTTGTACAGGTGGGACGTAAGTGCACTACCAAGCAAAAGTTCGGGACTCTGGTCATCCTTAGATTAAGATTTCACATCGAGCGTGCCACTGCGAGCTGAGCTTTAAGGAATCACTATTAGAAAAGAAACCCTTCCTTCGTGATTGAGTATTACGGCATCTGTGCTAACTGCACGAACACCCCTTCACCACACTTCAACAATCCCAGTTGGCACGACAACCCAGTTTAGACTCACCATTGACACCAAACTCTCGAGAAATGGCAGAAGCTTCAGGAGTTCCCTGTCATTTCTGTCCATGAACCACGACTCAATGGGGATGCCATTCTCCAGCTGCGGCACACAGAAAATATGGTGCGATTTGCTTAGAATGCTCATTCAGCGGTAGTTCCTGTCAGCGTCTGAAATCTGTTGTACCCTTGCTTATAGCACGTAAAAGTGCAGTCTATCAAAGAAGTGTATGAGCTTAAGCACTAGTAGTTCATGGCGGTGTTTTGTGCAAAGCACAATTATTTTTCGTTTCCCCCACCGACCCCAATAGAAAACAAGTATTTGTGCACGGAGCAAAACAGCGCCGTGCATTCTAGTGCACCACTGTTAAAAAGAAAGCTTGCGAATGACTTCTCTCTCCATGGTTCAAGTAACAATGAAGACTACACACTGAAAGCAGAAATTTCAACAGATGCTTGGTGCTGTCAGAGAGCTCACTAAAAACATCAACTTTTTTTTTGCCACAGGCAGATGAAAACACACTGTGTTGCAGTTTAGCCTCCTGTGACACAGCTTAAAATCTCTGCTAGTCACTGTAGCGTATATTGGACTGAGAACAGGGGAGAAATATAAAGGTTGTCTGAAATGTCATGCAGCTATGATTAAGAAAAAGAGGAACGTCGTTATGGAAAGCACACCTAGTGAATATTGTTCCCAACATAGACTGTTTCAACACTGTAAGCGTTGCGCCCCAAAAAACTTTCGGTCATTTCATCAACCAACTCGTAACGTGGAAACTGGAAGGTCGTTGTTTTCAATAGTAAGGAAAGTCTCTTAGTTTTTCAGGTAAAGAAAATGTGCGTGATGTTCAAGGCGATCTCTTCTTGAATATATTTTGCCAAATGATGGAAGGAAAGTGTACAAAATCAGCAGGCTATTTTCTAACGCTCTTCTCGCCCACCTCTACTATTCTGGCACATTGACGGATGAAACCAGAAGTCATCAAGCGACTGTGTTTATAAACAGTGAAAGGGTCTATACCGTAGCAGCCTAATTACTAAATTGACAAATATTCACCTAATCATTAATATGTCAATGAGACACATGTAGGTACGTTCAAATTACACTTAACTACACTATTTTCAGCAACTTACCAATTGCATGCTTTTTTAGGTTAATAAAGAAAGCCTGCAAAATCTGAAAAATTGCACATTACTAGACTGCAAGGCACATCAGGAATGGTAGTAGTGCCGCATTGCCAAGACAAGTCGTGTACGAGGGCAGAACACAAACGCACCAATGTTCGTTTTGAAGCAGTTTCGGCATGATAATGTGTTTCGGAGCAGGATGGTGCAGCAGGAGTGGATTGGCACAGCATGGCGCAAATGGCCCAGCACTTCCGACCGTGTAAACCTCATTAACGAGAACATTAGTAGTGGCTACTACAGTATACTGGAAACAATATGCATGAATTGTGCTTAGCATAACAATGTTCTTCTCGTTTTAAATGGTGCATGGTGCATGCTACTTGAGACATACTGTATATATTCCCTTCAAGCACAAATTATGAGGCAATGTCTGCGAACTTGATCAATTCACAAGGCATATTTTTGAGGCACTGAGTATTACATTGCAAAAAAGAAACTTTCTCAGTCAATGAGAACGTTCCAGCAATAAATGTCTTTTTTTGTGAGAGTTCCAGTACATTGTAGTTAGCATATAATTAAGTATGTAATTAATCTGCAGTCATTTACTGTCCCATTTTGACATAAAAATAATGACATCATAGGCTCCAAATCTGTGCACAATTAGTTTTTGGTTGTATTCATTTCAAGAAAAAAGAAATATTGGTTCTGAAATGCGACATGTCAAACGACCCGTTGATTATACACTGTCTTCACCAAAGTGCGCACACAGCTAATTGAAGTTAAGTCTCAAGTCATACTGACTCTGGAAAAGGCTAAGCTAATCCAATGAACATGGTATCTTGCTCTCGTCAGCCACAAAACTGGCATAAACAAGTTGTGTACACAACGTAGTTACCACAAATAAAGCGTACGAATAAAAATTTTAGCATAACATAAAGCCTCATCACATGCACAGAAAATTAATTTAAACCAGGTGGAGCGACACCACGTCAGTGTGTCACAGTATGCAAACAAAAAGGATGCAGTGCATGCTCTTTTGCAAATTGCTTACAAATATAGAGCAAGAAAGAGACTACTGCCTCCAATTGACCTTGAACTTGAAAGTAGAATATTACATATTTAAGTACATATTTATATGCTTTCACATATAAATATGAACACATCAAGACAAGTTAAACCAGTAACAACTTTAATATGAGACACACACACGTGCAAACATACTCTGCTTCAAGAAAAATTTGAAACAGACGCACTGCTCTTTTTCTGCACATAGTACTCCAATCTAACTTAGTATGTACACCCGACTTACCTGGTAGCCGAATGCCTGCGGCGAGTTGTCGATGATGATAGTCTTAGCAAGGTCTCGGCCCAGAATGGTCAGATCCTTGATGTAATTGCCACTGACACAGACACAGTGCTCCCTGAACAGCCGGAACCTAGACAGACAGCCATAACACATCATCGAAAAAGTGCCACCACACCACACCGTCACAGTACTTTGCCAATCCAAGCAGTGTGCGGGGAATAGCACACTATTAATTAACACGACACTGCACCTAGTGCGATAGATGGGACTGCCTGGAGTTGAAGCGCAACCCTCTCCTCATGATTTGGTAGCCACTACTGGGCACACTCACAAATGCAAAAAAGGAATCTCAAATAACGATATGAGAATGTAAGTGAGCTGATTGTAGTATGAAGGTCAACTGTAGTAGTCTTAGTGCGATCAAGTGTTGCATTGTTTAGTCTCAACTACTGACTTGTTGCAAACTTTGTTAATACAAAACAAAGACTTTGGTATGGTCTTAACGTTTGAAGAAGCAGCACAGATAAACATGGATGAAGTAGCAGCAAGTACACACGAATGGTGCCCATTGAGTCTTAACTTGTTAATTCAGTATTCACTACAAATGAAACTAACTACCAAGACATTATCAGTTGTTTCCCACAATGGACACGAACAGGTAGGCGATGACTAATCTAGGTATTTTCACTCATCCCTCTATCTCTCTCAAAATGGTGACAGTGACATTTGCAACAAAAATAATGCTCTTTTATGTGTTAAAGAGATCTGCCAGGGCAAGATCTGCAAAGATTATTACTATTACTTGATGTGGAAAAATGTGTATACACTCAAACCTTGATATAACGAAAAATAGTCTTGCAATAGATATAGTATTAGGAATAATCCTTTATAACGAATTTTTGGATATAAACTTATTTTTGTGTAAGGTGCAACTTTGTTATAACGAGGTTTGAGGGTACATTGAAAAAAGATGGACTTACCTGATGAGCTTCCTTTGAGGATCCAGGAGATTCAGAAGCTTATCTGCGTAGACCTTCTTGGAAGCCGTGAAGAGGATGACTTCGAATATCTTGGACACCCGCTCCAAGAATTCACGGAAGAAAGGGCGTGTTCGAACGTAAACCTGTAGGGAAGGTAACACATCGTTGTTGCACGAGAAGCTCATCATTAGAACAGGTGCACAGCATTAAATGGAAGAGGTGGAAACAACGTCCCAACCTTGTATTCTACGTCTTGGAAGGTGACTGGAAAGGTGAATGTTGCATCTTCCAGTTCCACCAAACTGCAATGCACCAAGGTTTCATCCTGTCAAAAGGAACAAAGGTAAAAAACAAAAGGGAAAGATTGACGTCACTGATGCAGTTGTTTCCATAAAAATACAAAATTTGGCTGTGCGAAATTTTGTATTTTTTGTTTCAATTTTTGAACATTTACTCATTGACTCTTTCCCTACCACGCGCATAGGGCATCGATAGCCCTCCATCGATGATTTATATTGCGGATTTCAAGACATTCCGTGCCATTTGCGGCGCCATTGTCGCGAAGGAGAACGTTGCTTTTCCTTTAAGTGCAGAACAACTTAGGGGCCCGAGCTGTAGTATGCTGTCATCATATGCTGTCAGAGCTTTGTGCAACGCAGGCAGAACCACGAGTAGCCTAGCCACCAGTAGAAATATTTAGCACGCACTCGTGCCAATGAGGTCTTTTTCTTCTTGTTCTTCGAGCACCTCGATGCTGCTAAGGGCGGAGCACTTTAGAGGCCTGGACAGTTGTGTGCTGCTGCTTGGCGTAACACAGGCAAAACCACATATAAAAATAGAAAAAGAATGAAGAAGCAAGCGAGGAATAGAGAGAAAGGACAAAAATAGAGATCAAAATAGAAATCAAGAAAGAGAAACAAATAGATAAAGAGAGATAGAGAGGAGAAGAGAAAGAGAGAACCAAAGAGAAACAAAGAATGCTACCCAGCTCCGTACTTACTACAAGTCTGGCACACCTAGTGCAAGGCTGCCTTAATTTCTTTTCATCAAGTTACTGTGGTGGCATAACGACAGTAAATTTCTCAAAGAACAACTGATGTATAAACTAATTCCGTGTGTCACTTAGATGCCACAGTAATAAATATTAGCGTTTGCTGACAGGCACAGAGTGAACTGACTGACTCCCACAAATAAATGTTGGCATAAGTGCGCTTCAGAAGACTCTAATTATTGATCACAAAAACTACTGAAGTTAGTTGCACAGAATGGTCTACTTAGAAATTAAGGACACTGTTCCACTGTAGGGATACTGAAGCACCACTAAGAGTGGCAGAAGTGTGAGCTACCAATTTATTTCTTGCGTGAATTTGCAAGTTCCCCGTCTATCACCTGTTCTAGTTAAGTACTAATTGTTAGACACTTCCTGAACATTGTGCATGTGCTAGTGGTACATGCAAAATGTGGCCAGCTGCACCGCACTCAATTCGAGTACACAGATTTGTCACGTAATTGGCAACGACCACAAAATTCCGAGTGAGTGCCCCATGACGCATTTCTGTGCCGTGCTGGAAAATCGCCCTCCCCCCACCCTGTACCCTGTTCGTATACCGCATCCAGGTAACATTGGTCTGCTTGAATCAGATCCGATTTCACTACGCAGCCTCAATTATAAGCGCGCGGGCCTGAATTTTGGCCTTTTTGCTTTTTTTACTTTTTTGATATTTTGAATTTGCTTTGTTTTTTTACCCCACATAATGATCGCACACTGACCTAATGATCGCACACTGACAATCTTCAAGTCTTCACGAACAAAAGCATGGCCTTTGAAATCTGTATTTGCAGTTCGAAGGAGGTGGTGCCTATGAAAGTAAGACCTTTGATATACCCCTCTGTTGCTCAGAACCATAGCGTTAGCGTGGGCTCATCATTAGAGCTGCTTCTAGTGTCATGCTTCCCACTGTCTAATCGAAGTTGCTTTACGCTTCTTGTGCTTGTGAGTCATCATGATAATGCACCATGCCACCAACGAAAGCCAGAAAACTTCTGAACAAATTCGCGTGCACTCCATTTTTTTTTTTCTGGTAAAAAAAGATTTGTTGCCAACATCTTCAATTTTGATGCCGTTTTGGGCAGGTGACTCGCTGAGGAGAAGCGATTGTACAGAATTTCACAGTATTTTCGAGAAATTTTTGTCCCTGTAAGCAACGCGTCACACTGAACAACTTGACAAAAATAATAGCCTCCTAAGAATGAACATTGGCGATAAGTACAACAATGTAATGTGCTGTTATAGACCTTAGCGTCAAAAACTACTAAAGTGTGCACAAGATACCAGTATAACTACACTCCCATGAGCACACATACACTACCAGAGCAGGAAGAACCCCTCTCACCAGATCCAGAACAAGCGAAAACTCTGGGCTACTCCGTGTCCTCAGTGGCAATGCAGGGCAGCGGGCACGCATTTCAGGTGTCAGTGGAGGCAGGTGCTTGATAAAGTAATAGCTAGGGGGGAAAAAAATCAATTACTAAATTAGTTCCACAAACTTCTGCATGTAGGTGGCAGGGTTACTGGGGCTGTCAGTGTGAGCGACTGAAGTGGGAAAGCCACCTTGTGACTCAAGTGTTCAACCACGTGAACACAAATTTTATTCTCTTAAGAAAGCAGACACTACGTCGTGGCAGGCATGAATTTTAGAAAGTCCCTTCCTTTTTATGGTAAGACTACCATATCCAGATAAAATGCATGTAATGGTGGTTATTTATTGTATTTATTGATTTACCTTCAATGCATGAAGGTTTCAAAGAAGTGCTGGTCGAAGACAAGATAAATAACTGTTAATAAATGCCAGTAGCTAGCATATACAGCCTAACTTTTCCTATAGCAAATGCTAACGCTGTTTTTGTACTATACACTGATGATTAGGTTTCATAACATTTCATTCATGACAATACAATGATAAGTTTCAGTTCACTGGGTTTTTAAGTATAGAAGTCGTACTAAAGAAACTCGATTCAATAAGGAATTGAATTACTCTAACATCCTTGGCTTCGCAGTTTACAGAGTACTGCAATCAAAACCAGCTCGTGAGTATTCATTAATAAAGCATACTGACTGCCAAAATGCATTCACTCTTTTAACATTTAGACAGCTGCCGCAAATCTCAAGCCACAGGGCATGCAGTGAGAAGTTAACCACTGGTCGTTTTGAGTAACAGGCTGGTGTGAGGGGGAGACAGAAAGTTAGGTGGGCAGGTGAGATAAAGAAGTTTGCGGTGATAAAGTGGCCGCTACACACTCACAGGACTGGTTTGATCGGAGAAACATGAAAGAGACCTTTGCTCTGTGGTGGGCGTAGGCAAGCTAACGTTGATAATGATGCAAGAAAAAAAAAAAGAATAAAAAGAAGGTGGGAGAGACTTACGGGTCAAAGGTGTCCCAGTCCTCAGCTACCTTGGCCTCTTCAGCTGTGGCACACTCGGCACTGTAGACTCCGGGTGCTTGCTCCACATATGGACACTCAACACTTGCGTCGGACTTGAGGTCGACGAGCTGATCCAAGTCGCATGACTGCAGCTCTGGAAAACCGACAGACTAAACTGTTTCTTTCTTTGAAGTATAGAGGGCAACACTAATGCACCGAATGCCATTCAACACCCATTTTTGACGCATCTCAGCATTTGCTTTCACTCGACGTACAGCTGTACGCGGCTGGCACTCGTGAAGGACTTACCGTCCACGGGCAGTGGCTCCTCATCATCGGAATTCGGGCAAGGGTCAACTGCGAGACTTTGGAAGCCCAGCTTCGTGTCTGTGGTTGCCTCTGGAAAGCCAAAAAAAAAAAAAAAAAAAAAAGCAGCAGTGTGCTAAAGTAAAGGAAGCCAGTTTGGCCCCATGTGCCTGGTCAACCATATAGTGAGTTTAGTGCAACATGGCTGCCTGAATTAGCCTTTTACTACAGAATAATGTCACTTTACTACACTGAGCACTTTATTGGAAAGAATCGACCGTCAACCTGTGCTGAAATTATTAATAGGCTCATTCACTGTACTGAATTATTTTTCACAGTTATTTGGGACATATCACAAATTGGAAACAGCTCTGGTAGGAAAGAACTCAGCCTCAACAATTTGAAGTGCTGGTCATATCAGTCAGAGGCATGAAACACATCCAAAAGTGACAGAAATTTGGACGAAGGTAATGAGAAGCAACACATATGAAAGTAGCTGAACCTGACAAAGGGACCAAGACGAGCACACTTGTGTATACGCCAGTCTCCAGTAATACTCTCTGTTGTACAAGTTCTCATCACCACAAAACTCGAACATACCATTAAACAGTTGGTAGACGGGTGAAAAGAGTGCATCCTCAGGACCCGCTGGCTCTGCCACTTCACTGGGGGTGTCATCTGGTGAAATGCAACAAACAAAACAAACGCCGGAAAATGTTAGACGTAGCTCAGTTCACTGCACGCTCTACTGCCAACATGCGTACATAACTGTCAGTCAAATTAATAATGACAATAGTATTAATAACAATGCCCACTTAACGATGATGTCTACATGAAACTGCTTTATTATTTAGTAACCTATTTAATCAGTAAGAGTTATGTTTCTAAAATGTCACCAGTGTCTTCTCGAAATCACAACTATCAAAACCTATTCAATCTGATACCCAAAATTGCATACCATATAACAAGGAAGATGAGTGGCCTTCTATAATTTATGTCTAACACATATAACAATGTTGAGAGTGGATAGCAGATGGTGCTGCACCTTTGCAAATCATTGCCAGTACTATACACAACTCCCATCAACAGGAAGAAATTTTTCTAGCCCCTTGAGGTACTGTTTCACTAAAATGACGAAGGGACATCACAAAGAGAGTCGAAAAAAAAAAAAAAAAAAACTGGTGCACAGTTTGAAAAACATAGGGCACAGTCAATCCTGCTGGAAGTGAAGGAGAAAGCCAGGAAAAGGCGCAATAAATATCATAGGCGAAATCACTTCGTTATCACTAGGCCCACTTGACAAAGTGAACTCGCACTGCATTTAAAAAACAATCACCAAACAGCACTTGAGAAATATTTAAGGCATTGTTCGAAAGTTGGTCTACAAGTAAGTTGTCTCAACCTTGAATCTTGACTGTTGACAACTGGTGGCACATATTCATGTTCGAAACAAATGAAACGAACCATACTGCTTGTTCTTCAATATAAATTAATTACTCGAAGAAGTAGCACAGAGAAAAACAGGGTGAAAAAAAAAAAGCAAAATGTACATACCTGTGGCATAAATGCGTGCCTTTTTGCAGCACTGCCGGCTCGGCTTCTGCCGAGCTTGCTGTATGCACCGGCCGCTTGTGATGAGGCTGGTGTCATTGTCAAAGCCACCAAGGCTGCCGGAGTCTCTAGGCCGTTTCAACAGCCTCTTTTCTTCGTTAGTCTGCAAGCCACAAGGGGTTCAATGGTCAGGCAATAGTCAATGACACTTCCTGGTTCTTCCAGAATAACGGTGCACACATCTTTTTACGTGCGGCCAGCCAGTTCATGCCATCTCCATGAAGGGAGAGGAGATCTAGCCAAACGAGCATGTCACATGGTCATCCACTAGATTTATTACCTTTTTATTGCAATGCACACACGGACCAGAAATAGCAACTAAGGAAACGATGATGTCTATTTGTGGTACATGTGTGTGTTGCGCAGAAAAAAAGTCGGGAATTGGTACCAACTCGCCCAATTGTCATACATCTTATAGACAGTTTGACAATGTGTTGTTGCAATGAGTTGGAACGCTGGTGCACTGATATTATTTCAGAGTCTGGCCACTGCACATAGTCGCAAAGCAACCTAGAAGTTAGATTTGGCACATTTCATGACAGACATGAAAGCTCACTGAAAGTTTGGACCAATGTAGGGTGCCTCGATGTGTGTGCCCTTGCTTAGTATCCTGCCACCTTTTGTACTCCTCCCTTTGCCATTGTAGTGCCTGCAGCGTCTTCGCCCAGCTGTAGGGCTAACATGCCTTCTTCGGCCTAGTATGCTTGGATGCTGCGTTCCTCAGGGCTATGATCATTTGCGTTAAGCTAGTCAGCAACTTCCCGCCAGAGTGAAACCAGTATACAGCAGGAGCGATAATGGCGGCCGCCGTACCAGACAACGCAGATGTCTCCACTCTGAGCGGAGGAGGGGGGCATCGAGGCACTCCAGACCATTATAGGGTGCCTACATGACCACTTTTTTTTTTTCAGGGTGGAGACATCTCAAAAAGTGTTCTAAAGAAACTCAGCTAAAATTAGCAGGCAGTCCGGCATGCTGTTGCCAGCTTCCGCAAAATAAGCATAATTTTTTTGTGTGCCACTATTTTGAAGCCAGTCATACGATCCCCGCTCCCCCAGCTACTCGTGATCTGCAAGATTATTAGTGGCTTGCAGTGTATCTTCAAAGGCCCCTTTTCAGACTACAACCTCATTAAGGCAAAAGCCTTCGGTACATCAGAAACATAACTGTCGGAGGTGTCCAGCATCAGAGTAAACATGTTACATGCATCAAGCTCAAAACGAAACCGGCGGTGGCATTGTCCAGCGTTGGCGTCAACACTAATCCTTAGGTGCATCTATGTAACCATCGGTGGCGTCCAGCATCGGCGTCAACACGTTACATGCAAAGCGCGAGACGTAACTCTCGGTGGCGTCGTCAGCGTCAACACTAATCCTTAGATGCATCAAGCGCAAAAATGTAACCGCCGGTGGCGCCCAGCATCGGTGCGAAGACGCTGCATGCAGAGCTCGAAACGTAACCATCGGTGGCATCGTCCAGCGTCAGCGTCAAAATGTTAGATGCTTTAAACTCGAAACGTAACCGTCGACAATGTCTAGCGCTACCGTCAACACGTTACATGCATCAAGCATGAAATGTAACCGTCAGTGGCGCCCAGCGTCGCAGCCAACACGTTAAATGCATCAAGCTCAAAACGTAACCATCGGTGGCGTCGTCCAGCATCGGCGTCAACAGGAACCCTTAGGTGCATCAAGCGCGAAATGTAACCGTCCAGCGGTCGGTGCCAGTGGCGTCCAGCGTGTTGACACTGATGGTGACGCCACCGACAGACACATTTCACGCCTGATGCATCTACCGCTTCGTGTTAACACTGACGCTGGGCCGTATTCTCGAGGATGAAATGGAACCAGGTGTACACGCAGTGCAGTCTACAATATGGCGCAATATCGGGGCATTGTCGTCTGGCAACATGTATGCTCCCTAGACCATTGTTGTGTCGTGCGACACCTGGTGTCATCTAAGCACACCAGTGCGTTAAAGATTCCGATACATGCCACTGGGTGGAGCTAGGCCTAAGCCATGCTGGTCATGTGACCTATGTTTCACTGACCAATCACCCTCCTTCCTCCTCCATAAAGTCGCCCAAAATAAACACGAGTCAGTCTTGCGGAAGCTCACTCTCTGTATCACCTCACTGTGCGCCCTCCTACCGCTTGGCAACTTCGCCGGTCTGCCACAAGATTACGCCCTGCACCTGCCCTACACAATAACGATAAACTAATGTGCAGCCTGAAGCATCAACACTAAAGTAATGACGCTGCTGAAAGAGCACGAATGAAAATGTTGGCTGCCATTACATAGTACTGTAACTTTAGGACAAGTGTCTTAATACTTTTAAAGAAGTCAAAACACCCAGTTACTTGGTTTTAATTTTCATTATTCTAGCAGGAAACTTTTCGATAACAAAGCACCAATGAAGATATTGGCTGCCATTACGTATTGCTATAACTTTAGTACAAGTGCCCTAAAAGTTTTAACAAAGTCAGAACACCAAGTCTTGTACTTTTAATTTTCAGTATTCTTGTATGCGATTTTCAGTATTCCTTATTAATGCATTAATTTTCATTGTTCTTGCACCATAAAAAGATTTTTCAAATCCCTTTGTGATGTTCCTTTATCCTTTCATTATTCTAAAGAAAAAAGTAATAATAATAATAAAGCAGACAATCGAGGACAATGGCGGATACATCCTCAAGCTAATTCTATATCTGTTTCGCATAGCCAAGAATTCAGTTTCCTGGAGAATAGATACTACCATTCACGCATATTACTAGAAACGTTTTATCGACTGGGTTCCTTGCTGTGCAATGAAGTAATTAGTTTGAGTTTTTTACACATATGTCAATTGAGACAAGGAAACAATGCTTAGCAATGTAAATGTTTAGTCTAGTTGATAGGTAACCCTAAGGTATGCTCACAAAACAAGGCTACGTGCGAATGAAAGAAGATTATAAGACACAAACATCGCTGCCCTTCTCTGCCTCTTTGTTCGCCTTGGACAGTAGGCACAGTTAAAAAGATATAGAGTGCGAAAATGATCATCACCCTCAATGTTTGTCTCACTTTTCTGTCTCTCTCTTTTCCCTGTTACACATGTGTGAGGCAACTAACCAGATGTAGTCCTAAGGGTAAACCTCCCGCTTTCCTTTATGTCCTCCTTTTTCCCTTCATAACCACAGAAAAGTTTTTCATGAATGTGGTACACATGTCTGTACTTTGTCGTCCTTGTAATTTTCAGAGTGCAACAAGTAGCATGCTCTCACCATTGAATTTTTCTTTCTCAGTGGAGTGGAAAACCGTGGTTTATCCAGCTTTCTCATGGCCATATATGAACCCTGCAGAAAAAAAATAAAGTAAAAATGAACAAATTAACATGCTTAAAGCACCCCACCACTTCAACACAATTGCCAAGGGGGGAGAGGGGGGGTCACTTTGTGGTGCAAGTCCACCATGCAGACTGTCCATTTCAGCATGTGTTGATTGGATAAAGCCCAAAAGCTGGTGACTACCACTGGTGCCAGTCTGCCACCTGCAATTAAGCTCTACCTAATCAGTGTGCATGCAGTAATGAACATACCCCTCCTTGTACCCTTATGGGAAATTCTCAAAAGTGTTATATGCATTTTACTGACGCATGTGTCCAAGACGTACTCCAGATAATATGCAAGCCAATACGAAAGACAAGGTCTCAGAATGCACCTCTGTCCTATATTATGTCAGCGTGCCTGATAGTGACAGAATAAACTTCAGTCTTTTTTTTTTTTTTTTTCACTGTTCACAGTAAAACATCCTAAGATAATGCTGTACAGCAACAGTCAATAAAACAATGATCTATATAGTTTCTGCCTCCTTACACAATCTGTAATTTACTATGTGCCACGCGACCAAGAATCTATTAGCACTCTGGCATGTCTTCATAGACAAAGTAGACGTGCATTAAAGAAGGCATGCATTCTTTAAAAACCACATATAGCTTTGAATACAACTTAAAGTGTAAAAGCAAGAATGCATAGGAATACTGACTGCAAACTACAAAAGACATCTTTTAGGAAACAGCAAATAACTTAAATATATAAGACTATGGCTGCTGGTTGATGGCACATGATGCGGCCTGCTGCATGGGGTGGATTGACCATCCTGTGATGCAACCTTCGTGGCAGGGACTGAACTTTCAACGTTCGGGTCAGCAGCCAAGCTCCATAACCATTGACAAAGCGTGGCGGACAAGGTTTGTTTAAAATGAAGTTTGGTGGAATTGCTGAGCTCCATTGAAAATAGTTGCCTTACTATTTGAAAACTATTTGAATAGTGTGAACTCGTATTCGATTTTGTTTCATTGCTATTAGATTAGTATTCAATTCAGTTCAAAAATTCAGCATTGGCACACCCCCATAATGTGATAAAATTCCAACTAGCCCAAAACACCATATCCCGTAATAATGTCACAGCCTGTTCTCTAAAGCAGATTTTTTTTCTTTTTTAGATAACCATATGCAGCAGGAAAGATGGTTTGACCTAGTTCCTTTATTATTCAAAAGAAGGTACCCCTACGCTCTCATCATAGGTATGAGCAAGATATCCAGACAAAGAAACAGTCAAAGCCTGTTCTATGCCAGCTCGGATCTCAGACCAGCTACTTGAAGGGCCCCTCACCAGGCTGTATAACACATTCTAGTTAGACACTGGCAGTTGTGTGTCCGGAGAAGGGCATTATGCGAGAATAATTTTCCAATCAGTTTATTATGAGCTGAGAAAACCAGTACTTTGAAGTGGCACGATACCAGGATGCGAGGAGATAAGCTCGAAACGCTTGCCGCTTGCCTTGTGTAGCCTTCACAAGCCAGATCTCTTCCCTATACTTTCCAGCATCCAAGCAAGAGGCCACGTGTGCATGATCAAGCCCGACCCCTCAGCACGCAAGCGGCATTCTTTTGCTGACCAGCATTATTTTGTGGTCTACTGCCTGTTTCTGCAATATCGATGCCTCAGCGCGTGCTCATTTGGAAACGGTGGCTTAGACGGTGTAGAATAGATGAATATAATGAATGCTCAATCATGAAGGACCATTAATTTTGTTTCCACGGCTGGCACCTGCTCAATACACCAACCGCAGGGACACAAACGCATGGGAAACGCATGCACATTAGCCCCGCATATCGTTGCACTTCACGAGAAAAAAAAATGAAGATCTACACATTGTTTCTGCGTGCCTCATTATTTATCCCAAGTTTTATTCATCTATTTAAGCAACAATTTACAAAAATTTATGCATGTCGGGTGAAATAATTTTCGCCGTGTCAGGTGCTACTGTTGGCGACGTAAAAGCACAGTTGTCTACATAGAGGATCGACGTCACAGCACTACAGTCTATGTAGAACGATTCCGTCATCTACGTCATCCCGTCATTCTCTGGGCGCGCGCTCGCGAAAAGAAGGGCAATCAGCATTCATGATGGAATGGGAGAAGGTCCTTGGTTCTTCACAGCCTCTGAACTAACAGTTGCGTTTCCACTTTTCGCAGCTTGTTGTATTTTAACCTAATAGAATGTTTGTCAATCACAGTGGTACACAACAGTTGTGTGGCATTTTGCCTAATGCATAAAAAATATCACATATGCACAAACTGTCTTGAGTAACACTCAGAGCCATGGAGAACAACCACCGACTTGACCTATTTGCTCCTTCCCACAGACGCGTTGCGTGGAATGTTCCCCCACTAATAGCGCGCTCCTAGCAAAATGCGCCGACAACTTTCAAATTCGCTTGAAAGCTCTCGCCTCCTGCCTGCATCGCAACGTGGCAGGCCGTACTGTGCGTTTTTTTCGAGCACCCGCAGTAAACACAAACACTCTGGCGACAATTCTCACTGCATTTATGTCTGATTTGAATTTGAAACAACCTGATTAATGACTCTTCAATTGATGGTGCAAGATAGTACGCAATTTTTGCTTCCCTGTAATAAAGAAAAACTAAAGGCTATGGCATAATAGTTATTGTATTGTCTCTCTAAGCTAGAGAGCTTGTTGCATGCTTAAATTTCATTTAATTCTTTTTTTACTTCTTGTCCTCATCAATAAAATTCTGTTCATGTCTAGCTGATTTGTTTTCTTTCTTTTACCTTAGGCGATGAAGTTAGCGCATGCAAAGAACTTGATCATGCATGATTTTCCTGCATATTAGATCACGAGGCTCTTGATGCCTGGGCATTACAAGCATACTGGAAAACATTTTTAATCGACTGCCTGGCCGTGGTTATTTCTTGCTCAAGTAATGACAACACATAATTTCACCATAGATAACATTTTAAATATCGTCCAGGGCAAAATCGGGCTTAGTCCTCACATTGTTCCCTCTGTTTTCCGACGATCCTCGCATGCCTGGGGTTGCGCGGCACCTTGCCAGTGTTGCCAGATTAGCCCGACGTGCCTTGCGGACCTCATGCGTAGTGACTGCTGCTGCTGCCGGTTCAGCCCACTGGTGCCCCTCACCAGCTGTGCGCCGGCTGCCTACTGGCATGCTGACAACATGGCTGCCCTGCACAGTAAAACGACAGCCACACAATACATCACTCAATCGATCAGCCAATCGGTCGGTTTGCTCCTGTGTCTACATATGTACGTGATGGATTGAAAGAAAGGCAGTGGAGAGCAACTCTTAAAAACAAGTGTGTCCACAAACTGAAAAGGCTGTTCATAAGAAAATAAACAAATTTCCTACATGGCACCAATGTATCAATCACTTGGAAAATTTATATAGCTTTACAATTTATGCAAAGGAGTTCTGCGGAGACCCACCACCTTGCGGGTCTCCGCAGAAAGGGAAAGTACACGTGTCTTCGTGCCACAAATGAGTAGTTGTCTACTTTCCCTTTCTTATATAGTTTTAATTATTGATTTGTACAGTTTAGGCATGTTTGACAGGCAGTACCAACACCAAACTGAACTAATTTTTCAGGTGACAGAGCGTGCTTACATTACACTGGTGCAATGTTGGTCAATTCACATTTCCATAATTTTTTTTAATCCTGTGAATGCACATAATGTTACCTTCTGATAAACTCCCACCCTTAATTCTAGGAGTACATATGCTTGTTATTGTATTCCAGTATTTCAATAATGAATGTCACAGTGCAATGTGTTCAAAACCTATTAACTAATGTATGCACAGAAAAACTGAACAGCACAAAATTATTAAGGGTAAAAGAAGAAGCTGTTGAAACAACCAAAACTTTTGGCACTGTGGTTTGTTCTCGTAGTGCCAAGACACATTAGCCTTACTAACGGATGCAGTTGTAGCTTGCGAGAGCTGTATGTCATAACCACAGGTATAGTAGTACAGAAGGAATGAGCACACAATAAGCACACAAACCAGGACTACCAAAGCTCAGTCCTTTGACTTGATGTAATGATGACTACTGTGGTGTGTGCAGTATGTTTGTAGTTAATACAACTGACCGACGGGCAATCGTGAATAGTGTTTCTACTAGCAGGAATTGCTATAACTATGATATTGGTGTGTACCAGTAAATCTCCTAATCACACTTCTAGTGCAAGAGGTTTCTGCCTCAAGCAGCAAGATTTGTTGCACAACACAAGCAATGACAACATGTATAAGTACTACCAGTCACCCTGCTCTTTCAGGAAAAGAAAAAGATTGGCCTAGCCTACAGTGTTTGGACCGTGTGATTACACACAATGCACAATAATCGGCACTACTTCAACACTTAGCACCACCATGATATTTACTAGGGTACTACGTGCCAAAACCACAGTATAACTACGAGGTACAGTGCAGAAGGGGGGGGTTATAGGGACAGACATCCAATATTTATGCCAACCTATTTTCTCTACACCAACAGAAAGCTTACCATTCATAGTGTCTAACCTCAATATGGTAACACGGAAAACACCATGAAGCCTTTGTAATCAGAATTTCTCTATGTGAAGCAAACTTGAAGGCGTATGCGCATGTGACAATACGAAATACTGCACACAATCCGAAATGGATGCTCAAATCTGTCACTATTTTTCACAATCATTTCATTTCCACCAGGATCTAATCTTACGTTCTGGCCAGTTGCCGGTCCCTTTAATGTGCATCTAAATCTAAGCATGCACATGTTCTTTGCATTTTACTCCCACTGAAATGGGTCTGCCATGGCTGGGTATTGAACCTGCGCCTTTGAGCTTAGTAACATGACATTCTACGAATAAAGTTACCATGGTGGGTTCTGCACACCACTGCGAACACAGTAGCAAGGGCCCTTCTGGTGATCGCAGTGTTGTCACCTATCGCTTCTGGAATTGCTGAGCAATACTTTTGAACATGCAAACAAAAGGGTAGCCCTTACCAGAACTATGTGGTTTCACTGTCAAAGGGACTAAATAAGAACATTTCGAAGTATATGTGAGCAGTCCCGCCATTTACCACTTTCTTGTTTTAGCCCTTTACTATGCGGCTGGGGAGTTAAAACTAAGGGTGCCAGTGGCTAGTCTCCTTCCTATATTGCCATATACACAAAAGGAAACACCAAATGTGCAGTGCTTATTAATATATACCAGAACATATATACTCCTTTATTCTGCAGAGCTGTAACACTTTTGGCAGCACTAGTTAAGTTGACCCGTACTTGTAAAGTAGCACATCACTTTCTGGCTGTTTTCTCGTGCACTGTTCCGAGTAATCAATGTCACTGACAACGATCGAAAGGTTAATTTCCACAAAATGCACAGCTGATGATGACTGGCAAAAAAGAGTGGAGCATGATATGGATTGTTAGAAGGCATGGATGGCTCCAATGCATCAGCACTGTACTAACAATGTGCTAGATAAAAAATCTGCTTATAAGTAGAAGTGACACTGCAACCTCTTTCTCAAATTATAAATAACAAGGGTGTATCTTGAACTGCCGAACAATACATACGACGGTAAATATAATTTCTTATGCCTGTTGGACAAGTTATGAAATGTCAAAGATATATTATATTGGAAGGACAGCTTTAAGGCGAGAAGAGATTATGTACATTTGGCCACACGGCTTTCTCTCAGCTGCAGAAGATTCATTCTACCGAGTCTGTGTCAACAATGACCTTGCAAGAGGGACTCGTTCAGCCTACAAGTCCTACATTATATTTGTCGCGCAATGGCTGATTGGCCCGAATTGGCCCTCCCCAATACTTGCAATACAAGCGCATAGGGACACTTGTGCACCTGTCCCAGTCATATATGTGTTTGTCGAGCTCGTATTTCAAGTACACCGCATGAACGGCCGGCACAACTGCTACGAAGGCTGGGCCCGTCGCGGCTCCACGGCGCTGAAATCGACAACGACCCACCGCGTGGTCGATGCATGCGCGCCCACCCACCCCCGCCAACGCACATTTTCGCGCCCATGCTGTCTCCTCTCCCTTTTCCAATCTCCCGTCTTCTATCGGAGGAAGGAGACAGCGCGGCGTGCGAGCGTGGGCGGCGATCAATACGCACGACACCGCGATTACGCCGCCCCGGGGCAGCGTCATTGCCGTCACTACTCGCCCCAGAGGAGGGGCCCCCTAACCTCCCCGATCTCCGCGACCAGCTCACCAGACGCACGAACTCCACCGCGCGGATGGCGGCGCCCCGCCGCGGTCGACGCGAGATCGAAGTTGTTTCGCTTCGCACTCGCCATGCACTTCGCCTCGCCACCATTCTCTCACCAAGTCTCCACTCGGCGGCGCTTTTTCTGAACACGCTACGCTGGCCTTTCGCGCCGGTCCTGCGCGACCCCGCGGCACGCGCGGTTTAATACGGTCCCGCGATGCGCGTGCGCCGAGGGAAGCTCAGCGGTCTTCCTTCGTTCCATGTTGTTGACGGCTAGCACAGAGATCATGTCTTCGTTGGTTGCCATGCATCGGGGCGACTCTCTCTCTCTCTCTCTCTCTCTCTCTCTCTCTCTCTATATATATATATATATATATATATATATATATATATATATATATATATATATATATATATATATATATATATATATATATATATTCTTGACACTTGTCAGAGTCGTGTTAAGATCGGGAACGGGAATGCGGGGATTATGCATATTGAACTGAACGAGCCGAATGAAAGTGCGGTTACGAGCGACAAAAGATTATTTCGAAACTTTATTGCGCTGCCCCATAAACTTTCGGGTCTTTCCTTTCCTTCTTCTTTTTTGAGACAAGTAATCGAGCACTTCCACGTAAGTATACATACGTTGCTAAATGTTGTGGCATAAGTGACCTTTAGAAATTGTGCCATCTAACGACCATGTTGAATACTCTTCGTCCTACTAGCGCTAAAGCAAGAATGGTCAAAATGGAAGACACATTTTCCAACGTCATCAACAATCCGCTATCATTCCATGACGCCGGACACGAATATCTGGAGTCCCTCTACACTTTGGAATTCGCAGCGCACACTACCGTTCATAAATAGTATTCGTAGGCCCACTTTGACTTTCGAAAAGCGAACACCAACAAACTTCGATGCGACATCGGCCTAACCGCAAAAATTGACAGCAGCGCCATCGCGCCTCTGTGATGTCATACTATCCGGGACGCGTACATGCATATGCACCCAAGCGCGCTTAAGGGCTAACATAGTAGACTGTATGCATGCCCAGTCTTCTTACGGCAAGCGGGAGCGTCCCTGGCGACGGGAAAGGCGCAGCAGAGCAAGAAGCCCCCCTGCGGCAGTCCTTCATCGATCCCTCATCTTTGCCTGATCAATACCGGGCTCGCGCAACAGGACGATGGGCGCCACACACCAGCTGTCCCACGACGCGGATGCGAAGCGACCACGCACACTCCTCTCAGCGCGTCTTCTCAGCCATTGCAGAAACCGTAACAGAAGAGACGACGTCTCGACTGACTCACCTTCGCGAACGTCGATCGGCTTTCTTTCAACACCTGCTTTAAAATGTTGTCCTCTGGGAGACGATGTCGATTCAAGATCTGACTACACGTGCGCGTAGACTCGGCGCCTCGCCCCCTCCCTACGGATGGAGAAAAGTAATACCAGGCGCCATCGCGCCTCTGTGACGTCATACTATTTGTGACCGGCCTCTCAGCAGAGGGTGAGGGCACGCGGTTACACTAAGCAGCACACCCTCTCTCTCTAAAGCGAGAGGGCGAGCCGGCCAGTCCGCAAGCCACGCGTTGACGCGCTGCAACGCGTACATGTGGTCAGGTCTTTACACCAGGCACTGCGCCGTGCTCCCGACCGGGTTGCAGAAATTAAAATAGGTGCCTTTTCTCATCTTCTAACCACTACCACCACCTTTACACCGACGCGTACGAAAAGATACCTATATAACGCGCAGCAGACATCATTTCAAGACAGTTCATAGAAGCCCGGAATCTGAAACGGAAATCGAAGTACACGGCGGAAGACAGCAAACTGTAACTCACCCGGCTGCGGCACGAACGTGGACAGCACGAAGCTATGCGAAGTATGTTGATTGATATGTGGGGTTTAACGTCCCAAAACCACCATATGATTATGAGAGACGCCGTAGT